GCTGGAACACCTTGCCTTATGTGGTTAGCTGTCTGAGTCCCATATGTAGTCATGCCATGGCATTGTATGGGGGTGCAGTTGCCTGAGCATGCCCACTGTTGTGATGAAAGCAGTGAGTTGCAGTATGCAAGGGAACCTTGTGCTTGCGACTGTAATGGCAACGAGGACGTTGCAGCTTTGAAAGACCGGGGAAATGTAAGGGATTTGTGTTCGTTACCGAGTACGTATGGTTTGGCTTTGATCGGTACGACTCTGTGTCGTGCAAGGCTTTGCCAGACTATTTAAGGCATTCCTACACCATTATTTGTAAGCTTAGTATTCTTCTCTTCCTTGTCTCTCAGTCAGCGTTTGATGTCGGGCTCTGCAGATCGGGCAAGTTAGGAACTAATGCTTCCTCCAGTCGCCAACTGGAGCCAGTTCCTTTCAGCATAGCTAAAGAAAAGTTATTGCTTTAACTAGTTTAGCAAAGAGCTTCACGCGCGGGCACCTCCGACTTCGACCTGGCCGATGATGATGACAGGACTTCTCGCTTTGTACCCATCCAAAAGCACTGAAACGCATAGGATTGTTGTGGAAGCTAGCACATGCAAGACATTGCGTGGTCGACGTTAAGGGGGCGCATGATGCCCCGGCAGCGCTTTCTGGGCCTCCAGGAGCCCCAAAACGGATTGTCTAGGATCGATCCATTGCAGATAGATCGTAGGCGCTGGTCTGACGGTCATAGAGCACATAGCAGCTGGATGGCTTTCAGACTGCCGGCCATGGGAACCCGGGAGGCGTGCTGTTGGTGCGCGGCAAACCAGGGCTGTCGGGTGACCGGCGGAGATGGATGGGTGCACCACCAATTGATATACACACAGGGACGTATTCTAATCGGGGCGCTCGGCGGTACTCCGCCTGGAGCAAGCAGGTTCAACTCCTGCCGTCCTGTTCCTTTCATCATCCTCCCACAAAGAGTCCCGGGGACCAGTCGGGTGGTTATGACGATGCGGTGGCGGCTGCGGTAGTGGCGGTGGCCGCTGGCTATCACGGTGCGCCCGTCACCGCTGCGGCAGCGGCAGCAGCGACGACCAGCCTGGCGGCGCAGTGCAGCAGTGCGGGCCCCGGGTTGGGCTTGTACGGGAGGGGATACGGTGGGGACCAGTCGGGTAGCTACTACGGTGGCCATGGGGGTTTCACGACCAGTGACATGCATGGCCTGGGACAGCTACATGATCGACAGGCAGTGGAATACGGAGATGAATACAAGGCGGATGGTGGGGCCAGCAGCGTATTCACGGCCGCTGGTGTATACGGCATAGGCTAGTATCACGGTGACCCGTTCATGACCGGTGGAGGCATGGACTGCAGCTACCAGCTACATGGCGGGGTGACGAGTGGGGCGCTCTTGTTTTGTGGGCGAAACCCTGGAAGGGGTGCACCACGCACAGCAGGTCCCGGGTTACGGCAGTGGATCTCAGGATCGAGGTGTAGTGGTGACGGGATCAGCAATGTTGCCAGTGTCGGCAATGTCTCCGAGTGAAGGTGTGGGCACGGACGGGGGCGTAGGTGATACGTCCACAGCGGATTGGACAGGCGGGCTTTACTAAAATCTTAATTGGATCCGGTGGGAGGGTGGTGAGCATGCCGATTGAAGCGGAGGCATGAGGACGACGGGCACTGCTGCCTGACACGGACACAACACCGGTGCCAGCGGAACAATGTATGTGGGATGTGGCGGTTGGAAACAAGGAGTAGGCTCATGGCGGCTGCAATGAAACAAAGGACATGCGGACCCAGGCTGGGGACCTCCTGGCGGAGAAAGGCCCAAGACACGCTGTAACGGATTTTTTGGGTTTGTGCAACTTTGGGTCCCTACATGGGGCTGGTTGTCGGTGGGGCGACATCACCCCATTCCGCGGGTGGCAGGAGTAGAACTGCAGTGCACAGGCCCGTCGTCCGAGGGCTGAAGAGAAAACAGGCGGGGCCTTCAGGCATGGTTCAGTAGAGGGGGATTTCCCCGGCTGCCGCCGCGCACATCACGAGCCAGGATAGGTGTGCCAAGACCTCAAGCGGGGCTTACAGGGGGGGGGACCATTGGGGGTCGGCCTATGGGTCCACGGTAATCATAATTCACTCATGGCTCTCAATGGCAAACGTGTAGGCCCGTGAGCCCGAAAGCCATCCAGCTGCTATGTGCTCTATGACCGTCAGACCAGCGCCTACGATCTATCTGCAATGGATCGATCCTAGACAATCCGTTTTGGGGCTCCTGGAGGCCCAGAAAGCGCTGCCGGGGCATCATGCGCCCCCTTAACGTCGACCACGCAATGTCTTGCATGTGCTAGCTTCCACAACAATCCTATGCGTTTCAGTGCTTTTGGATGGGTACAAAGCGAGAAGTCCTGTCATCATCATCGGCCAGGTCGAAGTCGGAGGTGCCCGCGCGTGAAGCTCTTTGCTAAACTAGTTAAAGCAATAACTTTTCTTTGGCTATGCAGTTTCTGTAGTCCGTTCATTTGGCATTATGTAAATGTGTGACCTCTGTCCGGCAGTCGCAGTTTCCATCTACCAAAGTATGACCGGTTTGTGCAAAATTTAAGCTATAAAGAAAAGCAATAATTAACTCAATTGGTGTTCCTGGCCTCGCCGTAGTTCGTTAGCCAACTTCCACTCCGGGGCATAGGCACTCCGGGAGGGGGGGGAGGGCCAAGCCGTCGTCTGCCGTTGTGAGTGGATCGGCGCTAACCTGGACTACTTTAATGACACCGAAACCATTTCAAATTTCATTGTATTATAATTCCTTAGATTTACCTGGCTTTCTTGGCAGTAGCTTGGATGCAATAGAAAGCAGAAACGTACTTCGCATTGCATGTTTGTCCATGCCTTATTATTCACGCACGTTTAGCAATGTAAATTTCGACGACCTGTATGGCCGAATTTGATGTAATCGCAGCAAGATAGTTGAGAGGCAAGGACTCTTGCTGCCCGCCCGCCATAACGGCTATAGACCCACATCGCCCCGCGGCCTGCCAGGATACGATTCAACCAAGTAAAAGGAGGAGCTCAAACCGGGCAAGCCTTTGGAAATTAATACATCCGCCGCAAAAATCTTTTATATCTGCCAGCAGCGCCATTGAGGGAGGAAATTAAACGCGCGAACATCATTCAGCAGTACATAGCAGTGCCTAGACTCTATTTGCGGCGACGGCGGTGTACAGAATGTAAGTGCCGAAGCAGCGAAACCCCAGTTCGAACCCAGATATAGACGCACATAGCATAGCAGCAAGAGGTACCAAGATACTGCAGTGTGCCATGGCTGGCCGTCGCCCGATGGTACACGGCCGTCTGCTTCCCATTGGATTCCCTATCAGCCGTTCCAGCCATCCGCGTGGTTGCAGGGACCGAATGCGCAGCTGGAGTCACTGGCTGGCCGCCGGCCCGGTCTGTAGTCCCCTTCGGTCGGCACATTGCCCAGGCATCCCAGGCACCGAGGTCCACAATCGCACCTACCTGTCCACGTGTATGTGTGTGCGTGTTTGAAGATTAAAGTATCTTAAGGGGCCTGGCACTGGCCAGGGACTGCTGCCCAGCCCCAACGGAAAGACCGCCTAAGCTCTCTCCCGCGGACGGGAGAGGGGCGCAGCAAGGGGCCTCTGCCCCCTCCTAAGCAGCCGAGAGCCGCAGGTCCACTAGTTCCGCTCTCCTCCCCGGGGTGGGAGGCGTCGCGCGCACGCATGATCTCACGAGTCAAGGCTCCATCACGCGAGTTTGCGCACTGAGCCTGATTACTAGAACACCAAACAAGACTCCTCTCCGTCCCCGACCTGATTCGGCCCTTGGGATGAGGGTTCATTAAGACAGAGGAAACCCGGAAACCCTGTATATACCCTATCCCTCCCTATCACACACTACGGAGCACTCTGGCAGCAATGAACGTTTTTGGCTGGAGGAATGAAAATGTACGGATCGGCCTCAATTTGTTCCTTTTTTCCAAAGGCCAAAATGGCCTCTTTATTACTTAAAAGAAATATATTACTTAAAAAAAACACTGGCGGGAGGTAAATGGAGGTGATGGTGGCGAAAGTTCCCCGGCCCACAGGCAATGGTTTCGGTGCAAGCTGTGGGGGCGGCAGGATCGACGTCGGCTACGGTTGCGATGGATTCGGTGTGCCCGAAGCCACAGGAGGTGATCGCGGCGGAGGTGGCGCTGTCCTAGGGCTGATGGCGCGTCGGGGCGCAGGCGGTGGCGGTTTAGATGGAAGCGGTGGGGGGGGCGGGTTCGGTGTTGGCGGCAGCGGTGATGGCTTCGGTGACGACTGCCTTGGCCGCGGTGACAGCATCGGCGGAGCCCGCATGCTGGGGTCCCTCATGCTGGCGTAGCTGACGTCGCAATCTGGGTCCTCATCGTCCAGCAAGAAATCGCAGTCGTCATCCAGACCGTTGCGGCAGTTAACCTCGGTTTCGAAAACACGGCGACAGATTCGCACCGCAGCACCCGTAAGATTGCTCCAGGAATCAAACCGCACCACAAGGCGGCTGGCGGGGTCACGCCAAGTTTCCCCGACTCCTATCTCGGCTGCCAAGACCGTTGGCGCGCTAGGCGTCTTGTCCGTGCCATCGTATGTGTGGATGAGGAGCAAGCGCCTGCTGTCTTCCCAGAAGTTCCAGGGCAAGTCGTAGGGGTAGACGTTGAGACGCGCTGAGATGAAGATCTTCATGTTGGGGTGCATGCCACTTCCCGTAATCATGACGGAGCTGTCTGTTGTATTCAGCTGGGGCGGGATGCGGGTGGCAACAGCTCTGCCAACAGACAGCTCCGAATTGCCGAGCCGTAGGAAGGGCCTGCCCCAGCCAACCTGGGCGAACAGAGCGGAGGGGTAGAGGAGGGCGTATGTGTCTTCATTCGGTTTCTGAGAACAGGGATTGACGTACGGAAGTACGGAACGGCCATGACCGGGCGAGCCCAGCCGTGAAGTCTAGCTGTTGGCGATGGCTGGCAGTAGCAGGTACTCGTAATGGCTAATATGATGAAGTCCATGTAATGCCAGACCCTTCCATCAACTACGTTACGGCCTCCAGCCGTACGCGGTGTAAATTTCACCCAGCCCAGCCCAGCCCAGCCCAGCCCAGCCCAGCCCAGCCCAGCCCAGCCCAGCCCAGCCCAGCCCAGCCCAGCCCAGCCCAGCCCAGCCCAGCCCAGCCCAGCCCAGCCCAGCCCAGCCCAGCCCAGCCCAGCTCACCCACCTGCCAGTTATGGGGCGCATTCAGGCAGCGAATGGCCTGGCCGCCAACGGCCCCCATGGTGCACGTGTGGTCACATTGGTCCCTTAGCTCGCAGCCACCCGGGACATTGGCGTGCGCCATGCCGTAGTTGTGACCGATCTCATGCAGCAGCAGCTCCAGATCAGTAGCATAGTCCCCATTCCACCAGACCAATGCGCTGCCCCACTTGTTGATGGCAGTTGACGCGTTAAGATACCGGCCGAGTGTGGCAAGACCTGCGAAGCCGCCACAACCTGTACGAGAGTAGTACACGTGCGGTATGGCTCTCGGTTCTTGTGTTCGGGGTCTTAATTAAGCGTCTGCTTAGTACAAGTTAAATAGGTTGCGCTCAGACTTCATAGTTTTCAGTAGGATGGATTGGGTGAGTAATAATTCCTGAAGTATGGCTACATCTGCACAGCCGTCGTCTGTCAACGGATTCTGCTGTTCAGGTACGGCAGCGCACATTCTGCTCCTACAGAACCTCCTCCATCCCACTTTGTGCCTTCATTCATTCACTCAGGCAAGTGTGGAGACTTGCGAAAGAGATGCTAGCTGTCTTGAGACCGGTAAGGCTATGGTTTTGGCGACTGCTACTGCTACTACTGCTACTGCTACTACTGAAAACTGCTACTACTGCTACTGCTACTACTGCTACTGCTACTACTGCTACTACTGCTAGTGCTACTATTGCTACTGCTACTATTGCTACTATTGCTACTGCTGCTACTGCTACTACTGCTACTGCTACTACTGCTACTCCTACTACTGCTACTGCTACTACTGCTACTGCTACTACTGCTACTACTGCTACTGTTAGTAAGGATATGGTTTCCCAGTACAGCCGCCGGGTTTCAGCAGCAGGTTTTGCGTTAGTCGCAGGGCAGCAAATGCTCTGGTCCTACCAGCCCCGCTCACTTTGTGCGGAAATGTGGGCAGCCGGGGTGGTTTATCCCCTCCCTCTTCCAGTTGCTCCCCCCTTACCCGGCACCTTCATCGAAAAGCTCTTGGGCAGGAGCATAATTCTGTGATGGTAGTCCTCCGCATTGACATTGTGGTTTTCAGCCGCCCAGGCATCAAGTCAGTGATGCCATTTGTACACGTTGTCTAACTCGTTGCAAGCTCGGGTGGTGAAGTTGCCGCCGCTGGCGAAAGGAACCGGTGGCTTCAGGGTGCCCTGGCAAGGCACTTGCACCGGCCCTAGCACCTTGATGTTTTCTGGCAGCAGGCTAATTTGGCCGTAGCTGCAGGTTCTGAAGTAAGCTGTCAGAGAGCGATTTCGGGGTCCGGTGCCCACAAACAGGTTGGTTACATTCTGCATCGCAGTGATAATGGGATCCGGATCCAGGCAACATTTAATAAAATGGAGGACGACAGGGCGAATGGCTGACTTAAGAAGCCGTCCGTCACATACTTTGGGCCATACACGCTTAATGACCCTTGTATACGAAGGCCGTCAGGACTAGAGAGGTTTGGGATAGCTCCTGCACTGCGTGTTGGGCGCATTGAGAGCGCCCTATCTATCTGGGCTGGGCTGCTACAGCCCCAGCAGGTAACCATTGAGAGCGCCCTATCTATCTGGGCTGGGCTGCTACAGCCCCAGCAGGTAACCATTGAGAGCGCCCTATCTATCTGGGCTGGGCTGCTACAGCCCCAGCAGGTAACCATTGAGAGCGCCCTATCTATCTGGGCTGGGCTGCTACAGCCCCAGCAGGTAACCATTGAGAGCGCCCTATCTATCTGGGCTGGGCTGCTACAGCCCCAGCAGGTAACCATTGAGAGCGCCCTATCTATCTGGGCTGGGCTGCTACAGCCCCAGCAGGTAACCATTGAGAGCGCCCTATCTATCTGGGCTGGGCTGCTACAGCCCCAGCAGGTAACCATTGAGAGCGCCCTATCTATCTGGGCTGGGCTGCTACAGCCCCAGCAGGTAACCATTGAGAGCGCCCTATCTATCTGGGCTGGGCTGCTACAGCCCCAGCAGGTAACCATTGAGAGCGCCCTATCTATCTGGGCTGGGCTGCTACAGCCCCAGCAGGTAACCATTGAGAGCGCCCTATCTATCTGGGCTGGGCTGCTACAGCCCCAGCAGGTAACCATTGAGAGCGCCCTATCTATCTGGGCTGGGCTGCTACAGCCCCAGCAGGTAACCATTGAGAGCGCCCTATCTATCTGGGCTGGGCTGCTACAGCCCCAGCAGGTAACCATTGAGAGCGCCCTATCTATCTGGGCTGGGCTGCTACAGCCCCAGCAGGTAACCATTGAGAGCGCCCTATCTATCTGGGCTGGGCTGCTACAGCCCCAGCAGGTAACCATTGAGAGCGCCCTATCTATCTGGGCTGGGCTGCTACAGCCCCAGCAGGTAACCATTGAGAGCGCCCTATCTATCTGGGCTGGGCTGCTACAGCCCCAGCAGGTAACCATTGAGAGCGCCCTATCTATCTGGGCTGGGCTGCTACAGCCCCAGCAGGTAACCATTGAGAGCGCCCTATCTATCTGGGCTGGGCTGCTACAGCCCCAGCAGGTAACCATTGAGAGCGCCCTATCTATCTGGGCTGGGCTGCTACAGCCCCAGCAGGTAACCATTGAGAGCGCCCTATCTATCTGGGCTGGGCTGCTACAGCCCCAGCAGGTAACCATTGAGAGCGCCCTATCTATCTGGGCTGGGCCGCTACAGCCCCAGCAGGTAACCAGCCCTGCCGTATCTATCAGGCTAGCTGCTCACCTCAGGCATAGTGGAGGGACCCCCCGCGTAGCCGCAGCAGGTGGTGACGTACACCAAAATGCGGGGTGCCCGGGGAGTGGTGATGGACTCGCCCAGCAGCACGCGCCTGTGCCGACTTTCCAGTTCCGTTGAGGGTTCGAGTGTCGAGGAATTGATAGGAGCTGTGCAAGAGTACATGACGCCGTCCGTGATGTTGTCGTACGCAACTACCAACGGAACTCCAGTCGGGATGTCATCCGTCGACATTTTGGCGCAGAAAGCTAGCCGGTAGAACACGAAAACGCCGCTGGCCTGCCGCTCTTGAAGGTAGTACACTGGTTGCGGATGATGACCTGCTGCCGTCGCATTTCCTGGCAAGTCCAGCAAAGTGATGGTGCCTACAAGCATCGATATGGGATGCGCAGCATGTATGTATGAACCGAAACGAGTGGTTGGAGGTGTACCAGGCATGACCAGCGATGAGGAGTCGCAGTGAAAAGGAAGGAAGAAGTAAACACCCATGATACGTCGGTGAAGCGGTATGGTGGAAGGAATCGGATAGACGTTTGGGAGGAACGGACGACGGCGAGGTTCTGCGATACCGCTCAGTATGTCGTACTTACGTCCCATTGCCCCGGGAGATCTCGGGATCGATATCCGTTAGGGCCAAAAATCCTTCCGATGGTGGAAGGTATTGCGCCCCTAGTTGATGGACGGTGGTGACCTGGGATAAAGTTAACCTGCGAGCCGACCAGGAATGGAGTTGGGCCGCTGTCAACCCGGCAGATTCCGTTGGATGCTGGTGGTGGGTGCGGAACCTGAGCGATCCACTGAGAAGTTGACTAGGGTGACTGGATGAGGGTGCCCCGAAATACCGGGGAAGGCAGGGTTTCGCAGGGTAGCTGCCACGGGCGAAGATACACCCCCCTGTTTCACACATCATACGTCGTACGGACGTCTGTCTAATAGCGGCAGAAAACAAGCGGAAATGCTATGAATGGTTATGGATGGTTATTATGTGGTACAGCAATATGCTATAAGCGACCACTTCTCATATGGCACTGCGCACTGGGGATCAGGCGGGAAACGGCAGCGATAGTAGTTAGGGTCGGCTAGCCAGCTACGGGAGCCGTTCCCCTGCCGTGGAAGGGATAGGAGCAAGCCGGGTGTGCAAAAAAAGTCTGTAACATATTTAATCGTCTACAGGTTGCGCCCTGGTATAATAGATAGGACCTTCCATTCTATTATACCACGCTGCGATCTATATATAGGCAATTAAAACATTTACAGACTAGTAGTCGAAGAGCGATGCAGGACGATGTTTGGTTCCGGTAAACACTTGGGTGAAGGCATCTGGGTGATGAAATGCAAGCAAGTAACAAGAAATCCAATGTATCATATAAAGAGGCATGCAAATCGTCAGGCTGGTGAAGCGGTAAGTAGGATCAAGCTCGATCAAGTCATGTGCATCTGTATGCGCATACAACTCCATACGCATGCGTATGGAGTTATGGACAGCAGCAGCAAGGCCCGCCGTCTTTGTTCGATTGATGCTTGACCTGCTACCAGCCGAACAAATTCACATCCCTTCGAATCGACCAGCCTATACATTGCCTTCCCCTGCTATACTGCCCCTGCTTCTGCCTTCCGTCGCTGCACAATCCGGACTCAAAGGCTGTGACCCCGGTGCTGGCTACATGCAGTCGCTGTAACGCTATCACGCGGTTAAGGTGCTGTCACCTACGCATGCATGTGTACAGCAGTAAAGGTCACATACCTGTCGCCTGTCCCGGCACGTTCCTTTGCACCATTTGGCAGTTCGAACCGAGCAACATGAGCAGCATCGGCATCAGGATCAGCAGCCAGTGTGTCAATTGTGGGCGAAGAGCTGCTGCCGCTGTGATTGTGCGTTTGCCGACGTCGGCGGCCGTTGTTTGCAAAACCATCTTTATACAGTAGTCCCAACGCAAAACTGATCGGTGCAATAAGGAACGGATGTTAGCAGAAAAAAGGCATTTAAATAGTCAAGGAATCAGATTTGAAATTCCTCAAGAGTTTCTTGCGACTTTCCGGTTACATCCCGAGCGAGCGACACTATTTCCGATGCTTTATTACTTTACGGCGTCCCCGGCGGCGATAGCGCCCACCCTTTGATTGTGATCGGGGCCTCATTCGTGCCCGCCTGGGGTGTGCCAGTTTGCGCGCTGATGTAAGTTTTGATAATAACGCAGAAGGCAGAAAAATACCTGCACGATGCATGTTTGTTATTAGCGAGGTGATGAGTACGTAGTGCACAGGCACAGCAGGGTGTAGGGCATACGCGCATGCCCGCCGTGAAGTCGAGAAGCAAGCAGGATGTACGGGCGGAACGTTCAAGGAAGGAAGGACGGTTACACGCCGCCGCGGGGGTTTGAGCCGCGGCTCAATGATTAAGGCATGTCCGTCGAATGAAAACAGCAACAATCTTCGTTCCGGTGGCTTGTTAGCTATTGCGGCTTCAATTTCATCCCGTTTATGCCATCTATACAATTTTAGATCGCCTTCAGATCGTGCCCTGGTATAAGAGATAGAGACCGTCCATTCTACTATACCAGGAGGTTGCGATGTATAGAAGATATAAAATAATATTTTGACAGATACTAAATCCAAACACCATACGTATACACATATGTAGCCCTGGCTGGTCAGCACTATGTTTCCGGTAGGCCGGCACCATGAGCGCCGCTGCGCTGCAAGATAACGCAAATACATACACGTGTAGTCGATGCAAGGCATGTTCGAGCCTTGTGTGAATTAATGGCAATCGATGTACAATTGATCATTTCCAGCTGTGGTTGGCTTCCACCGGTATTCCACCGGCATTCCGTTTGGATGATGAATCATGCTTGGCATGGTAAGTTATTGCACACACTCAAGCTTCTGCTTGCCCCTGACTCTTGCTTGCTTGCTGACCTCCATTCCCGTGTGCGCCAAACTGCCCGCTTGGCCCTGCCTGCCGGACCTAGCAGGACCTCATTATAGGATTATTATTGCCGCACGAATACATGGGCGGCGCTTGCAGACCTTCCAACCTTCCAATCCCTGATTGCTTTTGCCCTGGAAGTCAAGGCGGCAAGCCAGGCAGGTCATACATACAGCAGGAGCAGCTGCAGGCAGCTGCAGTTAAAGCAGCAGATCGGCCGCAGATCGACTATGCTGACGACGATATGGAAATAATAGTGCTGGTGGCAAATAATTATAATAATAATGGCGAGCGACTCCTAACATATACTATATATTCTCCAGTCATGATCAGCCATCAAGGTTAGGTCATACTAGGGTAGGCACTACTGGTAAGGCACAACCATTGCCCCCGGGAGATCCCGGCATCCGAATCTGTCAGGGTTGATATTCCTTCTGGTGATGGAAGGTAAATTTTCCCTAGTTGATAGACGGTGGTGACCTGGGATAAAGTGAATCTGCCAGCCGACCAGGAATGGAGTCGGGCCGTCGTAGATCCGGCAGATTCCGTTGGATTCTGGTGGTGGGTGCGGAACCTGAGCGATCCACTGAGAAGTTGACTAGGGTGACTGGATGAAGGTGCCCCGAAATATCGGGGAAGGCAGGGTTTCGCAAGTAGCTGACACGGCTGAAGATATCCCCCCCTATTCCACACATCAAGGTGACTCGTTTATAAAGACCCGCGCCATGCATCCGTCAGTGTGCTGAATAGTTTTGGATGTGATGGCGAGCTACTAGACGTGGCTAGACAGGTGCGCTAGACAGGTGCGGTAGTAAGTTAACAGAAAGCATGATACTGAACGCCTGCAGGCATCCGAATGTATGGATGCATAAAGGATACGCGTAGCATTGCACATTACGCATGCATTATATATTACCCCTACGTGTGTTAACACGGGTTAACGCGCGCGGCGTTGAGGGGTTTTATTCCCCAGTCCATCGAACGTGTGCCCATATACATCCGGATACGCCTGGTGGTGTCGCCCTAGGGGAAAAACCTAACGAGCAAGGGGACCCGGGATTGATTGACACAACCTGGGTGAGTACCGCCCTCAATCAGCGCCTTACTTCTGTAGGGAACCCAACCACCAGCCTGCACCAGCCAGACCAGGCGCTGCACCTCATGTCTTGTCCTACCACGCTTTCAAAGGAGGACCTATTTCTATGCTAGATCGACTCAGGGGCCAAGAACCTCAACATAGAACCCCAATCTCTCCTTCCCAGTATCATAGTAGCAGGCACGCCACATTCTCACTGCGGCGCACGGCCAGTTTAGTGCATCTTGCCCGAGTCGGCCAGTGGCGCTCCAGGTTTCCAAGCCTAATTCACACTAATGCAATAAGATTAGGGCTGGGGCGCCCGCCGTGGGCCGTCAGGGTCTTGTTACGGCGTCCAGCTCCAGGCGGCGGGTGAACGCCAGTAAAATTTTGGATCGCCTATTGGCCACAAACCTCGTGTAATTGATAGGATGTGGCCTACGGTGATCAAAAAAGTCTACTGACGAAGTTTAAACCGGTATAACCCCCTGCTTCACACCGTCATATGCAGTCGATCACATGCCACACGCTGGGGAATTCGATACAGCATGTTACGATAGGACCAGCAAACTGTCAGCTGCATTCCTCCGCATGCACACGCACTCGTACAATTTACAACATGTGCTCTGCAGCTCTCTTGTGTGCGGCACACCTGCCTATTACCACAAGCTACACCCCCAAAGAATAAGAAGCCGATTATGGCCCTTGCCTCCGTCAATCTGGGGTGCTTGGTAGTCGGTAGTTGCTCAGGTTGATAGGTCAAATCGAGCGATTTAAGCGCTGACTTGGTAAGCTTGCCCTGGGTTTTAAAGTTTTCAGGGCCCGGTCCTTCAGATTATATTGCTACCGCTCATTATCGCGCTCGCCTGTGTGATCGGCCAAGAATCGTGTTACTTCTGAGCAAGCTGCAGGGCGTTGTACAGCTGGTTGGGATGTAGCGAGCTCGCTGCTGCTGGGCGCTATCTTCGCTAGTTACGGGAGCGAAACAAGTACGTTGTTGACTGATACGTTTGCCTCGGTGAAAAGAAAACCGACATCTGTTTTGGGAGGGGAAAACCGGCATTGTGGGAGATAAAAATCCTGTGGTCAGGTTTTTCCCCCAGGGGGTTTTTGCCCCAGGGAAAAACCGACATCTGTCTTGGGAGAGTTCATCATGCAGGCGTGCCGTACGCCGCGGCTGCTGCATGTCATCGCATGCTGCAACATAGCTCACGAACTAACTATGATAAGGAAACGATAGGCCGTACCAATTAGCACACCCAATGACGTAACTCGTTAGCATCCGCCCGGTTACGTTCGTTTATTTGTTCAACTCTTGAAAATCCATCCGGGAAAGGAACGCAAATCGGATACAGCGGCTTATTATTTTTTAGTATAATTTATTATCGCGAAGGCTGTTCGAGGTGGATTCGAATTGGAGTAACTGAAATTGTTTCCATGTCTTGAACCATCCACAATTACCACAAACTATACCGGATTTCGAGATGGCGGATTTCAGGTTTTCGTAAAATATGGCGGCGGACACGCACGGCGAGCGGACGATCTTCTTGGTTCTGGAGCCGGTTGGCTCCTGTTTGGACGCAGATGCAACTGCGTTTATACTTTTTGGACCTACCACAGCGCAACGGGCCGTGGGACAATATAATTTCATCGGCGGCTTGCAGGCCATGTGTATGTGTGTGGTTGTTACAGTGGGCTCCAGACTCACAAAGAATAGAGGCAGCGGGCCAGCGGGCCGTGCACTGCACTGTGTTCATGGCCATGTGTTCATTGTCGAAGTCTCCAAATAAACAGCATGACCGGAATTGAGAACTTGATCAACCGTTGAAGTACGTACATAGGGTGGAGTTCAAAACTAGTTACCCTGAACGAAGTCTTAGCCAAGTACGCGCAGCTAAGCCTCGGTGTCCTTTAAAGCAATAGTTTGTAGTTGCATCCTCCCCGGGTTGCTTGCTTCCCGAGCACGCCCACATGTGGGACTGCTGAGGGGCCCTGGCGACTGCTTGTCACGATTGCGACAGATACGTCAGATTGCATTCTGCTGCTGGTGGGGACGGACAGGCAGGGTCTGCACTACTCCAGGGGCACCCCTCCTGCCCGGGCAATGGCTAATACAGAAAATAAATGACTGTCGTTCTTTACTTCTGGTTCGGCTCTGCCGTCTACAGAGCATGCACCAGCGTACCAGGGTCTTCAAAAGCATAGCGCAGTTGATACACAAGCACCCTGGTGTCGAGGTTAGGTTGGCGATGGGGTGGACGGGGCCCCGTTAAATTAGCGACAAATATGCGACTTTCGCCACTTTCTGTGGCTCGTCGAGTAGCCCATACCCTGTTTATTAAAGAGGCGACGGGCTCTTCTGAGGAACTGGGTGAGGCTATTCTTACTTTGCAACAGACTTCCATTGTTTACTGTCTCGCATACGATGGGAAAATAAACAAAAAGAGGTTTGGTGGCGTCTCACGGTTGATGGGGCGCCTATGTTATGAAGTTCCCATATCAGGATGTCGCGGCCAGCAGTGTGTGGTACCCAGTAAATTCCCTGGGTGTATCCCCTCGCTGTCATCACTTCTGGGCCTGTCCGGTGGCGCAGCAGCGGACCAACTCACCCTGTCAATAGGATTGCCAGTGTCACGCGAGCAACTTTGGCTTGTCCAAGCTCCGCAAACAGTGCAACAATGTGTTCATGTTGTGGCTCTTGCTACAGTGTCAGCTATGGAGCATGGGTGGCGATAAATGGCTGCAGCCATGAACACCAATCCGGCACTGTTACCCGACCCTTGCCTTACAGAAGGAGCCATTCATCGAGTTATCGCTAGCTATAGGGGCCGCCTTCGGGGTCTCGCAGCTGTGGGAGTTCCACGGAAAGGATGGAATTCTGTTGGGGCACATCACCCCTCCTTGCGAATTGCGTCAGACAAGTTTTATGTTCACGAGAGAGGCCACCGATGAACTAATTATGGGACTTTGGGGGCTTAGGCATCTCTAGTAACAACGTGCAAGTTCTTATCATTATCTGCTGATGAGAGCTGATGGGCCTCCTGGTGGGGTTCCGATAACTTTTGCCAATTGGGGGTCTAATGGCAAATTCCCCAGTGGTTGCGGGTTCTGAGCCTTCCCTTTGGATTTGCTTTTGGCTGTCTATTTGACACTTGCGTTGTCTTGCCTGGGTGAGAGTCTTGCTTGCCCTCATCGTATAGGTGCAGTGCACGGCCCGCTGGCCCGCTGACTATACTCTTTGTGAGTCTGGAGCCCACTGTAACAACCACACACACAAGCACCTTGTTACTCAGATCCACCATATCCTGTCATCAGATGTTTCGACGCGCTTGCTTGCTGACGCCGTGCCGTGTCAGCAGCCAGTCCAAGGCCTCATGCTAAGCCCTACCATGCCGTGCTGTACGCGTACGATACCCACTACACTTCATCCCCAAAGGACTGCCTGTACCGCGTGGCGCGCGAGCGGATCAGGTGCCCCCCGTCCCCAGCTCACGGCCTTGCTCTTCGCCACCCACACAGGCCGCATGCTGTACTGCCATGTCTCAGCCCCCATACATGGCCCCATGTATACATGCTTAAGCAGTGTGCCATTCAGTCGCAGCTGCGACTGGTCTTGCTGGATCGCGTGCTGGCGGAGGCCCCAAGCCACGCCTTTCTCCTCCCAAGCTGTTCCCCGTTGGTCAGCCTAGCGGCTGAAGCGGGCTCCGGAAGCCCCGCAAGCAGCACCTTTCCTTTGCTTAGGCTGGGGGAACAGTTGGCATGACATGCACCCGGAATTTGGGGCCCCGGTGCGGCGCCGCGCCATGGCAATACACGCCGCTGGTAATGCAAGAGCTAACCACAACATTGCGCGCCAGTGCGGGTCGCGAAGTGTATATACCTGTTCGTTACTGGCACTTAAAACCCGCGTGGAAGCGTGATGAAGGAGCAGCAGCGTGTACACAAACGACGTGATGGACTGACTCTCTCTCTCCCCCCTCCTCCCTCTCATATATATAATATACATATACATATATACACACACACATACACACACACATATGCACGCACACGTTGGAGGTCGCTTTCCATGTCGCTGTTAATGGCAAGAAGTTCCTCACATGTCGTCACGTAATAAACATCTTGTGCACCTTTATTTTCCTCCCCGGACTGGCACGCACTGGCGTATCCGGGTGGCGTTTAAGCATTTCTTTGGCTTCGGTTTTACAGCAGAGCCGTAAATGCAGCTGCCTTTCCTAAGAGCGCCATGGCCGCCGGGCGGCTAGGCAGATATCATCATTTTTGGCGTCAACAACGCCTGGGCCTTGGAAACAACAAGCCAGCCAACCACAGCCGAGTATAGGCGCCTGTAGGAGTAAGGACAGCTGACCTGCGTCCGCATCGAGAGCCCACCGGCCTGTAGTGACTACAGGGCTGTCTGTCCTTTTCCAGCTTCGACTCAATTGACATAGTCAGCCACAGTCTGACAACCTATTTGTCCGGACGTTACGGATCCGTAATCTCCCAAAATGAACACGCATGGGGCAAGGCTTTCTGAAGGTTCATCAGCTATCGTGTACGCAGATTTTATATACCGTTTTCATGTTGTACTCCAGCCCGGCCGCCTAACGCGGCTCAGGCGCTTCTTGGCTCTGTTGCGCTGTACAGGTCCGCAATCGTTGAAACACAAAACGTGTAGCGCCCCATCGCCTAATTCATAAGGAATATAACGAAATATCACGCAGGCACCATTAAAACTAAGTCTCCAGTTTCGAAAAGCATCGTTCAGCCCGAATGTAATGCTGCAATCTTAGATTAGCTTAGATAGCTCTGCATGCCTCTGAGTTTATGGGATTGAGAATAAAATTAATAATCAGGCAGCATTTCACCTAAGCAATTTTACGAAATGAAAAAACGTTCAAGGATGTCGCGTTGCGACTGGCGAAGTCATCGTGGTGGCGATTGAACAGATTTCGGCGAAATCTTCACAGCATCCCACACAGCAGCTCTTAAAATTATTCACTTCCCATTGCTTATCTTTTGATTGCCGCTGTAGCGTGAGCTGGGGCTGCATATAACGTACAACTCGTTATCAACCGTTGCAACGACCGCACCGTCCAGAGGCATTGAGACACACACCGCCATATCGCCAGTCCTGAGGTTCACGCAGATAGCGGATATTCACTCTATGTGACAGCTTTGGAATGCTTCAGCCGTTTGATATTTTGAGTTTGGCTGGGGATACTGCCGTAGCTAGCTGGCCTTCCAGGCTGCTGCCGCAGTCAGGCGCGGTCTGCAAACGTTTTATGCAGCTTGTACTACTATGCAGGCAGTACTGCTCACGAGACATCAAATAATGCAATTTATAGTGAACTTCATTTGTATTCATCCTGCTCTTCTTTCGGACTGTAGCTTAAGCGGCGTATATTCCGTACATAAAGTGGCCTCTTCCCATCGAGTTGGGCGGGCATATCGTCGTCGGCAATTTGTTCTGACAATTTTTTATCGTTGCAAGAGCGCTTTCATCCGTACCCTCTCTTAGCAATCCTAATTGTTTGGTGTCGGGATTGGTTGTAGCAAGCGTTTCTCTTTGCTGGTGCAGTCATGACAGCGAGGGCAGCTGCCCTCCTACTTTGGGGGCCCTCGCTAGTCGCTCTCACCTTGCTAGCGCGACTCCATGCTTCAAATGCTGAAGAAGCCATTCAAATCAAGGAGGCTGGGTTGATGACGGGTAAGTGTGCGCACCTAGTGCGGGGAAGGCCCTTCCTGTCTGAGAAACCTCCGTACGAGCCTAGCGCAACGGGCCTGGAGCTTCGTGGTGCCGTCGCGCTCTTCTGCATGTAACTTGCGTATACGGTTTTGTCGGTGCGAGAAAACGTGGCGGAATACAAGCCACGGGCAATAGTCAGTATTAAAGGGAATATGGTAGCAGAGCCCCGGGTGGTGGGCTGTAGCAGCTGACCGCTGAAAAGGTCTCTCGAGTTGCTGGTGGTCGCGCTCTGCGCGTATTTTATAGCGCCGTACTGTGTACCGGCTGCTACATGGGCTGACGGCTGTGGCCATACGCACGCATACGTATCCTGCGGGTGCTCCCCTACGGTCCATGACATGCCTAGTGACGGTGCCCAATGAAATGAACGAGCAGGGTTGCGGGAGCGGGGCCGCTGCCCACAGCAGTTCTCGGATATGGTATTCCGTCATGGGGTTTTGGTGCCCGATGCCCTATGCTGCGAGTGCAACGTTCAGCTTAGCGTGCACAGCTCATCACAAGTGCATTCCTCTAAATTAGAGGAACCGTCACCGTCCTCCGTGCTCTGTGCATCACTCCCTTCTTACACAAACCAATTTCAGACTCTCCGTTTTCCTCTTTTTCGACTTCTCTCCTTCCTGTCATCTTTAAGATCGCCTCTTCCACTTACCGGTGATCTCGCCGCAGCTATCCCCAACTTCTGGACAATCATCTACTTGTTTCCCAGATATCACTTAACCTTAATCCCTCCGATGTTATCTCCATTATGCACTTCTAGGCACCCTCACTATGCTGGATTTGCACGGAGATGAAGAAGCAGGCGAGCCGCCGCTCTACTACCTTTACCACCAGACGGCCGAAGGCAGATACACAATCTACCGAACAATTTTCTGCGCCAACGTGTCCATGGATAACATCTTGATGGGCGTTCAGTGGACTGTTGCGTACGACAACATCACGGACGGCGTCATGTACTCTTGCACAGCTCCTATCAATTCCTCGACACTCGAACCCTCAACGGAACTGGAAAGTCGGCACAGGCGCGTGCTGCTGGGCGAGTCCATCACCACTCCCCGGGCACCCCGCATTTTGGTGTACGTCACCACCTTCTGCGGCTACGCGGGGGGTCCCTCCACTATGCCTGAGGTGAGCTAGCTACCTGATAAGTACCGGCAGGGCTGGTTACCTGCTGGGGCTGTAGCGGCCCAGCCCAGATAGATAGGGCGCTCTCAATGGTTACCTGCTGGGGCTGTAGCGGCCCAGCCCAGATAGATAGGGCGCTCTCAATGGTTACCTGCTGGGGCTGTAGCGGCCCAGCCCAGATAGATAGGGCGCTCTCAATGGTTACCTGCTGGGGCTGTAGCGGCCCAGCCCAGATAGATAGGGCGCTCTCAATGGTTACCTGCTGGGGCTGTAGCAGCCCAGCCCAGATAGATAGGGCGCTCTCAATGGTTACCTGCTGGGGCTGTAGCGGCCCAGCCCAGATAGATAGGGCGCTCTCAATGGTTACCTGCTGGGGCTGTAGCGGCCCAGCCCAGATAGATAGGGCGCTCTCAATGGTTACCTGCTGGGGCTGTAGCAGCCCAGCCCAGATAGATAGGGCGCTCTCAATGCGCCCAACACGCAGTCCAGGAGCTGTCCCAAACCTCTCTAGTCCTGACGGCCTTCGTATACAAGGGTTATTAAGCATGTATGGCCCAAAGAATGTGACGGACGGCTTCTGAAGTCAGCCATTCGCCCTGTCGTCCTCCATTTTATTAAATGTTGCCTGGATCCGGATCCCATTATCACTGCGATGCAGAATGTAACCAACCTGTTTGTGGGCACCGGACCCCGGAATCGCTCTCTGACAGCTTACTTCAGAACCTGCAGCTACGGCCAGATTAGCCTGCTGCCAGAAAACATCAAGGTGCTAGGGCCGGTGCAAGTGCCTTGCCAGGGCACCCTGAAGCCACCGGTTCCTTTCGCCAGCGGCGGCAACTTCACCACCCGAGCTTGCAACGAGTTAGACAACGTGTACAAATGGCATCACTGGCTTGATGCCTGGGCGGCTGAAAACCACAATGTCAATGCGGAGGACTACCATCACAGAATTATGCTCCTGCCCAAGAGCTTTTCGATGAAGGTGCCGGGTAAGGGGGAGCAACTGGAAGAGGGAGGGGATAAACCACCCCGGCTGCCCACATTTCCGCACAAAGTGAGCGGGGGCTGGTAGGGCCAGAGCATTTGCTGCCTTGCGACTAACCTGCTGCTGTACTGGAAAACCATATCCCTACTAGCAGTAGTAGCAGTAGCAGTAGCAGTAGTAGCAGTAGCAGTAGTAGCAGTAGTAGCAGTAGCAGTAGTAGCAGTAGTAGCAGTAGCAGTAGCAGTAGTAGCAGTAGCAGTAGTAGCAGTAGTAGCAGTAGCAGTAGTAGCAGTAGTAGCAATAGTAGCAGTAGCAGTAGCAGTAGTAGCAGTAGCAGTCGCCAAAACCCTAAAACCCTTACCGGTCTCAAGACAGCTAGCATCTCTTTCGCAAATCTCCACACTTGCCTGAGTGAATGAATGAAGGCACAAAGTGGGATGGAGGAGGTTCTGTAGGAGCAGAATGTGCGCTGCCGTACCTGAACAGCAGAATCCGTTGGCAGACGAGGCTGTGCAGATGTAGCCATACTTCAATAATTATTACTCACCCAATCCATCCCACTGAAAACTACGAAGTCTGAGCGCAACCTATTTTTTCCATGTACTTCGCGGATGCTTTATTAAGACCCCGAACACAAGAACCGAGAGCCATACCGCACATGTACTACTCTCGTACAGGTTGTGGCGGCTTCGCAGGTCTTGCCACACTCGGTCGGTATCTTAACGCGTCAACTGCCATCAACAAGTGGGGCAGCGCATTGGTCTGGTGGAATGGGGACTATGCTACTGATCTGGAGCTGCTGCTGCATGAGATCGGTCACAACTACGGCATGATGCACGCCAATATCCCGGGTGGCTGCGAGCTAAGGGACCAATGTGACCACACGTGCACCATGGGGGCCGTTGGCGGCCAGGGCATTCGCTGCCTGAATGCGCCACATAACTGGCAGGTGGGTGAGCTGGGCTGGGCTGGGCTGGGCTGGGCTGGGCTGGGCTGGGCTGGGCTGGGCTGGGCTGGGCTGGGCTGGGCTGGGCTGGGCTGGGCTGGGCTGGGCTGGGCTGGGCTGGGCTGGGCTGGGCTGGGCTGGGCTGGGCTGGGTGAAATTTACACCGCGTACGGCTGGAGGCCGTAACGTAGTTGATGGAAGGGTCTGGCATTACATGGACTTCATCATGTTAGCCATTACGACTGTACCTGCCTACTGCCAGCCATCGCCAACAGCTAGACTTCACGGCTGGCTCGCCCGGTCATGGCCGTTCCGTACTTCCGTACGTCAATCCCTGTCCTCAGAAACCGAATGAAGACACATACGCCCTCCCCTACCCCTCCGCTCTGTTCGCCCAGGTTGGCTGGGGCAGGCCCTTCCTACGGCTCGGCGATTCGGAGCTGTCTGTTGGCAGAGCTGTTGCCACCCGCATCCCGCCCCAGCTGAATACAACAGACAGCTCCGTCATGGTTACGGGAAGTGGCATGCCCCCCAACATGAAGATCTTCATCTCAGCGCGTCTCAACGTCTACCCCTACGACTTGCCCTGGAAGTTCTGGGAAGACAGCAGGCGCTTGCTCCTCATCCACACATACGATGGCACGGACAAGACGCCTAGCGCGCCAACGGTCTTGGCAGCCGAGATAGGAGTCGGGGAAACTTGGCGTGACCCCGCCAGCCGCCTTGTGGTGCGGTTTGATTCCTGGAGCGATCTTACGGGTGCTGCGGTGCGAATCTGTCGCCGTGTTTTCGAAACCGAGGTTAACTGCCGCAACGGTCTGGATGACGACTGCGATTTCTTGCTGGACGATGAGGACCCAGATTGCGACGTCAGCTACGCCAGCATGAGGGACCCCAGCATGCGGGCTCCGCCGATGCTGTCACCGCGGCCAAGGCAGTCGTCACCGAAGCCATCACCGCTGCCGCCAACACCGAACCCGCCCCCCCCACCGCTTCCATCTAAACCGCCACCGCCTGCGCCCCGACGCGCCATCAGCCCTAGGACAGCGCCACCGCCGCGATCACCTCCTGTGGCTTCGGGCACACCGCCGGCCAGCTCACCTTCACCTAGGCCCACGCCTGTACGGTCGCCACGATCACCCCGATCACCCCGATCACCCCGGGTCCCACGCCCCCCCCCTAGGTCTCCCTTCCCCCCTCGCCCACCCCGACCTCTCTCTCCCCTTCGGCCTCCTAAGGCTGTCCCCACAGCCACAATTTCTTCACGTCCAAACAACCATGAGCCGCTTGCGCCCTCCCCGCCACCCCCACCGCCGCCACCCCCACCGCCGCCGCCGCCACCGCTTGGCACATACCCTTAACGACTTATCTGTTATGTCAGTTAGTTGTTGTAGCAATTACACGTGATGCCAAGGTGCTTGTGTCACAGATATGCGGCATGGGACGCACCTCTGCACAGCGGACCGGATATATGTGAATGTTTGGACAAAGCGATAGGTAGGTGCTTTCTGCTAGCTGGTTAGGTTCACTGCTAGCTCCAATATCCAGCGAACAAGTTGATGATGTGCCTTGTAGGTGGATATTTTCATGTCTTCGCGGATTTTTGGACATATAGCGTGCATTTTTTTAATTCCTCCAGGGCGGCTTGTTGTTCGCACTTTGGTTATGGCGTGCCGCGCGCATCCTTGCTCCCCCTGCTGTGCTTCGGGATTTTAGCGTGCGTTTACTGCGTTTTTCATCATCCCTTGCTTGTTAATATCGTATCTGTACATATGTACCGTCCTGCACAGTGTACATGTCCATCATTCTGCAAGGCGCGTCATATCAAGCACGCGGCACCTGGGCGCGTATGGCGTTCTAGGTGCTCGGGCATACATAGTTTTCAATTAAAGTGATAGGATGAGGGCATTAGCATGCTTTGGTCCACGTGCGCCCAAAGTGCCTTCGCTGGCCGGTTTAATACACATATATAGTTTTTACCTGTACAGCAGCACCCGTCTGGAGCGGGAGCTCGTTTTGGAAGGTTTCATGCGCATATAAATGTTTTTTGTTTTGTTTAGCTTCTATGGGCGCGACATACATAGCGGGTGGAGTTATGGGTAAGCAATTCAAGGTGAGCAGCACGTCTGCTGCCAGTTCGGAGAAGCGCCACGACGCTGTAGGCTCTTGTGCATTGTTTTGCATGTTGTTAGATTGTTGCTTGGTTGTTAACAAAATGTCAGGATGGCGCTGGAGCATCAATCAACCAGCAGATTGTTTGCCGGTGGTCTGTACAGTTGGGTTGGATTCTGATGGTCCTCTATAAATATCTTCTGATCACTACTGTTGGTTACATTCGTTGTTTGTTGCAAGCTTGTGAAGAGACGTCAAGGGGTACACAGGTTAAGCTATTTACATTTAGGTTTACAAAGAGGCCGTGGAAGGTCGTGAACCCGGGTGGATCAGACCAAGTCCTATCAAGGGCTAGAAAAAATTCATTCCAGGCTAGATCCTGAATGTGCAACGACGTTGATGGGAATTGTGACTAACATCAACAGCTTTACAGCATTCATTTTGTGAAAAATAGACTGCGTGGTTGTGGTGACTGCGTGGTTGTGGTGACTGCGTGGTTGTCAACCCATTGTAGGTTTATGAAGGCGCCGTTGGGATTCGGTTGGTGATCCTAAAGCGCCGTTGGGATTCGGTTGGTGATCCTAAAGCGCCGTTGGGATTCGGTTGGCGATCCTAAAGCGCCGTTGGGATTCGGTTGGCGATCCTAAAGCGCCGTTGGGATTCGGTTGGCGATCCTAAAGCGCCGTTGGGATTCGGTTGGCGATCCTAAAGCGCCGTTGGGATTTGCTTGGCGATCCTAAAGCGCCGTTGGGATTTGCTTGGCGATCCTAAAGCGCCGTTGGGATTTGCTTGGCGATCCTAAAGCGCCGTTGGGATTTGCTTGGCGATCCTAAAGCGCCGTTGGGATTTGCTTGGCGATCCCAGCCCTACTACCTTGGCGGCGCTAGGGGGGTCAACCCGGCTAGGAACAGGCCCCGATCCCCGACGTGCAAAGAATGTCCATCTGTTGTGCTCCGTTGTTTGTGCTTCTAATGGTCGTAGCATACATACAATGAATTAGATAGCTCAGGCAGGCTTCAGGGAACAAGCTCAAAGATTTAGATAGAGTGGCCTGGTCGCCAAAAGCCGACAAGCCCCAGGTTTATACTTAGGACATCAATTGTCTGTCCCTGGTAATATCTTTCGTCGTCTGTTGCGACGCAAAATCCATGCGCGCTACGTATGAACCGGTTTCCCTCTTTTTGCTTCTAACGGTAACGCCATCCCTGCTATTCATACATTCCTTGTCGGCCTCCGTCCTTCGGAGCGGTATGGTTCTGATACTGTCCAATCGGCACTACTTTGCTCGCTTCCAACATGTATGTATGCGTGATGGGACTACATTAACTAGGTAGAGCGAGGTGTTTCTCCTATTGCTGCTGCTGTTGTCGTTATTGCTGCTGTCCTGGCTTGGCATACATACTTCCCAGCTTCTGATTTCCGCGCGTGTGTGCGTGCGTGTGTTGCCGTACTCGAGTGAATGTCTCAATGAGAAGAGGACAAGCATTGCCTACACAGCCGCTTAGGTTTCCCTTTTTACGCAGTGTCTGTGTGTTTGTGAGAGAGTAAGCGCGTGTTGCGCCGCATTATAACCCGTTTTGGGATAACCAAAAACAAAGGCCTGCCGGTCCCAAGGGGACTGTATGCGGCCTGCCAGGCTAACTAGTCTCCCGACGTGGCGTTTGGGGAAATAACGGTCTGGGAATTATAGAAACGACGAATGCACTGAGGCTGATGATGGATTGCAGTGCGGTTGATAGTTGGAGGTTGGTGGTTTGGGCCGGAAGGTTACGTTGGTGGTTGGTGTGGACAGCTCCGCCCACAATAAAGAAGCGGATTGTACTCACGAGTGGGTTTCAATATGCAAATGCAGCAGCGAAGTCAAGAGTGATGGTGGGCGTAATGCGAAACCGAAATCCGCTGGCCTCTGCCATTCCCGTGGCTCGGCTGCCATCGCGATGAGGATTTTGCGTCACCGGCGGCCCGACGTACGACCGACGTAGGAGTGCGTCCTGAGTTCATCCCCACCCGGGAATATCCAGGACATAGTCCCCAGCACATTCTGTCCCTCTGGTTACTTCAATCTCCGTAAAAAGAAAGTCTTCATCCTGGACCTACAATTTTGCATCTGTATTGCAGTAATAATAACTTACGCCACGGACGAGCCTATGTCGGGCGCATTCCTCGGTTGGTTTCAATCACATGCCGCGTATATAATATGAATGAATATTTTCTGTGTATGAATTTCTTTTTCAGAAAATTTGCAATCTATTTCGCTCCGAACTGGCGTAGCATTGTGAGAGCATTATACTATGGCTATGCGATATCGCTGCTGCACTGCCATTTCATTTACGCCTGCTTGAGCTCATTGCAGTTCTTTTGCCCTTGACTAAATCATGGCTCCTGGACGTGGGCCGTTGACTACATTATGGCTCCTGGACTTGGGGCATTTCTTTCTGGTTGCCTTTTAATAATATCTCTCTGCGCAATCGTAACTGCTATACGCACTTAAATAATTGGGGCCACCAATCGACCAACAAAAGAAGAAGTATCCTCTGGCTGCTGCAACTGCACTCGGTGGAGTGTAAGATGGGGGCAATCTCTTAGACGGTAGCCTCGTGCAGTGCAGGATGTCGTACGTTGCAGAACATTCCAAAACATCCTAAGTCGGGGGTTTTGCTTACCATTTTGTATGCGTACAGCACAGTCCGGAATTGTACGGCACAGCATCTCTCAATGTTGCAACCTACCTTACCATCGGCCAGTATCGAGACACCCTCACAGCGACGATGGCGCGCAGCACTGCGGCTCACCCCCATGTACTCGCACACAAAAACAATTAGCCAAAGACTTCTTTTGGCCCGAAAGACCGCCTCCGCCGCGACCCTAACCAACATACCAAGACATAAATGGACACACACAAGTTCATTTGCTTCGCTAGCTTTCCCAACTGAAGACAGACAGCCGTGTTATGGCGCCAAAAGACGCGGACCCCAAATCCCCAAGCAAGCAAGGAATGGGAAAACCTGAACGAGTAGACCCGAACATGGAGCTGCCTCTTTAGTGTACGACAGAGTGCAGTGCTCGTCGCGCAGGCTTAGTAATTTCAAAAAGAATGCACACGGAAACAGACACACACACGCGCAAAAAGAAGTCGTCACGCACACTCAGAGAGCCACCTAAGGTAACTTTCAAAACGACCAGCACGCTTTGACGGATCCGGGTTCCTCGTTTCCAAAAATATAGACATACATACATATCCACTCCACGGCACCCCCATTCAGTGCTTCTATTTAACCATCCTAATGCTAATTTGGTTGCCTCCCTGCGAGAGAAAGCCATGCGGTACCGCAGCCAGTCTCTCGTGGTTCCATGGTGACATGGACTGGCTTCGGAGCTCAGAAAGGATTGACCCCGCCGGGATGGGTATTCCGGTGCGCCAACCTACCTTGCTATCATCGCTCGTAAACCGCGGGTAATCCACTCCGCACATAAAAACGTAAGCTCCCTAAAAAGCAATTCAGCCTGGGCACCCAACCCTAAAACCCTCCACCAGCGGCTGAACGGCCATCTGTTCCAAACCCCCGACAAACGACCTCGCAACCACCTTACAACGGCCGCAAAAACGGAAGTGCCAAGGAGCGAAGGTTGTACGGAGTAGCTGCCGCCCCGGCTGCCACCGCAAGAAAACCCAACACACTCTTCCCCCCCACGCCTGGGGGAAGAAGAATGGTACGGATGTTTTTTTCCTGCTTTCTTTTTTCTGCTTTCTTTCCGCATTTTAGTTTAGTCTTGGCGGCTAGGTAGGTAGTTTTCCGCTATCTTCGCGACTTTATCACCACTTTATCCTCCTTCACAAGTCGCGACTGGTTCATTACTCTTTACATACTTCTGGCGTATCAGTCTGTCCTTTGCTTCAGCTTCACTCGTTCACGTGGTTCGTCTCCCTCCATACACCTGAACGAAGGCGCCATCACAAGTCAAGCACTTGCACACGCCGCAACCACCACCGCGTGTCCTCTCTACAGCCTCAGTTCTTATGTAGGGTGGCTGTTGGGTGCTGATAGGATCGATCAGCTTAGTTCAGCACACGTCCACTGTTACCACATGCGCTTTCGAGTGCAGACCCAGATCGTGATGCTGATGGCAGCAACTGCTGCTGATGATGATAATTGGGTCGACACCATAGTGCAGCAGGAACAGCTTCCTGCAGTTGCCGCTGGTGATGATAATAGTCGTGGTGGTAGTGTTTGATGTGGGTCATGCACAGGCGCAGAGGCGCAGCCGCAGCAGCGGTTACCGGTCGGGCGTGCGCAGTGTGGCAGCGGTTTTATGGCTCTTAAGGTGCTGCAAGGTGGCCTCCTACGGGGACTGGGACAAGAGGATCCGTCGGCATGAAGGAGCCCTGCTACTTCCCCTGCTACCCCTGCTACCCCTGCTACCCTGCTACTTCTTGGCGGGGGCCGGCTGTGGTGACTGGCCCTGTTCCTGCGTGCGCATGAAGGTCAGAGGAAGGTGAGGTGTAGCAGCTTACGGGGAAGGGAGCAGTCGGTCCTGGTCCAGTTTGCTGCAGATCGTAAGGAACTTGGTTGGGACCTCCGATAGTAGCGATATGAATTGCATACCTGCAACGCACTCTCCTTCGCCATCACAGCCTGGCTAGCAAGCTCAAACTCAGCTTCCAAGGCTGCCTCCTCCTACAAGCGACATGCACACGTGGCAAGGCTTCGACAGATATCGCTGCCGGCTGCAATCCTTTACCTGAAGCTGTGCTTGCCTTAATCGCTTGGAATCTTCTGCTTCAAGCCTGCGAATACATGCAGCGGGGACAATCACTCAAAATTTGTGTGTCAGTTGTTCCTTTCTCGCTTGTAGGCCAAAGACTTACTGGGCCTGTAGTTGTCGTGCATATACTTCGTCATCTGCCATTTTTCACAGCTCGTTGGCTGTTGGATTATTCCGTATCATGATTATTATGGCGTGATGGTAATTGCGATGTACGACGCTGCTTCGTGTAGTTGCCTATGGAAGTAATTGTTTTAATAATTCGGTGCCCAATATTTGGAGCTGAATCTGAAAGGAAAGATTTGGACGGCAATATTGAAGCAGTGGAAACCGACGCGGTTGGATGACAGAGTAGGAACTTGGGAGTACACTTGGCACAGGCCCTTGCGAGAGAGTAGCAGAGTCAAATGCAGCAACAGGCAGTGGCAGTTACAGAGTAGGTGCTATCGCATATGGCAGAAGATGGCGCGTTGCCTTGCAACGTGCCAATCAACGGACGTGCCACCCCGAACACCTCCCGCAGTTTATACGGATTTCCAATCAAAGTCCTTCCCTCGCAAGAGGAAGAGCGCCGAAGTTGTGATGCAAATGTGGAACGCGAGCAGGTTGGTATTTCGAGGGGAAATGGAAGGTCCTCTGGATTTTCCTTATACGAAAGCACCTGGTCAGCGCTGGCTATGGACATTATTGTAAAATGCGTCCGGCTTCTTTATTCCCAATTCTCGGTGGACTCCAATTCTTCTGCCTCCGCAACACCTCCTTCCCCCTCCCCCTTGAACCTTCCAATACGAACATCATACTTCCGGCATGTACTTCTGCCACGTGGCTGCAGGTATTGTGGATGCCGTATATCGAAAAGGAGCGTTTACCCAACAGCGAGAGCAAGCTCAAAGAGATGATCCGCAAGGTGAAAAGCGGATTATCTCTGCACGGTGATCTCTGCAGATCATTTCTGTAGTCATGCACGGAAAACGTAGCGCCCAAAAATTAGGGCAAATCTGCCGATTGGCATTTTCATTTCTCCCTTTCTTAAAACCACCCACACCCACACCCACACCCACACCCCTGGGCGCTTTAGAAGGGAATATCATGTCCACCAAGGCCTGTGCCTTTCTGTCTAGGCTGTAGACTTTTTTTAAGGTTGGGAGAAGGACATAAAAGCACTTCAGTATGGTTCCTAGGGAGGGTTTGGCAGCTTAGGAAACAAAGAATCGGTCTTCATGAGAAATCATCAAACGTTACAAAGGGTACCTGCAAGCAATTGAAATAAGTCTTCCTTCGGTGGGTGGAGGCCGGGTGGAGGCTCCAGCTACCGCGAGGCGGACCACTGAGGCCTGGACACCTAACGCCTAACAGCAGTGACCTTATGTAGCTACGGAACTCGAAAGATACTCTAACACACCAGAGCGACCTCCTTTACCGGCATTCCATGCAGTACCAACACACACAACCAACTATGTCACAGTTCACAGAAAACCTCGGTGTCCTATCGTTACTCTCAGGAAACCTTCAGTTGCAGGTCTTTTGTCTAATCTAAGTTAGGGTTGGGTGGGCCCTTTTACGCGGCCCTACCGCATGTGGATGAACGAACCATCAGATGTTTCCGTGTAACCCGAGATCGGTACGGCACCCTACGCCTCCTAAAATTGTTCCGAATATGCGTCTCAGTCTGCATCCCTGCCTGTATGTATGCCGATTGCACGGCATTTGAACATTCGGTCTGCACGCCTGTTTGCTTTTCTCTCTGCTGCGAGTTTATAAGGTTTGGGTTGCCCGTCCGTCTGCCTCTCTGTAGATGTGTTTGTCGGTATGCCTGTCGATCTATTTGCGCTCGTCACGGCTTGCATATAAGTTTCAACTAAAATTTGCATTTGGGGGCTTTTGCGCTGTTAGCTTATATCATTTTATGTACATATTACGTATGCATGTGTACATGTATGTATGTACGCGTGTTTATTTCTGCATTTATTCTGTGAGCGATCTGCTATATTGTATTTTTGGGTGCCGACGCAGGGTGTACCTCCCACTCTGCGCCACTGGGTATGGATGGAGGTCAGCGGGGCCCGGAAGAAGAAGGCCTCACATGCAGGTGGGTCTGGATCCGGATCCGGATATCTACATCTGGATCTATCCGAAATATGAAATCCAGGTCTGTGTTCTCGGATCTGGGTCCGGACCTGGATTCGGTTCTGCGAGGTTGAAGGACTTCAAATCTAGATCAGTCAGCTTTAAGACAACAGTTCCCTGCGGGGCTGTTTGGGGGTAGTCAAACCACGGGCCGACTTTCGTCGGCACTCCATCAAGGGTTGCCTTGACGGTGGTGGGGGATTTCTCGCACGTGCTCCTGACAAGGATCTGTGGGTTGAACACGCCAAAGCAGCAGATGATTAGGTCCATCTCGACTATGGTTTGTGGAATGGGGGGATACAGCTTCACCTGTGCTCACTAGCCTGTAAGTCCATCCCTGCTAATGTTTCCTAGGGAGGCACCTTCAACCTTTTCACACAACATGCCGACTTCTGCGAACGAAGTCCGTCCTGTGACTTTCCTGGGTTCAGCACCCACTACCATCGCCCGCATGCATCCAGCGGAATCTGGCTGGATCACGCAACGGCGGCAACAACTCCCCTCCTTGTCGGTCGGCTCGCAGGTCTATCTCCCGCTATAACCGGGATCTGTACATGTCCTTCGGCATGCGCATGCATCGGATGGGGGTATGGGGGTGCATCTATCTACCCTTTTAGGCGCCGTCACTTGATCGAATCCTCTGGCCTGCTACACACAGCAGCTCAGATGCAAAGCAACCTCCTTTCCACCGAGCGCATGCTCTGCAGCTGCGCGATCCACCAATGCACTCACACCGGTGCCAATCGCCACCCTATCCTTGCGAGTTCTGCCGCCGCCGCCCGGTTTCGTTATCCAACCACCAACTGGTATGCAGTCGGGTCAAGGCCCTATGCAGGATTATTCCTTCACCACTGCTCTACGGCAGTGTATAGATCTTCGTGTTGGGCTCCCCCTCCAGCAGCCCAGCGCACTGGAGGAACCCGGCATGTCCAGATTTGAACACCCCGACCTACTTCACCGGGGGGGGGGACCAGCGGTGGGACCCGAACCCGCATCTTCCGATAGAGCTAGATGCCGTCCCTGGGATTCGAGCTCCAGACTTGCCGACTATCTAGCCCGGTGTTCTACCGTATGTGTGTGTGTGTGTGTGCACGCTAATGAAAACCCGTACCTTGCACCACACGGCGGGGCCCGCCCCAGGGATTGCTTGGACCCAGATCAAGATCAAGATCAATCAAGATCCAGTTCCAAAGCCGGATCCGCCAATAGGAGCAGGCCCCTTGACCTGGTCTCTTCCCTCTCCTTTAAGGGGGCCCCCAAACCTTGTGTTGATAAGGGAGAACGGTTAGGACTCTGGCCGATATAACGCCCCTCCATTGATGGGAGCGCTTCAGCGGTCGTTCCCGTTGCAGTACGGTTAGGTGCTCCTGGCCAGCGTCAGGCCCGGATCGATATGTAACACACACATAGTACGCGCGCGCGCACACACACGCACGCACACGGCAGGAGAGAGACGGCCGCACCTGCCAAAACATATTGTTTGTCCCCTCTCCTCCCCCCCGTGCCTCTCTATCCCCTCCCTTGAGGTCTCGTTTGGCTTCGTTTTGTTAATTGTTTGTTTGCTGGACAGCCTGCCTGGTTGGAGTCCAAGTCCTGAAAGGTCTTCCTTCCCTTTCCAGCACTTCTGATGCTGCACCGGCGTGTTTTCGTGGCCCCCATTCCCTCCAGATGTGTTTTTACACCACCGGCGTGTTTCCCGCCTCTTCCCCCCTCCCCCCTTGGGCAACCCCCTCCTTCCAGAGTCGTACTACTCGATCATGGTCAAGGCGGGCGAGGAGTCCGCTAACAAGAAGGACATTGAGATGGTGGGCCCGGTTTGGTCTGTATGTGTGTCTGTTTGTATGCTGTCATTTTGTTTCCATTTCGTTTGGTGGCAAAGTTTTATTTGCACTTCCTTGCACGTCTTTAGCCTTAGCACGCATTGTGCCGTACCAATCCATTTCTGTTTGGCTTTTCGGGCTTCATCATTTGCCTCGCATTTGCATGCCCATGAGATCCCAGCGGATCGCAACCCACAACCCTTACCTTTTTACTTCCCAACCGCCGTACAGGACTCGCAACACACCTTCCCCGAGCACCCCTGGCTGTCCAGTGCCGATGGCCAAGCAGCCCTAAGAAGGGTACTGCAGGTACGACACATGCGTACACGATGAACGGCAGGCCGTACAGGGAGATCGCAAAGGGATGTCAAGTTTTTTTCTATTCTATTTTTTGACGCTCTGGGTGCCGCCATGTCTCATGTGGTGCCACGCAACCCTTCTTTCAACCTCACATCAATACATCCAAACCTACATAACACGCCCCAGGCGTACAGCGTCCACAACGACCGCGTTGGTTACGTTCGCGCCATGAACGTGATTGTGGGGCTTATGTTGGTTGCGCTCAACCGAAACGAGGAGGCGGCTTTCTGGTTGTTGGCCGCGCTGGTGGAAGACATCCTGTATCCGGGGACATACAGCAGAAATCTGGAGGGATGTCAGGTGGGGGCGGTGGGGGAGGTGGGGGAGTGTCGTGGAGTACTAGGGTTCTCAGCCTCGGATGAGCCCATGCAGCCATAAGCTACCGCCTAAAATGGAGAAGACATCCTCAGGAATTGGCCTGCTTGCATAATTGTGTGTGTATTGATCCGATCTGTCTGGTCTAACCCTCTTCTTCCCCCCCTTCTTCCCCACCTCCTATGCCCTCCCAGGTTGAGATGCGGGCGCTGGACGAGCTGATCTCCACCAAGCTACCCCGCCTGCACGAGCACTTCACTGCCATAGACCTGGATATCTCCATGCTGGCCACTGACTGGTACCTGTGCCTCTACTCCCTGTCACTGCCGTCAGAGGTGAGTGCGTGCGTATGTATGTACTACACACACGTACATATGCATGTGTGCTTCAATCATCTGAGCGGCGATGAGGGAAATGATGTACGTATGTGTGAATGCGTGAATGCGTATGTATGCACATGCTTGTGTGTTGGGGGGAAGAGGGGGTTGAAGGGGGGGAGAGGAATGGACAGCCGCGGCGGCATCCAATAGTGTCATCCGCACTGCAGTGGTGGTGGGGACGCCCCGGGGTGAGGGGGAGGGGAGGGGAGGGGAGTCACACACCCTAGGCTTAGTTGACCTGCACGAGGTCTCCTAAGATCGCCTGATAAACAGGACCACTGACCGACCGATAGACAGACAGATAAACAGACAAGGTGATGACCTAAAACAAACGCGCCATGGATGATCAGTCCGCATTTCCCTCCCCCCTTCCCAGGAAAATGCTGCCGTACCTCTTGCTCCACGCTTGGGTCAGTCCTGTTTGAGCTCTATCTGACTCAAACCCAGGATCGCCTTCCTCTGCTACCTACATCCCGGCTGTCCCCACCCTCTCCACTCCACGACAGATACATACATACATAACATGTAAACTGATATACACGCGCATGTATACGTACACCCCCAGACGGTGATGCGGGTGTGGGACGCCCTGTTCTTCGAGGGCCCCAAGATCTTGTTCCGGGTGGCTCTGGCGCTTCTCAAGATTTACGAGGAACACATGCTACGAGTCAAGGACGCTGGTGGGGATGTGAGGGGTTGGAAAAAAGGGGGGGAGTTGGCTGGGGGCCCTGCGGCCTGCGGAAAACATGGAAACGCCCCACCTAACCGGTACTCAGCTTCCATAAGCCGCTTCCGCTCACGCGTAGCACCCCCAAAAATGAGGACCTCGCACTTGGCGGCGATCGCGGCCATACCTGTCGCTTTGCAGTAGGCTTCGAGTAGCCCCAGAAGGCATTCTGCTCTATCGTGCCCTGTCGCTACCAGTGACACATCGTCAATGAAACGTAGGTTAGTGAGTTCACCGCCCGCCAGGCTAACACTCTGCTCACGAAGGGTGCTCCATCGGCTAGGGAGGCGTACACGGCAATTAGCATCGTGAGCATTAATATAATGAGCGAATACTTCTATGAAGCGTCCAAAAAGGGTTACGCTAAGGGGGCACCCTTGCTTAACACCACGCGCCACCGTGAATTCAGGTCCCAACTTATTTCCGTAAGCCTAACATGATGTATATGTATGTGTGCATATGTGCGAAGAGTTTATGTCTATGTGTGTATGACGCCCTTGTTGCAGGCGAGCTGATGATGCGGATGCGCAACGCCGCTGCCACCATGCACCAGCGAGATGTGCTGCTTGCCACCGCCTTTGACGGCATTGGGGGACTGCCCATGGCCACCATTGACCGCTTCCGGGAGCTGAAGCAGCGGGAGGTGGAGGAGATGTTGGCGGGGAGGGGCATCAAGGCGGAGGTGCTGGCGGGAGGTGAGAGGAGGGAGGGAAGGGGAGGGGGGTTTTAGGTAGGGGTTGGGTTACCGAGATGTGTTTCGTCGGGTTGTGAGCAAGTGGAAGTCCCGTATTGCCTTCGGGCGATTTGTTTCCTGACTTCCCTCTTCCCCTCGACCCCCTGTACCCCTTCTCCACATATTCTCTCTCTCTCTCTCTCACACACACACACACACACACGTGTCTAGCTGGTGGCAGCAGTGGCACCTCCCCTGCAATGGAGAAGGCGGCCAAGGAGGCGGCTGAGAAGATGAAACAGGGCTTTGGTAGGGATGCGGATGGGGATGGGGGTAGGGGTAGGGATGCGGATGGCGGGCGTGGGGGCTTCAAGGATCTGAGCCACGATGAGGAAACGGTGATGGGAAAAGACGTTGCGACCGATGTTGTCTGTCCTGAACTGGTTTGCAAGTGACGTTCCTCTGCCCTCCTTGCGAAAGACGCTGCAGTACCTGCTTGACCCTTTATCGGCTTGCAGCGGAATGAGGACCTTCAGGCAAGCGCTACATTCGTGGCTTTCCGATACTTCACGATCTTCTGCAACGCTCTTTCTCTCTCTCTCACACTCTTTCCTTGCGATTCACAGGCAAGTTCATGGCGGGCGTAACCAAGCTGGCCGACAAGACAGCGGAACAGCTGGCCCGGATGAATACCAGGGAGGACCAACAACAACCAGCCGTCGCCACCGGCGGCAGCCCGGCACCGGCACCCGTACCCGCACCCGCCGCCCCCTCCGCGGCTTTGGGTTCCCCGGGGGCTTCCTCGGAGGGGTCGGCAGTGGCAGCCGCGGCACAGGAAGGGGCGGAGAAGGCGCCGTCCGGTAATCCCTTCATCTAAGGAGATGCGAGGGAAGCAGTAAGGCGGAGGGGCCCGCAAAGTGAGATGGGCTAGGAGGGATATTGTTGGATGCAACCAGGCTGAAACAATAACGTCGTTTCCTTGGAAGGGAAGGGGTGAAGGGAGAGGTTGTGCGGATACACGGGGAAAGGGTGTGGGATGGGGCCAGCACTGCGGCGGGGTCGGGGCTTGATTGTGCTGGATTTTAGTAAGTGAACCGCGTGTGTCAGTGTGCGTCCATGTATGTATCTATGTGTGTATGTATGTTTGTATCTATGTATGTGACTGTGTGTGCATGTATGTGTGTCAGAGCAGGATGTGGAGTCTAGAGAAAGTGGAGGTTGTTTAGTTTCGCGATGGAGGCAAGGCTCTCGCTTGCTGTTGTTGGATGGGGAATTCTGTTTGGGGAGGGAGGTGGCACTAGGGGGAATATGCCGCGGCTGCTGGTATTGCTGCCGCCGCTGCTACTGCCGCCGCTGCTGTGGCACTGGTGTCAATGGGGAGGGGTATTTTGCGATGTTCATTTTTTCCTTGCCGGTAGGTTTGCGTGTGCGTGTGTGTACAGACGATGGCGCCTGCGTCAGCAGAGAGCGATTTTGCTTGGTTCGGTGTGGACTTTGGAGAGACACCAGTTGCTGTCATCCTTTCCTATCCTTTACCTTTGGGTGACACTGGGCTGAGCCGGTCTTGGAGTCCCTTGAGTCGGCGTTTAGATAGTCGATCAGGAGTTGATCCTGTGCGATACTCCCATGGCTTCAAGCCCGCAGCTTTGGACATCTGTCCGCAGCTGTTCTGTATCCTTAGCTTAGCGTCCTGAGGACGAAGACCCCACGTTTTGAGTTGTTGCGCAGGGATGTTGCTGTCTGGTAGGTCTCGGCTTGTTTTGGTGCTTAATTACTAAACTGACGAGCCAGCGGTCTGGTACACCAAGGGAATGAAAACCGTGTGGGTTGCTGTGGCTGTCGAACCAGGATGATTTTTCTTGTGCTTTGACAGATGATGGGGACGGTGCGTTATCCCGTATCAATGGTGGGGCCTTGAGCAGGCTTTGGCCAGGGGCTACCACTAGTGTCGTCGGGCCCCCACTGTACGGTCAGCGTGCGGTAGTGAAAGCGAGTGAAGGGGGTTGGAGGGAGCACCAGTGTTTATGATGCGGCGGTCTTGGGTTGAGCACCATGGCACGCAAAGGCGTGTTGCTGTTGGTGGTTCCCCCCATGTCCTCTTTCTGGCCAAACCTACATGGTTGAAGAAACTTACGGTATGGCACAATGCTTGTACTTGACTGGACCACATGCGGGATGTGTGCAGGCGTCGATGTGTTTTCTATAGGATCGTGTCGTGAGTAGGATGTAGCGAGGGTGGGACAAGAGCAAGTTTGGATGGGATAAGAGTTTTTGAAAGTTCTTGGTGATAGGGAGAATGACACCTGAGCAAGGTGAAATGCCGGCGCTATGGTGGCGATACACGGCCAGATGACCTATGAGCAAGGCAATAATGAAGTCAATAAGGCATATATGCTGTGGCAGTGCATACATGGCGTACAGACGATGCATGACCCAGTCGCATTGAGGATCCGAACGCGGAAACGGACACTTCCTGCCCGCCTGCGAACCTTCGCCCTGTATCCCCCCTTCATCACACACGCAAATGATAGAGGGCAAAAATGAAGCGTACTAGCAGGCGATGTTTTCGTATGGATTCGCATTTCCCACAAGGGGGACGCCACGAAGCCAACAGGCGATCGTCACATCCTCGTCACATCCTCGAACTGCGCTCCTAGGTGCATCGGAGTCCGTTCGTGCCCACCGAAAAAACCATGTTTGGCGCGTACACTATTGCAAACATCTTGCATGGTGAACAGATGAGACTAATGTTTCAGTCTTGGTGATTGCGGAAGCAGCAGCTGGCCCAAATAGCTCCCGTATCTCTGTACTCTTGCAGGTGCACACCATCACATCACCACATCACCACCAGACCACTACGGTGCTGCCGCCCCGCATCCCGTTTGACCTGCCATCCATCCGTTCTTCCGTTCGTTCTTCAGGGCTGGCCTCCTAAGCGCTAAGCCACAAGGGCCCGCTTACGCACAAGCGAGCGAGCGCAAACATTTCGCACCCATGCATCATTCACAAACGCGCACATACAGAGACGCTCAGTTCAACGCACACTCACGCCCAGCTCACGATGAGGACAAGCATGCGAGCGGGTGCGTTCGCAGCTGCAACGAGATGCGTGACAGTCAAGGACAGCTAAAGAGCAACGTCCAATCTGCTCTGGGGCAGTCAAAGTGCAGTCCGACGCTGCTCCGCGCACCTTGCCGGCTGCACTTACAAGCAGGTGACAAAGCAATCTTCTCCAGCGGCATTGTCTCCATCTCCATCTGCGCCAATCCCGTCGTCGCGTGCCCCGTCATCCTCAAAAAAGTCCGCCCACCGTCCAACCCCGCCCGCTTGGCAGAAGCCGCCAGGTGCCGGGCTGGGTGCTGTTGCCAACGGCGCTCGTACGCCGGTCACACCGCCGGTTGTATAAGCTGGCGGCCTGCTGCTGCTTCTGCTGCTTGCTGTAACTGTCCCTGCGGTGAAATGCTGCTGGTGGACGGGTGAGCCTGGGCAGGAGGAGCCGAGTTGCTGCTCCTCATGGTGGTGGAAATGGTGGCGCTCATGTGACTTGTGAAGTTGAGGTGGATAGTAAGAACCCTGAGAAGGGCCATGAGGCGCTTGCTGGGGTTGCGGCTGGTTTGGGAGCAAATGCTGCGGGTACATCAAAGGTTGCAATTGCTGCCATTGTTTGCCGAGGTGTTGGGATGCCTGATCTGGGTAAAGTTGCTGTCCTTGTTTTCGTTGGTGTAGTTGCTGTGCGTGCTGCGAATTGGAAGGGCCCTGCTGTTGTTGTCGATGTGGGTCTTTCTGGGCTGCAGTGCCAGCGTCCCATTTCTGAGGCCCCCATGTATTGCCGCTGCTCTGGGGCATGAGAGGAGGCCCCGCGGGAACTGGACTACCGTACTGCTGCTCACTCAGCCGGAACAATTTCGGCTGTGGGCCCGGGGCCAGACCGACAGCGGCGCCCTCTGGCACCTGGGAGTTGTCAGGGCGGTTAATAGGGCGGGAGGCGGGGAACGTGCTGTTCTGGGGCTGGGCCGGTTGCCGGCTGCTGCCATACACGCGCTGCGCCGGACCCGCGTAGTTTAATCGGCTATGTTGTAGATGTGGCTGGTCCTGCTTCGGTGCTTGCACGGTGATTCCTGAGGCGTTGCCCTTGTTTGGCTGCCTCGCGCTGCTACTCTCCTCCATGCGGCGTTGCTTGTACGGACGGCTTTGGCACCCACGTGAACCGCGGCCACGTTTACCATCCGGCAGTGTAGTGACTAGCCTTTCACAACCGTTATCGTCTCCGCAGTCCAGACCGGTGTCGTCGCCATCGTCTGCGAAAGCCATCCAGTCGACTGCTGCTGGCTTTGCTTGGACAGTGTCGACATACAAGCTGGTTGGCACACCATGTCCAGTATGCCCTAGGGTATGAACGTTTTCGAGTCGTTGCAGGGCTGCGTCTTCTTGGGCTCCTTGAGCAGCAGCAGCGCCCATGTTAAGTCGCTGCACGTGCAGACGGATATCTTTGGCCGCATCGCTTATTGCGTATATGTGCTGAACAGTCTGCTTCTCCCCACAAATGGCGCAGTTAAATTTCTGCACTTTCTTAACTTGCTGGACCTGGAAAGTGTTGCATTTGTAACATTTGACGGCCTGAAACTGTTGCGGCATAATTTCTGCACCTTCTAAGCAGTTGCTATATCGAGATGGCTGAGGCTTCCAGCAAACACAACTCTTTTTGGTTTCGGTGCATGGTTCCCTTGCCGCCCCGAGACCACATATGACCTCACTGGTTTCGAGCTGACCCATCAGATCGCTGAGCCGCTGGTTACCTTTGTCGCTGAACTGTTATCTTATCTATCATTTATCCATGACGGGGCCCCCTGAAGTGATCGGATGACAGATCCCCTCCGAGACGATAGTGCAGGGCAGTTGTGCGGTTGCTAAAGAGCAGCTTGTCGCAAAAGGCCACGTTTACCACACGTGCACTTGGGGAATGTGTACGGGCTCCCGGGGGTCAGGTGGTGCCTCCGTGTTCGTCAGGGATGCACTATCCACCGGAGCCAAAGATATGGCCCGCACACACAGATGTGGCACGCCGCCTAAGGGCTTGAGATCGTAATGGCCGCGGATTGCATATGTTCTCCCAACGGTCATTTCTTCGGCATGCAGGAGTGCTGGTTTGAAGTCCTTGGTCATCTTGCTTCGTATCAGTTATCATGGTACATGGTAATAGCAATTCCAGTAGGAACAGATGGTTGATATGCTGTAACATGGCCTTTGGCGGGTTACATGAGCATCCTTCACGCATCCACCCTAGCCTATTCAAGCATGTGACATGAGCTGCCAGGGGCTTCTGTCGCCACTGTCGCGTCACAGGGAAGGCCCGTGCTCCGTTTCTCCTACAGACATTCTCACACAGTTAAGGAAACAACATTACCACATTGTAACGTCACGACATGCACGGAACATACCACAGTCCATGCCGAAGGCCCGTAGACGGCCCAGGCATTCATCCCACCCAAATACACTAGACAACGAGTTGCGGTATGTGCACCTAACATGGTAAAAGTAAAAAATGTTCACTCCACATACTCCACAAACTTTAATCTTGGGGATTCACATATGGTTCATCGTCGCCATGCAGTCATACCCATACTCAGCTTCCACACCGCTAAGCAGCATTCACGCGGTTTTGGCATTCCGCTCTGCTCGAGACGTCCTAAAGCCGTCATCTGTTCACGCAGGCAATCCGACTTGTGGAACTGGGATGCCCGGACCGAGTAACCCCGCAAGCAGCGCCAAGGAATCCCCACCCCAAACCGGGTGCCGTCCATTGACGCAACATCCGCCCGCAAAGATTCCAAGCAGGAAATACCGTTATCCCCTGCCGCCTTCCGAGCACAACTAAGCCAATTTACGTTCGCTATCAATGATGCGTAGAACCGGCACGCGTAGCTTAAGTCCCACAAGCAACAAGCTGCGGCAACACGAAGTGACATAAGGACGATGCAGCCCGCAATGCACATCGCCTCGCCCCAGCGCCACAAACTGGACTTGACATGTCAAATGGTCAAAACTTTGCCCTGCAGCCACAGCTGGCCACTGCTGGGGCCCCTCGTCCCCAGCCTCTGATCGCTTCTCATCGTAAATCCACACCGTCCACCGACAGCCAGCAATCGCACCCAGCACGCAGGTGGCCCGTACTCGCGGGTCTGGACGAAATGTCCAGATCAGCAGGATTGGAAGATCATTACCGGCCAGCTTTAAAAAATCATGGCCAGATCGGCATCCTGCTTGGCCAACTCCAGAAGCATGGGATCGTCGAAGAACTTGTTAATCGACACGTCATCGCTCATGCCCTTGCGCCTTCGCGTCTTCACCATAAACTCGCGCGCCAAAGCCTGTAGTCATCATAGCGTGAGGTAGAAGCAAAACACTACTCTGTACACAAAATTCTGGCGTGATTTTGCTACAAGGTAAACTGTGCTTCATGTTGCTTTCGGCGGAGTGGTGAGCACAGGCATCACCCAAAACTCTATGCCACAAATGGCACTGTCCGTCCTCCCGTAGCCGGCACTTTCGCAGCCTAGCCAGCTCACCTGGATTGGCGCCGGCTCCAGCGGCCGCAATACAATGGACTTGTCCAGGGGATCGCCCGGCACCACCTGCCAGTGGTCGAACACTGACTGGCAGAAAGCTTGGCCCTGCATAGACCCATGAACAAGGATTAAACGAGATAAGGAGAAGAGGCAGTGGAAAGTAAATGAAGAGTTCATTTCTATGGCGGCGAAATGCACCGAATCGCCATAGCAAGTACACCAGCTTATTTTCAATGCGCACTACGGTCCGTGGTCCAGCCAGCCCATAACAAAAGTCCGCGCCGCAACGGCAATAGCTCATTGCTGCAGCACCGCACAGAGCTAACGCATTGCCGTGTTATCTGCGTCCCTTCCGTTGCCGGCAGGTACCAAGCCAAGCCCCCTCTGGCGGCTGGTGCCTCCGATGCCGCCGCACCCACCTGCGTGTGGTATCGCAGGTCCGTCTCGAATCCAAAGCTCTCAATGACCGGCAGGTAGGCCTTCACGATGAAGATGGGCGTGCCGGGCTTGGGCACATCCGCCGTCACGTGCCCTCTGCGATCGAGATGTCGGGGAGATATGTCTGTTGAGACCGTAAGCCACAAGCCGCAGAAAGGAAACCACGTACAGTAGCCACACTTTCACACGTCGAGAACACGAGCCCCGCCATGCGATCAGAATAACGTCCCGGTATCACGGTAATCCTGTTCAGGTCAAGTGAACCCGGTAGCGAACAAATCCACATAATATATCCCTTCAACCACAGAGTCTCTGCCGTCAGCCGGTTCCCCCGCCACGTGCTGCACCTTCGCTTGGCAAGCACGTTATAGATGGCGGCGATGCAATCCGCAGGCGTCTGGATTTCCACGTAGTACACCGGCTCCATGAGGCGCGGCGTAGCCATGAGGAAGGCCGAGTAGCAGACGCGGCGCGCGGTAGGAATGACCTGGCCACCGCCGCGGTGGATGGGCTCCGGCGCAATGGTAGCGTCCAGGATCTTGAACTTGACGTTTCGGATGGGCTCGTCACATAACGGCCCCTCGCGGGCACCCCATTGGAAGCCCTGCAAGAGTGGATTCCCCGTCCCGAAATTGCAGTACACGCCTGAGCACATACGTATAACGTGCTATCATGCTCGACGGTCGCGGACTTCCTTGCCTGTTACCGTCTCGTTGCTTGATCTCTTCCTGATGGTCAGCTTTACCAAGCATAGACGAAATACAGCAATAATTTTGCCAGCAGCCGAGGTTTCTTGCGATTCGGCCACAAACCCAACATTTCGACTGCCTGACTGATCGGGACCGACCGAAATATATACCCACAGACCCGCATAGCGTCTTACACGCAAATCAATCCGTCCACACCTGAATGATGGAGTCTCGGACCGCGTTCAGAAGTCCCTTGTCCGTCTCAGCCGCCAGACTGTCATCCAGCAGCACGTTGGGGCCCTGCGCGTCCGGCCCGAACGCCCATAGACCGCGAACCGCCAGAAGATCCCACTCGTACCGCGATTGGAACCATTCCTGTGGTGCATACAGCAGCCGGGGATAGGGTGCACAGCCAAAGAAAGGATGAAGCATAGATGACCGCGACCAGAGAGAAAAAGGCGCGGGTCAATAGCTCCATTTGGACGCATTCGCTTTCATTAGATAGTTATTTACATTGAGACCATGGGTCACTGAAGATAGCAACCTTGCCCGGGGCCAGCACAATCATTAAGTAGTTATGCTACTGACCGGGCCAACACGTCGCCAATGTGTAGTACGATAGCAACGAAGATGGTCCGCCAATCCCTTCGCTGAAACGCCCTCGGGGAATGCAGCTAGACCGACCAAGACAAAATCACACCACACCACACCGCAGCACACCGGCGTGTCAAGGGCTCACCGTGAGCTGCTTGCGGCCCATCTCAAGACGCACGTTGCCCGCCTCAATGTCCTCTGCCAAGCCCTTGTCCAGCGGCTCCGCTATCATGGTAATCTTATTGCGCTTGTTGGGCGTCTCCGCAAAGCACTTGAGCGAGCTGCTCTCAACAACCGTTTCGCAAAAAGCTACCACCGGGTCCGCCACCTTGACCTCCACCTCTGCGCGAGACAGCACAATGGCAGCGTTCGCGTGAGGGGGCCGCAGCAACTGTGAGACTTTAACATATGGCTGGCGCGAGGTCAAGACATTGCCCCAGCGTCGGCAAATGACATCGTGGACAGGTTAAAGGACGATGCCATCTAGTCCCTCCACGCCAGTGGAATGGCGGATCTAAAACTGACGCAGCGGATGGCACTAATTGGCTTGATCTTTCCACCCCCACGAGCTCTCCTATACTCCTTTCTTTCTCGCCCGCCCTGCCCATGCCTATCTCTCTCTCCGTCCCTCCCCTTGATAAGAGGACCTCTACCTTACCCGCGTACAGCTCACGCAGGTCCTTCATGAGGCAGTCCAGGTACACCTCCCCGGTGCCGAAGATGGTGTGCTCGCCGCTCTCCTCGACGCGGGTGCTGCACATTGGGTAGCTTTTCGACACCTACACAAGGGAAAGAGGTACATTACTTCCATGGCATGCGCGTAATGCAGGCTGGGTGGTCCACTGTAGGCGCTATGTATGAGAACATATTATGAAGTGAAAACATGGCCCTGCTGACAGCGAGGTTCCATTTGAATTCTTACAAAGAGACGCCCCGCCTTACCAGGCCTACGTGAAAACGAAATGTGTACACCGAGCTGTACAGTGTATACCACATCTGGCTGCACCCAGACTGGACCTGCAACACATCGCACCTTGCGTAGCCCCTCTACCATCTTTGGCAGCTCCGAGGGGTTCAGCGGCTCCGCGGCAATCTTCACCGTGCTGCGAGTCTGGAACTGAAGCGGTCTACGGGGAAAAAGGCGCGACCGCAGACAGCAAGGCCGGGTAACCAAGCACCGGCATCATTAATAGGCGGCATCGCTCTTCGGTCTCATTGGGCGGCTAGACAGCGACAGCGGCCAAGCCGCGACGCCAAGTACATGTTTCGTACGCACAGAACCGCCAGACACAAAGCCACGTCACCATAACCTGGCAACCCCACCAACCTGGCATTAAACCCCTCACCTGAAGATATGCACCGGCTCATCGTACGCGTCTGCTACCAGCGTAGCTGTCCGTGTAATGGTGGCGTCCACGCCCTCGATCAGTACAAGGTTACCAGCGGTGGCCCGGGCCACAGGCACGCGATACCTGGCCTGGTATACCCACACATTCCCTACCGTAGCCACGGCGCTATCCTCCTCATCCTCAGGCGTGTAAGCCTCGCCAAGCACCTTGGTCCGGGGCCAGTACCGGGACAGAGGCGCGGGCAAGGGTGATGGTCCAATTAGAATTAAGGCAGCGGCTGCAACGGAAGCTGACAACAGCGGCTCAGGCGCCGGAGGTGACGGACAAGGCATTTTCATGTGGATTGGTGTACCGGAACACAGGACCCCGGAGCCCTCTGGATATGCCAGACGATGTAGGCATGCGCAGCCCGGGCGTAGCTCGGGCACTCGGTGACTCACATGCACCATGCACGTACGCTTTGCCATTGTGATTTGTTCCCCTCTGTCCCTTGAGGTTCGGAGCGCGACCCCCCTTTTTTTCAGCGGTTCCTGGAAACCCAAGGCGCCTGCCATCCCTGAAGAAGTTCAAGGCAGCTATAGCGCCCTCCGTTTCGCAATCCTACCTTAACCTGATCTCCGGGCCGCAGTGTCCCACTCATAATGCGGCCGAGTGCGTCGAATCGTGAGCAGTCTTGCCGGGGGAAGAGCTTAGCCACCGCTACCACAAGTGGCCCGCGCGGGTTGCAGGCGGACATAAATGACACGGCCGGCGCGTCCGGCGGACCACTGTAGTGCGCCGCCACCTTGGCTGCCGTTGCCTTTCGGCTGGGCGGCACGTGCTCGACGAGCATGTCCACGACACCTGAGCAATTTCCCAGCACGCTGGAGCAAACCTGGCGTGCAACCGGCATTCAGATAATGTAGACCATAAAGCGCAAAACTTAAGATCGAGGAAGTAGTCGACGAAATTATGATGCATCACAGGAAACACACTAAAGTTACAGTCATCATCATTATCATCCTCCCTCGTCCGCTTCAGCGCAAGGCGCCTTCTTAGCGCAACGTGCCTGGCCTCCCGGATGTCCGAGAGGTACCTGTCCAATGCCAGCTGCGGCGCCTCGGTCATAATAGTGCACATGCCGCACCCTTGAAACACGAGGTCACCGTCGTGCTTAGCCCATGTGTTCGTCGTGTAAGCAGGGCATTCCGCGAAAACGTGCAGTTTGTCTTTAAGCGCTCCACTAAATATGGAACAGCAAGTAGTAACGCTTTCAACAACCTTAGCCTTCGGCTCTGGAGTCCTCGTGCCGCCGACTTTCAAAGCCGACGTCTAAGTCTCCCGCTGTTTCAGCCCTACCTGTTTCAGCAAAGGCTTGGTGTCCAGGTTGTACATGGCGGTCCGCAGGAAAACGCCCAACCCCGCCAACATGGCCTCCACGGTCTTCGGGTGTTCGCCTGGGGACGACGTCCAAGGGCCCAAAACGTCGTTAAAAATCTACTTGAGGTCAACGAGAACACTGCGAGATGAATATTTACAGAAAGCCGCAAGAGGAAAGGCAAACATGGTTCCAGAAATGCCACGAGAAAAGAAAATGGCATACCGGAATTGTTCCAATATGGCTTTTAAGCTATCCGGCCTCACCAATTACAGTGCTGTACATCTTGAACAGCGGCTCCAGGATGAACTGGACAAAGCTGCGCTCCGTGGTCCCGCCGGCTCGCTGGGGGGTCCGCCGAAACACGCGGTCCTCCCGATGGAAATAAAGGTCGCCCCACAGCCGCTTCGCAAGCTCCCTGAGTGTGGCATAAGCGCTCTCTTTTTGCATGACTGGGGACGTGCATGAAAAGACTTCATGAACGAGAGCGCAAGGTAAGGCACTCAGGTCCCTAGGTTGTCCTTCAGGTTCATGACGTGCACTAGATTGGCTAGCAGCGCCCGATGGAAATTGAATGTATCCCGCAGTGAAATACACGTGCGGCGGTGGTGCGCCATTCGTGTCAGAATAAGGGGACTTGATTTCGCGGATCCCTGCACACGCATGCGCCGACCAGCTCGGATGCACACGCGCTGTCAATGCACGAGATGCAAGGACCCGTACACGCCCAGAAATTGGCAGACTCGTGCTTTCCAACCTGGATTCTGCACAAGAGCCATCCCTATCAAATTCAAAGTACCTCTTGTCCATACCGCGATCCATTATATATATACGGCGGCACTTCAGTGGAATGTTAACGGCGAGAACCTCCGCCAGTCTAGCATGTGCTCAGTTTCTTAAAAATCATACGCACAATCGTGCCCAATCCATGCCCCCGCACGTACCGTGGGTCGAAGCCAGCGCCAGATATGTCCGCGTAGAGGCGGGCAAAGGATTGGAGCGTGAACGACCAGCCGGATGCCGCCGCGCAGAACGCCACGTTGCCACGCACTGGATCGAGCAAACGCTCCGGCGGCACCTCACCGCCTGCGCAATCAAGATGGGCCAGGCATGTCAGGCGTGGCGCAGAACAAAAGAAATATTCAAGGCAACAGGCCATAATGCCAGCCATGCGCGATAAGCGCCATAGGCACCGCTTGGCAAACCAGGACGTCAGACATCCCGTGCATCCCCCTATAGTTCCTACGCCATACCCAAGGGCCGGTGCCCGTCCGTGCGCCTGCCTTACCACAGCACACCGCAATGAGATTGTTGACCTCCTCAATCGTGTGCCGCAGCTTGTGGTACGCATCTGCGGGCGGAAGCTTCAGTTCCGTAATCAATCGGTCGACCTGCGGTTACCCGAAGCAACCACGACCAACCAGCCTCAAGTTTCAGTCGCAACTCAGCCATGGAAAAAGAAGGCCATAACAAACGAGGCAACAATACTTGGCAAAAAGAAGAAACATCGCGCAATAAGCATGCATGCCCGGCTGCGGATGGACATGCAGATAAGTATATGGTGTGCTAAGCAGGCCGCATTGAGAAATAAATGTTGTTTCTAGGTCATGCAGGCGAAGATCCGGAAGGCTGCGCACTGGTGCGAAAAACTACGACCGCGACAGGATTCCGGCGGCCGTGCCGATACTTCAGCGCGGAGGATAACCCCCTTACTTTGCGGTGCTGCACGCAGGGCCGTCAGCGGTAGGTCACTTGTCGGCCAGGTCGGGCGCACCGACTAACACTTACATCGCAACAATTGACCTTCTATGCCTTTTCTTGCGCTGCTAAATAAATGCCGTATGCAAAGGCCTTTTAGATGGACGCCCAACGGTGTATAACCGCGACGCACTGCACAACAGCGAAGATATTCTCATGAAACGACAATCTCGCCCACCGCTGGCCCCGAAGAGCCCCTCGTTCATGGTTGTTTACCATACCCTAGCCCTCATCTCAAATTGTTGAAAGCTGACCTACCCACCACCACAGGCCCGCAGGCCTATTGCTAATCTCCGTCTACCAGCGAGGAATCCCACTACAGCCCTTGGGGCCCCTCCGCCTCTTTTGCATTACGTTTCCCCTTCGCCTATAAGCTGCTACGGCGTTTTGTCAGAGACGTACTTCCTACGGGTAAGAACCCGTGTGGATCCTATCGCCCAGTGGACTAATCCTTAATTCGTCATTAAGGCGCTACTATCGACGCTGCACAAAACATGAACCATGCTGCTGTCCATCTAGGACCTCAAAAGAGCCCTGGCAGGGACCCACCTTACTGATCATGAGGGTTATGGACAGTCCCTCCTGCAGCGCTTGCTGCACCGCCCGCTCCGTGACCACCATGATCCCCTCCGCAGCATCCACCACCAGCAACAAGCCGTCCGCCAGGCGCATCGCAGCTGTCACCTAAGAAACGAGCATACAGATGCAAATTACGCGGGAAGCCGGGCTGTGTCAGTGCCCGGCATTTCTTATGCCGTTAAGCATGTCTTGTAACATATCATCCTCTCGAGCATATCATAAACGTAGAGGTGCTGTAGCTTTTGGTTGTTGAAGCGAAGGTAGTTTGGGCAGTGCATGGGCTTCAAACATTTGACTGATGCTGTCATGAAACCCATGGATTCCCTATTACCACTTTAACTTTACCAAACAGGTAGTCATTCTCCATCGCCATCACATGGCACTTTGGCTCGGTGGATTACAACACGCCTTTGACAAGATTTCCAAGCAGCTCCGTTCCTTGCACTCCCTCTCTCAGTTATCGTACCCCATATCCTCCCCCATGGTATCACGATGACATGAGCACAGCGAAGCTGCAGAAATTCATGACTGAAGACATATGCTCAGGCATAGTACCAGCCCCGGCTGCTTCTACACCGTCCTCTACCATGTTTCCATACCGCATGTGCTGCAACGATCCTCACCTCGTCGTTGAAGTTGACATGGCCAGGGCAGTCCAGTAGGTTAAGCAGGAACGATTTTCCGCTTTGCCCCTCCATCACCAGCGACATAGGCATCATCTTGATACTCATGGCACGCGCCTGCTCATCCAACCGTGTGTCCGTGAACCGAAGCTGCTTGCCAGCCGCTTCCTGTGCCGCTGTCAACTTCTTCAACTCGTGGGTCTGCAAGACATGCCACACGCGTGTTATCTGACGGGCCATACGTACTCCCAATGCTATTTCGACTGTTCTGTTGACTGTATTGTGAAGCGATGTGTGATGACAGTCAGCCAGCCGATTAGATGTAATGGACAAGGAACTGGGTCCATCCACCACTTAACCCTCTCCTGCTCTGCCGGCGCAGCTTTGCCCTTGACCTTTCCCCCTACCTGCTCAACGAACATATCCATGATGGTCGTTTTGCCATGATGCAAATGACCGACAATAGCCACGTTGCGAACAAGTTCCGGGTTTGCCATGAGCGTAGCAAGGAATTCGTTGCTGTAGTGAGTGTGCAGGGGCTCCGCTTCAAGGGTTTCAAATTTTTTGACCTTAATGGGGGCAACGATGGGCACCTCCAGAGGCTGCGCGTCCTCCTCCATGACCAGCGTCTCCACTTCGGGTCCATAGATCTCCTCGGCTGACGGGTAATACTTCTTATCCTCGTGCAATACCACGGCCATTCCCCCATCACCTGGCTCCACATCTGTAGCGCATCCACAACACAACCGCGCCCAATATGGGGAAGTCGTGGTGAAGCGCAGGGAGGGGTTAGCGCTCCAGGACCTCTTATTCAAGGCGCACACAGCACCGCGGTGAGTTACGCGTGCGCCAGGTTTACACATTTCCGGAAGCACCCGACCGTTTGAACAGTGTATACCACGCACAAGCACATGCATACCTTCTTCCATGGCGTCAACCTCATGATGCCCGACACCATCTCCATCTATGCCTTCTTCGTCCACAAATCCGTGATGTTGATGCTGCTCATCATCCTCTTCCTGGGAAACATAAATCGCGTTGCCAAAGTAAAAAGAGAGCTGGATAGTTATTGTCCTCTCCGCCTGGCGGCGATCTCCAAACAACCAACCTCACTATCCTCCAAGGCGGGACCTATATAGTTGCCAAATTCATCATACAGGTCGTCCGCCATGGCCGCAGCCACCGCTTGCGGTGGGCGGCCCGTCCTCCGCTGGCTGTAACTTTAGCTTTTGCCTTCCCCGTAAAGTGTCAGCTTAAGCCCCCATGTCAAGTAGTAGAGCCCCAGCCGGGGCTTCCTTTATGGCTATCGCAACCCAAGCAAACTGTTCAACGATGTATGTCCTTGAAAGCGAATAGATCCAGCAACGCCTGGTTGGAAAGCAAAAGGATAATAGTTACGGAGAACGTTGGTCCTTACGACTTTGATTGAATGGCCACTAAGACCGAACAAAGGCGGGACAAAACGATGGACTAGCCCGTACGGAACGGAAAGTGATTCGTTCCTTCCTCTGCTTGTGTCGTTGCCTTTCCACCTCGTGTCGTGCAAAGATACAATAACCATGTGATTGTTTATACCGGCATCATGAAAACGCCTTATGCGCGAGCAGAACCAAGGGTCAGCTATGAGGCCGACCTCCAAGGCTAGCTCCAAGATCTACCGACCCTTGAGAAATCGTGCCCTTGCATTTCAGACACACCCCTCTGCCAACGGGGAATTACTACGGGGTCTTTGTCACAAGATGCTCGTGGGTACGTCGGAATGCTGCAGCAACGCTGCCATGTTAGACCAACTAAAGGACTAAAGAATTACATGACACCTTTTTCCGCAGGGCTTTGCGAAACATGCCTCCCTCGCATTCCCCGCTCCATCGACTGCCCATCGGTAAGTTCCAAACGTTACACCGTCGCTACATGATCCTTTAGTTTGCCGCGCTTAAAGTGCTTTGTTGTCGCCACCGTCCTATGCCACACCAACCGCCGGCGGCGCGGCAATCCGATTCCTGGTCAGGCCCGAGCGACCTAGGCACAAAGGCAAGGGAAAAGAATGGCAAACCCTTCCGAAGGAAAAGGCGACGCGCGCTGCATTTGCGTCCCTCCGCCCAAACACCTTAATACTGCCCTCCCACCTCTTAACAGAACTACTACCCGCGTCAACTAACGTCTCTCATTCTTTTTCCCGGCGTCAAGTGAACACTTTAGTCAACCACGCCACGGCAGCCCTACGAGCCATCACCTTCCCCCTGCCGCAATCACGACCACAACCGCCCTTCCCCGACGCGCGCGCTTACGTTCGTTACAAGCAGAAGCAACCCAACGGTGCAGACGTTGGAAAGCCCAGCGGAAACAACGCTTCCCGGACCTTGAAATGGTCCATGCGCAGCGATGCTCTTATGTACAGGAGCCTTGAAGGCCCGGAAAACGTCAAATGCCCAAGCACCTGCCGCAACGCATCCATCCCCATCATCCAGTTCCATCCACATCCGTGATTCAATGAAATTTCGGTTTGTGGCACAGGGCGGAACCCCGGCTGTGTAAATGTAAGTCGGGTCCGGGGGACTGGGAGCTTTCAACAGTCGCAAGGACGACAATAGCATACGTACATGCACACAGACAGACAGACGGACAGACAGACATGCGGAGATACACAGCCTACCATAACCTCTGGCGGCTCGCAGGGTTCCTGCTCCGGCCATCGTCAATACGAGCGACGCGCAGTTGCGGTTGCCGCGTGCGGTGGGAAGTGTTCATTACCATCGTACCACCGCACACCGCAAGAAAGGAGGGCGCCTGCCATTTCCCTCGTCCCCACCATCGCCCCCACACCACCAAGGGCCAACACAGATGGGAAATGCAGCAACACAGGAGGGGAAATGGAGGGCGACGCTTGCTCACTTTGTAGTTTGCGACACGCACACGTACACGCATACATACATAGACATCTGCCATTCGGATGGTGCAGAACGTACGAGCGCAGGTACGGTTTGGGCTTTCCACTGGCCCCAAGGGCCTTCCACCATTCAAGAACTTTTCAACAGCACAACAAGTTGCAACACGAAATTCAAGAAAGTCGGCACGGGACTACTTGGGAGCAAGAAGGGTAAGCGCCACGTAGGCTTCAGCAGAACCCTAATACGGAATCCCGAATACGGCCAGTCCTCTGGGGGTGGGAGAAAAAGGGAAGCAGCCATAGCTGTGGGCGGGCCATACGCCCATAGAGGGTCTGGAGGCGCTGGAAAATGAGGGAGATTATACGAGCCGCCAGCACCATGCATACGGTGGCGGGTTCACGCGGCACGACCAGCCCGCACGGCACGGGTCAAAAGCCGACGATTCAAGACAAAAAACAGCAGAGCATCAACAAAATCCCACCACCTTCAATAACTTCCCAATCACGCCAACATTTAAATATTCCTAATAACGAGCCCACACTTAATAGAGCTCCCCGCCGATCTTAAACCCCAGGCAAGCCAATATCGGGAAACTCCCAAACACACCACTACCTCAACTCCCAAGGACCCACCGCCGAGCAGTTCGGCAATTCCGCAACGCGCCTCTTCCTTCACTTCACCACCCTTCACCACGCCCCCCTTCCCTCCTCTCTCCCAACCCCTCTCCGGCCGGCCCCGACTTGGGACTCTAATGATGCATTAGATATGAATCGCTTGGTGCCAAGAGAGTCGCATTTTCCTGTATGAGTGAGTTTGTGTTGAGTGTCGCAGCAGTCAAGATAAACGGTAATAAATGTGAATTGGATTGCGCCGCGAAGTGTTCTACATTCGTGGCGGTTACGTGACCGTTACGGTCCAACAATGCCCCTATGTGACCTAAGCAGTGGGCGAGAAGATTCTCTAGGTGCTTGCGGGCGTACGTACATGCGTGTGCCAAGGTTAGTTCAGATGTCTCTCGTTGTGGGGTTGTTTCTTTTTAAATGGGTTTCAACGAAGCCTGGCCTTGATGGCCAAAGGCGATAAGCGAGCGCGCGGTGGGGGGGCGAGGGTGGAAGCACAACAACAGCCTTGTTGGAGTGGTAATGTACAACAACAGCCTTGCTGTCGTAGCGCCAAACAAGGCTGACAAGTTTCTCGCTAAAAACATTTTGCAACCCACGTCCCGTAGCAACAGTCGGTCGGTGGTTGGTTGGTCGGTTGGTTGGTGGTGAGTGAGTGGGTTGGAGTCTCTCGAAGGCAGCCCCCCTCCCTCCTCCGCCTTCGCTTCTTCGTATCTGAAGAACAAAGGCTTACCAAGGGTTAGGGACGGTAACTGGGCTACCTCCGCAGCCGGTCACCCGGAGCTGGGCTCTTTCCCCACCGGAGGCACCCACTCTCCACCGCCACTCCCCACGTGGCTCAGGTTCCCCCTCCCATCCCGGTTCAACGGCGAAAAAACGCCTCGCCGAGAGCTTCCAAGTCTCCGCCCGCCTGCGTGTTTCCGTATCATAGCACTACGGCCACCGGCACACATCACCGCAACTCGGTGCCGGGGCCGTGGTGAAGTATAATATATGTGTAATAGTCCGGCGGCGGCTGTAGTGCATCACCGTAGGGCATCCATATATTGCACGTTAGTTGTAAAGGGCCGCCTGCGCCGCACTGCTGAGTGCCAGGATGCGTCTCCGAGCGTCTTCACGCTCGTGCGTAAAGTATTTGACCAACCTACTTCGCTCGTCCTCGTCAGACACCTGCGATTAACATCACACATCACACAGTTGACAGACCCGCCGTTCGTAGCAGTAGCAGGAGCCGCGGCCGCGGCCGCCGCTGCACCGGTTTAAGAAGGAAATAACTGATTGAGTTATGATGAAATAAGCCCTTGTCAAGGTAATCACTGGTCAGCAGCGGAGCAGCATAACCACCCCCCATCGTCACCATTCCACCATCATCACCACCACTAACACGGTAAGCATAGAGCATCCACCACAGTCATCCTTTTCAGCAGCAAGATCCATCCACAACACAAACGCAGCTAAACAACATGGGCACACAGCCTTATATAATATAACAAACAAAACATATGCCGCCTGCAACCTCAAAAGCCCTCCAGCAACGCCGCAGCAGAAAGCAACAGCCAAAACAAGCAATCGCAAAACGTACCTGGGTCAAGAGAACCTGCCGTTCGCTCTCCTTGGCAATCTCCTCCTGTAGAACAAGCCGCAGTTCCTCTTCCCGTCGGCTGCCCGGCCGTGATACCTCATGCACGCCGCTGTAGCGACCACTGGCCATCGCCTCCACTGCGCGTCCTGAGGTGTCCTCCAACGCTGCCACCTCCTCCTCCAACGTCTGTCTCCTGAAGCTAGCGGCGCTGCGGCCGCGAGCGCCAGGGACAGTGTACGGAGCGTACGGCACGGGGCCGGAAGTGGTGGGTGTGACGGGCGAAGCGACGGCGGAGGCGGAGTTCTGCGTGGCGAGGACTGCGAGGAGGGGGGGACAAGGAGGGTAAGGAGGGAGGGCGGGAAGGGCGTCAATGTGTGGTTACTTGCGGCGGGGTTTCGTGCCAGGATAAGTGGGACACGGAGGAGGACGATGAAGGAGAAGAAGAAGAAGAAAATAGGGTGATTTCGCTGTATAAATGCGCTGCAACGCGGACGGTGAGCGCAGGGGAGATGGATGTTTCGTCCATTACCGCCTCGCCCTGTTGCCTTACGCGAAAAACCCTCCTTCCAACCCTCCTGCGAATGGCCTGGATAAGGCCCTCCTCACAGGATATCGGCGCGTGTGTGTTTCGACGCATGCAGTGCTCCCTTTCCTTTTGAACACACTGAGTGCTGTTCTCCTGTTTTTTCTGTTCCTGCCTGCCACCTGCTATCTGCCCATCTCCTCCTACTCCCCCACTCCATCCCCTCCCACACACGCATGCACCTGGGCCAGCACTCGCGGGCCGGATATCGCTCAAGCCAGGGTGGCGACCCTTGACGAGTGCAACGGCACCGCTGCCTGCGGCGCTGCCGGGGCCGGGGGCTGGGGCAATGCCGCTGCCGCCGCCGGCACCGCTGCCAAGTGAGGTCGTTCGCGGGCTGTAGTTTCCACGGCCGCCGCCGGCGCTGTAGCTCCCCCCCGCTCCCCGCGACACGCCCCTGCGGGTCCCCACGCATGTGGGCCCCATGGAGACCACACGCGCAGGCGTGTGTGTATGTTTGTGTGCAAGAGAAAGGGAAAAATGACGGGAACATGCTGATTGAAGAGAAGAAGGACGACATAGAAATCTAACAAAGAGAAACATGGTCAGTTGGGTGAGGATGGAATAGGGGTGCATCGAGGTTAGAGCAAAGACATGCGGAAAAGAATGGGCCCTCTCTACATGACGCGGTGGTGGCCCTGCTGCTGCTGCTGCTTCTTTCTTTCAATCTCCCCTGACCTTCCATTCCGTCATCTTGATTACATCCACCATTTGTTCCCCTCGCCTTCCTAAGGAAAACACCACGATGCCTGTGTTTACCCGCATGCTGCCTTCTTCTCCCTCCCCCCAAAGCCCCCTTTGTCCTCTCCAGTTCTCTTCAACACCCACAAACTGGTCCGCCCGTGCCGGGCCCCCACGACCTCTTCCGGCCCTATCCCTGCAGGCGGTGTTGGCGCCATTCTCTCCCCTTTCCCCCCTCCCCGTGGCTGACCAAGTGACTTTTCCCTTTATAAGTGACCAAGTGCCTTTCCGAAACCTTACCTGATGCCACGCGGCGTCGGCCCCGCCGACTTGGGTCTCCGCACCCGTGCCATCTGCGCTCGTGTCGATAGGGGGCTTGGCAGGGCCTCTCCCACACCACGCGCGGAGCTCATCTCCCTCGCTGAGCTGGCGGCGGCGCCGCCGTAGCCTTCCGAGTAGCCGCCGCCCCCGCCGCCGCCATCCTCCAGCAGCAGCTGCGGCTTGCGGCCCCCGCCGCCGCCGCCGCCCAGTACGGCCTCCGCCATGAGGGGCCCCGCCAGTTGCACAGACTCCAGGGAACGTACGACCTCAGGGGGTATGGCCACCGTACCCAGTTGCTGCATGCGGAGGAGGGAGCTGCGAAGATACTCCTCCTGGGGGTTTGGGTGGGTGGGGGTTGGAAGCGTGTTGTAGACACAACCAGTGCTGAGACTGGAGGAGGGGACTATATGTATCAGATATGCAAACAACTGCAGGCATGGGGGAGGAGTTAGGAAGGAAGGTTCAGGACTTGCCAGTTAGGTGGACAAGGCCTAGAGATGATAGCGAGGGGTCGTGGGAAAGGGGAGAGAAAAATCAAATGGGAGTGAGGATGAGGTGATGCAATAGCGGAGTCATAGGGTTACGCGAGGTTTATGTCCAGGATGTGTATTGACACATTCCTTGCTTATATCTGGCATGTGTGGGAACGAGCCGCGTTCTTGGCCTCGCGGTGCAGTCAGTCAGTCAGTCAGTCGGTCAGTCAGTCAGTCAGTCGGTCAATCGGTAACATGCCAACGACAGTCCCTAGGTCCCTACTTTTTGCCGCCAGGATAGCTCCATGCGGGATGCGAGGTGCCCCACGAGCGACCCACGCCCCAGCAACAAATATGCCGAATCTATGACGTGTCCTCAGGGCAGCGGCCCACTCCTCTGCTGAACAACATAACTGCGGCAGCTACTGCTGTTTCCGATGCTGCAACTTTCACATAAAGGACAGACCTATCTACAATACTGCATACCCTGCAACTCAACCAGCAACATACAGCTCCGGACCATTAAGATATTCAAAACAATCCTTTTCATTACAAGAAAACAAAAAAACACCAAAACCCTTGCACATTGCACTACACCGCAAAACTGCGTCCCTGCACCACACAATGAAAAAACCAAAGCTCTTGAAGACGAAAAGAATGCCGTATACCTGTCGCTGCATCTGGTGCCGCAGATTCTGCATCTCCGCTAGCAGCGCTGCCCGATGCGCGGCCAGCATGTCCGCGCGCGATGCCTTGTCCTCCAGCTTGCCCGCCAACACCTGCCGCTCTGCCTCGGCAAACATGGCTGCATCATGTGCCTGGGCGGCGATGTACTCGAACCGCTGCCGTAACTCTTCAGCACGCATACGACGCTGGTCCTCAATCTCCTACGAATATATACACAGATTACATACATGCATACGGCTTGTGGCTCTTGGGCCTCTAGCTTGCATGGGCTCGTCACACCTCTCTGGGTAACGCAACCGAGGTGTAACACGCACACACACACATACATACTTGCGTACACAGTATAGGCATCTGCATAGGTTTCCGTTACGCTTAGGTTTGCGATTAAAACATGTGACGCAGAAAACGATTCAAAAGAAAGAGCAGAATGCCGCACTTAGCTGCTGCAAACATGTGTGTTAGTTGCCTCTTCATAGACACAAATGCAAAGACACACACACACAGACAGACACACAAACACACACAGACACCACTGCGCGCAGCTCCGCCGTCGCAGCGCCCCTACTGCCGCAGCTCTGCCCGACCTACCCTTATCCGTCGCGACGCCTGCTCCTCCTTTGCGGCCTGCTTGGCGTGAAAGTGCGCCACTCGCTCTGCCAGGTCGCCCTCCGCACGCGCCTTGATGGCCCGCCGCTGCTGGTCCCGCAGGAAGTCCTCCTCCGCTTTGATCTGGGCCTGAAGCTGCCGGAGCTGCCGGAGCAGCGGAGAGAGGGGGAGCAAGGGAGAGGGGGTTAAACCTGGTGTTTGATGGCTCGTTAAGAGAGTTGGGGAGGGTAGATCGGAGAGAAAGCGTGTGTCTGTCTGTGTGTGGGATGGGGAAGAGAGAGAAAGATAGCAAAAAAGCGCCCACGGTTCGTTCGGTATGCCTTATCTAAACACCGTACTGCCATGCAAATTTGCCCTGGGCGATGAGGAGCAGCATGAAACAAAACACATCCGAACACATCCGCACTCAGAAGACCAGTAAACCCAAATCATCTCACGCCCATGTCGTGACCACTTTAAAATTACATATCCCCAGCGCGCACCTCCTCCCGCTGGCGCAGCATGTCCTCGACTTTACGTTCGTGTGCTAGGATCGCCTGCCTCCGCCCCTCGAGTAGTTCCAAGTTCTGGCGGTAGGTCGCCTCCCGCTTGGCCTCCAAGGCCGCGATGCGCTGCCGCTCCATAGCCGCGTGGTCGGCACGCTCCTCCGCAAACCGAACCTAAGAAATGAGGATGTAGGGTGGTGGGGAAAAGCAGTGTAAACTTGGGGGGAAAATCGTCATGGCGGGAAACCTGCCTCCGCAGCAGCAGTGGTCGGTACCCCATAGGGTACCGCGCTGGCGGGTGTCGCCAGCGGCACCGGCGCCTGAGACGAATGTGGATTGCCATCATCCCCCTTCAGAACACATCCACGGCATGTGTGTGTAGAGATAAAAGCGTATGATACAAAATCGCTTCCAGTTTTTTTGTCCCCGGTCTCCGGATGTCGCAGAAGGTCTCCCTTACCGAGCGAAAAGATACGTTGTGAATTGGCCACTACTCCCTCTGTGCATTCCGCCACATCCACGCATGGGAAGGAATGCCATGTCTGCCGTACGCATGGACCTGTGCGGCCTACCCTGCTTTGCTTTGCACGGCGAATGCGAACATCCGGCAATTTCCACCGCGGGTGAATTTCCTCCCGTACCACGCAGCTGGTAGCCTAGTCCGAGTCCAGACCGGGATGATTCCAGCGCCACCGCCGAACGGCAATGGAGTACCGAAGACCCCAGCAGGGGAGCCATGGGGCATAGCGGCCAGTCTCGACTACACAGGCATGACGAGAGATAAGAGAGACGCCTCCTCCCGCCACCTTATGCACTCTATGAAAATTCACTATCGCTGCACTATAAATCATTACATGGATAGAAGGACAGGGTCACGGCAACGCCTCCCCCGGCGGCTCTCACACATCCTAAAATCCGTAAGGTTCCCCCTTTTGGATTTTTTCCTTTTCTAAGCTCAGTTTACATTTGAACATTATCAATGCCAGCAAACCAGTGCCGCCACACCGGTCGGTTCGATTTGGGGCGGGGCGCGGCTGGCTTAGGTCAGGTCCAGGAGGAGGTGGCCCAGACTGCGCTCATGATGCGCAAGTGACATTTCTGGGGACGTCCATGGCCCGGAGCAGTATGTAACATATCCCGGCACGACGAGGGAGGTGTAGCTGGACCCATGGAGCCGTGCTTACAACCGTCAACGAACAAACAGTCCCCAAAAGACCGCCATTGACCCCGGTGCGCGGGGCTGCAACGGATATATGAAACACACACGGCTATGGTTATATGGCCATGGATCCAGGTGGCGCGAATGCACAAGAGTTGCGCAGCGCGACAGCAGAGGAGCAGCACGTCGCCTCCACGGCAGGTAGACCTCGTCTCCAACGGTCGCTCGGCGCTCGCAAAACATCACACGCTGTTGTGCCCGAATAGTTCAAAACAAGACCCAACCCGCTGAGCAACCCCCCAAGCCCCAAGCCCTTGCAAAGCACGCCAACCCTCGCTCCCTTTCGCCCGTTGCTCCGAAGCTTCTCCCAATCCGCACACACAGACACACGACGCCCCGTACAGCTTACACGCCAATTCACGACTAAGCCTAGGACCACCGCCACCAGCAGCCGCACCCACCAAACTCCTTACGCTGACCGTTATGCAGCATGTTCAAGGCGTGTTTCTCTCCACACAGCCCCGACTTTGAGGGCCCCCCATCCTGCCCCCTCCTCCTGGCCCACCAGCGAGTAGCGATACGTATGTATATGTGGTCATTCGCGTGGATTGACGTGGGGTGTTTTTTTCTCCCCATGTCGGAGTTCTAGTCACTATCCTTTGCTGCCCAACCACCCCCATCCTTTTTTGTTTCAACTTTCGCGCCTGAACTTTTAACCAGCGACAGGGACTGAATCATGGGACATGTTCTTCCTCCCGGCCGCCAGGGAGCTCATCCATAGAGTTCTCTTCCACACAGCCACCAGGCCTGTAAGGTCCACCCCAGATCCCACACTCTCCTACTCACCATACGGTCCTCCACTGCCTGCACCTTAGCTAGCGCCGCTGCCCTCACCGCCTCCGCGTGGCGGTAGGCGGCCTCCAGTCGCTCAGCTCGTCTCTCAGCCATCTACTCGCAAGCAGAGGGGATAGGGCAAGGAAGGGCGCGGGGAAAAGGAGGGGAGTTGAGCGCAGGGCAGCAGATGGAAGTAGGGACGGAGGTTAGGTGGGATAGGAGCAGGGAACCCGCAGGTCAGGGAACGGCGAAGAAAAGGAGGCAGCGCGGCTGAGAGGTGATTAAGGCAGGACAGCGCAGGGCTGAGGAGGTAAAACTGGGTGAGGCAGGGACGGGCAGAGGGGAAAGGGGGAGGGCCATGGGGGAAGAAGGTGCTGGTGGCGACTGGAAATGCTAAGCAAGTGCGGGAAGCGAAGTCATGGTTAAGAACCGAAAGTAGGCCTGCACAGCAGGCCTGCCGGGCGACACGGACAGACATGCCAAGCGTGGGGCGCGCAGTGCACTGTCTCGTTTTCAAGGTTACGTGTACACCAGCACGCTTGCGGCTCGCAGCCCAGTTCGTCAAGAGACCAACACGCCAGGCTGCCTTGAGAGGTCTCAGACCTATTTCATCCTCGATTTCACCTCTCTACGCGTCCACCCGTTCTGATTTGCGAGTCGTTCCTTCATCCGCGGCCATCTGGGTCGGCAATGTTCGTCTGGCATATGGGTTCCCCCAGGGAAGTCCGTCTGGGCTTTCCAACCCCAAAATGTTTGAACCTTCGACGGACCTTTGACTCATCCATGTACGAGTACGAGTGACTCACCCGCGCGCTGTACTCCGCGAGGTTCTCCCGCTGCGTCTGTTTACCCTGGTTGATTTGCGAATACTTCTCCTCACGCCGCCGCTCCCGTTCCCGCCAGGTGCCGTTTGATTCCGCCATCAGCTCAAACTGTCTTTGAATCTGTGACGCAATATCCCCCGTGTCCCATGCCGGGCGATCAGACAGGGGTATTGACCCACAAGGTGGGTAAGGGGGTGTGAGGAGTGTATCTCTTCTCTGGCAGGCCAACACCACCCTTGGGCAAGCAGTACCCTTGGGTGAGAGAGGGGCCGTGGCAAGTGAGATGTAAGGGCAAAGTGACATAGGCCCAGATGCAATTGGCAGCTCAAAAGGTGCTGTCCTGGGGCAGCGTTGTGTTTTATTATGTTTTACGTTACATGGTGGGAGCTCACTATGAAGAGCCCGGGACCGGACCATGGATGGTCGAGGTCATTATGTACTGTTGCAACGTGCGTGAATAGGGGGATTGGAGGGTGGGATCGTCCCGCAGGTGAGGTGCAGCGCACAATTGCTTGGATTATGGAAACCGGATGGATCAATGGAATGATGACGTATATCGGGGTTTCAATCATCCTCTCTGGGCGCTGCGCTTTGAGAGGGTTTTGGGATACGATAGCAGACCCCCGCCGGCGGATGCGGCAGCAGGAACTGGGAGCCTTACCGTTGCCAACGTCCTTATCTGTCTCTGGTATTGCATTTGTGCCGCATGCACAACCGGCCCGAGATTCCTGCACACATCCAGCACCCAGTGAGATCGAACCCGACAGGGACTGAATCCCAATTAAGAGTTGCTTGCCTTATGTCAAATAGAGGGGACATTTCCCCCCCATTGTCAGCAGGCACGATGTCCATGGCCCCCTACAGCGGGAACATAATCCGTCAGCTTGCAAAGCTTTTTTCCTCGACTTTGAGCTAAAGCGGACCAGATTTGCAAAATCGAAGTGGCTAAAATCAATTTGCGAGCATGCATACCCTCGAAACCGTGAACTTGGCGGGTTAGGAAGAAGTCCAGCAGGACGACACAGCTAATTTTCGCAAAAGGCTCAGTACCCTCGTTTCATAAAATGCTAACTTACCATTCGAGTAAGAGCTGCTCCTTTAAACCAAACTATCAGACAAAACACTGCCAAGCCAAAAGTCGCGCCTTATGGTCTTCGGACGCCAGGTTCAACTTTGGAACCAAATAAGGGTAGGTGCCTTACGCAAATGTTGTAATGCTCTTTGAAAATGATAACCCAAATAGCAGGGTTGTTTTGGATGTAAGAACAAAAACACTGTAGCCGAGATGGTGAAGCGTTCAAGTTTGTCAGCAGCAGGAGAAATGCTCAGATGTACAGTACTTGAATAAGTTATAGCTACTCTTTCCTGCACAAACGGGGTTCGTTGGATACGGAACCGAACGGGCGTACTTGCCCTTGCCGTAGCTGACTAACTGCCATCGGCCAGTACCCGAGCCGGCTCCCATATTACATTTTGTTGGTACCCATGTCCTAGCATAAACATCCCTTTCATTCCATGCCTCCGCATTCGAAAGGCCGGATCACGGCACCGGAAAGGCCGGAAGGCGGCGAGAGCAGTCCCCATGACTCCTTGGTGTTCACGCTTGGCCCTCCTGTTCCAGGATGACGCTGAAGACGTCGTTCTCCTCGTACAGGTTCGCCGCAAGGAGAGCCTCCGCGGAGGCGGCCTGACCCGCGGAGCACATCAGGTGTGGCAGGCAGCTTGACGTCAGGCACCCGACCAAAACAGGGCAAGGGATGCAGTAGGAAACATGCATGCAGCGCGTGGTGGAGAATGGTTGCCAATGCAAGGTACTTACATGCAGTTTTGCCCTCGTCGGTACTGTTTCTAAAAGTGGGCCAGCCCCCTCCGCCACCACCGCCGACGCCGCGTGCAAGCGTGCGGGCATGACAGGTGCGGCCTTTGCAGCTGCTGGCTGCGATGGCAGCCGATGCGGCCGCGAATGTGGCCTCCGGCGCCAACGCTGCGGCTGCTGCTGTTGCTGATACTCCAACTCCTCATCTGCCTGGCAAGGGGGATAAAAGCACAAGCGATGCGTGAGGTGCACCTGAACATGCTCCCTGTGGTCACCTAATTTCCTATTCTGGACATGAAATGGTTGCCGGTTGCTTGGCCCGCGCTAGAAGGCCAGGTGGGGTCGATCCACAAAGTTGGTCCTTTTACGGGTTTTACGGGTTTGGAGCCTTGAAATGTATTGGACCCAATTATTAGGGCCTCGGCGGAATCCGCAAGAGTCTTGGACGCTGGCGAGTGCTTTGGGAGGCATAGCCCATATCCGTTTATGATCATTACCTGTGACAGGATATCCACCAACGAGTCGTCATAACGTTCAGCCACATCGCACCCGCCGAACCAATGCGTGGAGCTGCCGCAAGTGGACATGGCGTCCATTGAGGTCACTGCCGCCTCCGTCGCTGAATGTAGCGGGCTGCTCGCTGCAGTTGCCACTGCTATCGCCCCCGTCGCCGACAGCGTTGCTGCTGCGGCAGCAGCTGAAACCCCGCTTCCGTGCCTGAGTCCGTGCAGATGCTGCTGTTGCTGCGCTGGCAGGGGGCCCCGCACGCTGAACGAGTCACGGAGCTTGCGGCAACCATGGGTGGGTCCTGGCCCTGTGTAGGGTGAATAGAGCCCGTACGCTTCAGCCATGCCATAAGCCGCATAAGCACACATGTGTCATTGACTATGACCAGTTTACTTTCAAGCACAGTCGAGACGGTACACACCTGCAGCAACCCCAAAGCCGCCATGGCCCAGGGCGCCAAGCCGCATATGTCCCGCACCAGGCCCCACCACATGAGACCCATTCCCAGAGGCTCTAGGCGGGGCCGCTTGTGCTGCACCTGCTCCCTCGTGCTGCTGCTGCTCCTGCTGCTGTGCCACACAACCTGGCGGTTGCACATCCCAGCGCTGCCGGCGCGCCATCTCATCAAGTGCCATCGCCATTCGAGACAGGCTCATGCTGCTGCTGGCAGGCGTTTCATTGTATCCGGGTACCGGCGGCGGCGTTTGCATGCCGTGAGGCATGGATGGTGTCATCATAGTAATTGTGGTGTCTGTCGTATAGGAGCTGCACGGACTTGCTGGCGTCGGGCGCTCCAAAACCAGCAATTCCTGCTGGTGCTGCAGCTGCTGAACCGGATGCTTGTGGAGCTGGTGGCGATAATGTTGCTGGTGTGGATGCGGCCGCGGATGCGCGTGGGCGTGGGCGTGCTGGTGCTGCTGCGTAGTTGCAGGCGCAGAACCGCTGACGCGGGCGATGGCTGGTACGGCATCGTGTGTGTCTGACCATTGTCGGAGAGTTGCCTCGGCCTCATAGATCGACGCCGTCTGGCAGGATGCCAGTTGAGGACCGCCACCCGAACCCGAACCCCTAGCACGCTCCGTAGCGGGCGTGGATGCCACAGATGCAACCATGTCAACGCAGGGCGGAGGGATAGGAGGCCTGCCGGAGGGTTGTGTTGGGCCACCCAAACCACCTACTTGCTCTCCAGCCACGTCAGGCACGTCCACGAAGTAGAAGGCGCCGCTCTGGCCAATGGCTGGGTCATAGCTAAGCACCTTGCGCCCCGAGCGTGAATCCCTTGCGCTGGTCGAAGGCGCGCTCCCGGCGCAGGATCCTTCTTCCGCAGCAGCAGCAAAGCCATGCTGCACCTGCCAACCTAAGAGGCGTGATGCCGCAGCCACCACCTCGTCGCAGGGTGGCACGATCATCGGCGAAGCTGTGAGGACCTCGCGGCTGTCGACTCGGACCTGCAGGCTTTGGAAAGCGAGGGGTGGGGTGGGGAAAGACGAACCACGAACGAGTGAAGCTGCTGCCCTGCTGGTGGGGTGGGACGGGGTGGCACCAAGGTATACCTCTACCACATACGTCCTCACGTAGGGCACCTCATGGGCCCTCCCTATCCCCACCGTCTGGTCCGGCCAGGGCCAGGTTGTCTTTCCCTTTCTCCCTAGTGTATAGCGTAGTAAGTGGATTCCTAAGCAAGCCAAATGGTGCCATGAGTTGGTGACCATAGGGTGGGTGGCAGCACGCGCACCTCATGCACAGGTACGGCCTCGAAGCGCTGCATGGTGGCATCCACCAGGACGCACCGCGGCCCAGCCGGTTTGCCACACATGGACGCGGACGGCCCCGACGCCGCAGCTGTGGCTGGCCGTGGTGGTGCTCTCGGCACCGTGCCCATGCCCAAGCCGTAATCGTGTGCTTCCCTTCCCGCCGCAGCTGCCTGCTGCTGTACGGACCAGCTGGCAGCGGCCCGCACCCAATCGGATGTAGATGCGGGTGCACCCACTGCTGTACAGCTACCTGTAGACACCTCTGGCATCGCTGCCTCTGATCGAGGGCCCACAGCGATAACAGAGGACGTTGCGGCTACGACCGAGGCTGCTGCTGTAGTTGTGGGTATGGCAATCATGGCTGGTGCGGCCGGCGAGGTGACATTCACGGAGCCGTTCTCGCTGGCGGTGCAGCCGTCCTGGAGAGCTGCCAGCGTGGACGCGGCCCCCTCGATACAGCCTCGTTGCGGACTGTGGGCTGGCGAGATCGCTTGGGTGGGTTCGGCTTCGGAGCCGGCCTCTAGGATGCCGATGTTTTTGTTGGAGTTGCCAGCCAACGCCCCCACGCGGCCTGCAGGGTTTGCCGCTGTTGTTACTGCGCCAGACGCTGATCCAGATGCTACTGCTGCTGCTGTTACTGCGGCCGGCTCAGGCACATGGTTGATGGTTATGTTGACATGCGCGCCCGGTGCAACGTGGAGGAACGGCGGGCCGCTGGGTGAAGTAACGAGGGACGCTCGCTGTGCGGCAGTATTGTCGGCGGTATTGCCATCAGGCTCGAGCATGTGGCCAGCGGGCTGAGCAGCAGCAACAGGAATTGCTGGAGGCAGCTGCAGAAACGGTGCTGCGTGCACGTTGGATGCAGTTGAGCTTCGTGCTTCTGCAAGTGCGAGCATGTTGACAGGATCCGTTTGCACCTCCGTTGTACATTGCAGTTTTTGAACTGAAGGTTGCTGCGTGGCTTCTAGTGCTGCCACCTGAGGATCCAGGGATGGCGACGCGTCTTTGAGGTATGAGGACAAAACAGATCATCCTTTTTATTCATTCAGCAACGCACAGATTCCTCCGCAGAAAATGAAAGCATCTGCTGACTTTGCACCCAAAAAGGGAGGTAAGAGGCAAAGTGCGAACTTGAGCTTATTGCGATCACTTGCCTTTGCCTGGCTGGCTCGTAAGACCAGGAGCACCTGAGCTAGCTTCCTCTTAAGCCTGCAAATGTGGTATGAGGAGGGATATGAAAACTGCATCGGGGCCTTGCGCTGGTGGGGACATGGTGTGTTTGGCGAGGAAGAGCCGTGCGCTTACAGTTGGTGTTCCTTCTGCAGCTGCTGATTTTCGTCTTGCAGTTCTCGCTCCCGCTGCGAAGAGGCCTGGGCTTGCTGCGCAAGCTGAAATGCGCAAATTGTGGGTGGGGCATGGCCAAAGGTTGGATAAAACTGAACAGGTAATGTATTTGCAGTACGAGTATGTTAGGGCTGAAGTGTAGCGTGAGAAGGGAACAACACTTGCGGTCAGCGTGTGCCATGCGGGTGGCACCGAGGCGAGTAGCAGGAACGAAGGACGCATGAATTTGGAAGGAACCCCTTCCTGACGTAGATCAAGAAGGTCCGCCATAGAACCCTAAACGGACCCACCTCATCGCGCTGTAGCTTGAGCTGCTGCACGTCCTGGCCAAGGTCCACGACCTGTGGAATGGTTCGTCCCTGTAGGCACGCTTGTACGGCGTTCAAAAGTTTTTCCCAATGCTAAACCGCACCTGCTTCAGCAGCTTTGCGACCTTCTGCCTATCTTCGGGCCCTAAGTCCTGCAATGTGCAGCTCCGCGAAGGAGGTGTGCTCAACGGTGCAAGCGGCTGGGCCTGCGCAAGTCCGGACGGGCATTATCGACGCGTCCGTGTCATGCTTATGTTGAAATTTTTTTGAACTAGTTGCCTTTGTGGGGTCAAACTCCTATTAACTACCTGCTGTAAAGAATCTTTCCGTGCCAGCCGCGGACAGCTCTCACTCCGCCTGGTCAGCATGGCAAGTTGCGCTTATTATCTTAGCTATTGTATTAAGCACTTCAGACCACAGATTAGGCAAGCGAGAAGCTCCAAGTTACACTGCCTGGACGCTGCTTTGCCCCAGTACAATGTTGAAGCGAACATATCGCGCTTTTAATGTCCCACATACATGTACAGGTAGACACGAAATATTGGTAAATGCACAAGTACACGATACAGCCGTTAGGAGAGGCGCTGGCGAAGAGTGACAGACTTCGTTTTTCCGCTTGGATCCTGCTCGTACTATATAAGGTAGAGGAAAGCATCGGCTGCATGGTGCAACAAACAGAGAGACGTTTTGCACAAATAGCGCCTGGGAGACCTGGCATTTATTTGTCTTCAGGGACTTCGCATACGCCACGGTCGTGGCTTGATTCCGCTTGTTTTTGCAACGACTCTCTTGCGTTATATTTCAGTATCTTACCAAGGTTAAGGTATTTTGATTATCTTTTGAAGCAGTAACCAAAAAAGGCTTGGAGGAGCTCTGGGTTGCTAGAATGTCAGCTTGCGACTGCACGTGCCACAATAGCGATGTTCGTCCTCCAAAACGGGGTCAGCTTGCGCAAGGTAGGCAGGGTTTACGCTGCTGTCCTTCGGGCTTTCGAAAGCCTTGCCCGCAGCGCGCCTAAAATGTGTGCACCGGGCGTCTGTGTGTCTGCAGCTGTTGAGCAAAGGGAGGCTGCAAGGAGAATTGCGGAGGCAGCGAAGGCCGAGATCAGCAGGTGTGTCGGACATGGGCGTAGCGCATGCTAACCATGGACAGGTCGACACCCGTGGCCCATGCAGGTACTTCGCCGACCAGAAGAGATTCGATGTGATAGCAAATAATTCTGTGAAGGATGACTTCAAGCGGAAAGGCCGAGAGTTCAAGGAACGCGATGCTGAGGCACAGATGTTGGAAACAGTGTACCAGGTAATAAGTCGTACCTGACCACAGCCCTAGCAAGTTGACCACCATGACTCAAGCATGTGCAACACGTACCCGACAGAATGAGCGGCAAAAAACACTAAGCGCGATTCGTGCGGAAGAGGAGGAGAAACTAGCTGTGGCCATGGCACGGAAGCAGCAGGAGAAGGAGCGGCAGGATAAGGAAATTCAGAAACTCCGGGAGCAGAGCGAGGAAATCCGTAGGTGGGTTTCGGGTCGATGGTTCCCGGGGGCGTTGTCACGTTTGTATGGGTCGAGTTTGTGGACAAGGGTACACACGGCCTTTACAGGCAGGTGTCCTATGAAACTGCGTGGAAGGCACAACAACGCAGTATAACCATTGCTTCGACTTAAGAGATCTTGTTGCCGCGTCAGGGAATCAAACGGGAGTTAAGCCAGTAGTGCACGCGGCATCGTGGCGCATTACGTGCGCCATGGGAGTTGCTTCCACCAAACCCTATCGCTACGCAGACAAGTGCTTGACAAATCGACCGTAAGGTTTCAACCTTGCTGACCAAACGTGTCAGGATGCACCTGCACAGCAACATGCAACACGTAGCACATGACCCACATGTCTTGCCGGTGCTGCGTCCATTGATGGGGTGTGTAGTCTGGCCGAGAAGGTCCGCATTGCACGTGTCAACAAAGCGCGCGCTGACCAGCTAGTGGAGAAGAAAGTCCTGGCCGAGCAACAGCAAGAGTACGACCGGGCCATCAACCAGTATGTCAACCAAGCAGCTGCGGAGGCCGAGGTGATGGAGGCGGAGAACCAGGCCAAGCGGCGGGAGGCCAACGTGCGGGCGCGCATGATGCTTGAGGAACAAATGGCAGAGCGGCAGGTGTGTATACGAGGGCAAGCAGTATTCCACGGTTATGAAACCGGGAGCAGGCATGCATGGAACGGGCTGCGTGGACGGATATGGGTTGCAGCTCTTAGGGGATCAGAGTCCTTGTGGATGTAATGCACCGTGCGTTTTGCTTATCCTGCTGTCGTGACGGCTGTTGCGGTGCATAGGAGGCGGCGCGACTGGCTGAGCAGGAGGCTGCCCGCGAGCGCGCCATGATCGACGAGGTGGTGAAGCGCATCATGCTGGAAGACGCTGCGGAGACAGCGGCCAAGCGGCAGCGGCAGGATGAGACGAAGGATTTCATTGAGACGTTCCTGAAGCAGCAGGATGAGTTGCGACGAAAGGAGCGCGAGGCGGCAGCCGCGGAGGACCGCAAAATTGCCGGTGGGTAGGAAGGTGTTGCAGTTATTGTAGCGCTTGAACTCAGGGGCTTCATTTCTGCAAAGCTTTCGCAAGTCAGCAGCAGAGGAAATGAGCTAATACGGATGGGGGGAAAGACTGGTTTGACCGCATGACACAGATAACCGCCTGATCTTTTTAGCAAGAGCGCCACCGTGGCGTCTAGTAGTCCCGGGCTGGCCTCAGGGCTGGTTAAGGCGCACACGTAGCGCTGTGCTGCGACTGATGACCTAACGGAACCTAAACGTGGCCAACGGGAGGCGCATTCGTGGGCGGCCAAGCATGCTGCGTCTTGGGTGTATCGGCGCTTTGTACCTGCGGCCCGACTCCTCTGGTCACTGCTGAAATATTTGGGGGTTGCTACGTCCACTATTACGCGCATTACATACATGGAGGCTGCAGCGCAGGAATGCGTCCAGCGGAGGTGACCAGGAGTTTGATTTGGGTTCGTGCGCCTTCCTCTCATTATCTTTCATGTTCTCCTAGCGTGTAAGTAAACCCAGAAATTGGTGTCTGCGCCGCTTCCCGCTCCGTTCACGGTTTGCAGAATACTGGCAGGCGGTGCGCGACCGCGAGCGTGAGGAGGCGGAGCGGCAAGCGATGCGCAAGGAGATCGCCGACCGGATGTACGAGAAGGTCAAGCGGGAGATGGAGGCGGAGATGGCGAGGTAGGGGCTTGTCAAAGCGGCACAATTGCTTTACGGAGTGTTTCGATCGAATTGATGTCTTCGGGTTGTCTCTCAAAATATATTTGCGGTTCACGGAACGCTGGTCACGAGGTCGTCACGACTCAACCTAAATGGCCAACTGCACCATGTTAGCAGCCGGTTGCGAAACCTTGGCTAACCTAGCCTTGCGTCGTCTGTGTAAGTTGGCGCCGCGCACAAAGCTGAAATGTTTTGCGAGGAGGGGAGTGGTGCCTCGTTGCCCGAGCGCGGGCTCCGTGCGCACAGTGCCTGCCGGAGCGCATATGTTGACCTTTTGCTGCATTAGCGCACTTGAGGCGCACAGCTTATCCGTCCTGTGACGCCCCGGTCCCGTTCCGCAGGCGCATGGAGGAGGAGGAGCTCATCAACATGTTGCGCCGGGAGGAGGCCGAGGAGAAGATGCGGCTGGAGGACGAGGAGCGCAAGCGGAAGGCAGAGGAGGCCCGCGCGGAGATGGTGCGCGCCAACGCATACCAGATGAAGCTGAAGGTGCGGCTGAAACAACAATATGTTGCATCGCCCCACTACTTCGGGGGCTGTAGGTTGGTCCACAGCAAAAGAGGCCTGGGTAAAGGTGAGGTGGACACATCCCGACCGCGAGCCATTCAGGAGCCGGAAATGGTTGATGAAATGGAGTAATGTGCTCCAGGGCGTCGTTGCCCCGCCTTCTTGTGTGGAATTCGCCACATTGGCGAATTCCACACAATTCGCCACATTGGCGAATTCCACACAAGAAGGCGGGGCAACGACGCCCTGGAGCACATTGCGCCACATGCAAACTGCATGCGCGCTGGGCTTTAGGGCTTGAATAGATGTTTAAAGTCCAACCGTAATCTCGCTCGCTACAAGACGGATCGCGAAGCGGTAATTGGTACCGGTACGGTGCTAGCTGGTACGGTGCTAGGGACATCAGCTGCTAGGGCTGGTGATGGCAAGGACTGGCATGGGCAAAGTACTGGTCTTCCAGTGCACTGCCAGTGCGCACGCGCGCACACACACGATTATTTGCGGCTCCATTCGCAAACACGCTCATGCACACATTTGTACCCGACCCACAGGAGGAGCGCGAGGCGGCTTTCCGCAAGGAAGAGGAGGATTTCAAGCAGCGCATGCTGGCCAAGTTTGCGGAAGACGACCGGTTGGAACAGTTGAACGCGCAAAAGCGGCGCATGCGTCTGGCGGAGCACCAGCGCGAGGTGCAGCGGCTCATCGAGGAGAAGCGGAAGGCGTTCGAGGAGGCCAAGGCGCGCGAGGAGGCGGAGGACGCCGCCAAGTGGGTGCCATGGGGGGTTTCAACCCACATCATATCACTCGTGCTCTGGTGTCGGCAAAACGATCGCATTGGGTTCCTGCTGTGTACACATGGACGATTTGGGTTACAGTGTGGCAGCCGTCCGAGGTGAAATGCTTTGCGGCGAGCAATGGTCTTTTCGTAATTCATATACTGCCATGTTCGATGTCCGCTGTGCTTACACTGTCCGAAGTCCTCGGTTGCTTGTCCTCCTTGGGTCCCTGTTAGACATTAGGCAACCTGCTTCCCTAGGCCATTTGCATCCTGGGCGCATTGGGACCCGCTTTATTTCTTTCCTATTCCTGATGCAGGCGCGCCGAGGACGAGCGGCTACGCGGGCTGGTGGAGGAGGAGCGCAAGAAGCTGCTGCGCGAGGCGGCGGAGCTCAAGGACTTCCTGCCGCGCGGTGTCATGCGGGATCAGGGTGACGTGGACTTCATTGCGCAGGTGGGCGGGCATGCGGCGGGTTGCGGTTTGGTGTTCTTTAATGCATGCCAAGTGATGCTGCGCCTGATGCTCTTGCGACATGTTGGACATTGCTGACTTACTGAAGTAGTTGATTAGCCTAGGAAAGCCACGCGGGGGACGGTAACATAGCCGTTAGGCTAAGCAACTGCCATAACCACCGCTCGTTTGCGACGGGGGCCACGTCCTCGTGTTGGCCGGATCTCTGCAGGTACTGGAAGAGATGCGGCTAAACCGCGCGAAGCAAGGACGCTAAGGGCGGGCGGACAAGGCGGGGATGCAATGTGGGGGGTAGCTACTGCCCACCTGGGATGACCAATGGACACGCGCATGCTAGTCGTCATCTTCCATATAATTGGGAACTGGTGTCTGGGGAAGGGATTTGTGGTGGGAATCATGCTGCGGCCAACCGGCTGGGCTACGGGTCGAACAAGAGTAGGTGGTCTTGTGAGGCGGGTAAGCAGGCTGTGGAGCTGTGTACTGGCCGCGGCCGCCGACGCAGGTTTTCCGGGAGGGTAACGAGCGCCGCCCTAAGTCCTTCGGGACGTGTCACATAACCTCCGGGGCCGCGGTTTGGTTTTATGCTCTTTAATAGCGTTTGGGGACGTGCAAGGCTAGGGGAAAGGTGCTAGGATTTTACAGTTCATGTGTATTATGTATCGTTTGAGCTGCGAGAAGGCAATTTTACATACGCATATGTACTACTCCAGTAGTTTGTGGCAACCGTAGCCGGGGATTGCTGCAACTGGGCCGACTGAAAAACTGGAGCCTAGGGTCGCAGGGAGGATGCTGGCAGTGCAGCGATCACTCGCCCGCGCGCTGGATGTGCGTGCATGCGTGGCGCAGACGTTGCGTGCGTGCTGCTCATGCTCGAAGAACGCAGCGCTTTGTGCATTGCAGCATTGCTGTGACTGGACTCGGGCTTACCGCCTGACATAACGTGGCCCAGTCCTCTTTGAGACGAAGTGTTCCTGCGGTTCCTTTTGGCGCCGCACGGCGGCATCAGTAGGGGGCTGAAAGGGTGCTTCCTGAGTGCAACTTGGTTGCCTGAGAAGGACGTGTAATGGATTTCGACGTCTGCTGATGCCTGTGACGATGTGAGCAGTTTTCTGCGTGGTATTAGCGAGACGAGAACATGCAAGAGCCTATACCAATGCGACCTGTACGCCGAACGGCAATTGTTACTGCGGGAACTGAACAGCGCACCATGTTAAAAAGGGTCCAACGTGTGTATTCTGCATTGGATTGGGCCGAAGATGCAAAAACGCCAACAGTTGAGGTCTATCTGCGTCTCAATTTGGTGACAGGAGAATTCTTGCCGCCATAATAAATGGAAAAAAAGGGTGCGTTGACAGCCGAGTTGGACAGTCCCATACCGCCCAACAGCCCCGCGACCGCCCGACGTGGACATGTCACGACGCACCTGTGACCCACTCGGATCCACTGTAACGAAATCATTTCATGATAGGCACGTGTCGACACGCCGAACCCATCGGCAGGCTGCTTCGCGCGTGAGGGCTACCGACGCGCACGCACTTCAGAGACGCCCTTGCCATGATGTTCATATCATTTTCCTTTCACGCGAGTACTTGCCATCTTTGCAAGATTTCGCCATTCTTGGCCGCACGGTCAGGCACCGCACTTGCACTGCATAAAACAAACGACCACTTCGGTAACCTACAAACCAACCAAAACGCAACACGGACACGTGTCACAGCAGCACACTAGCCAACCAAACCGCCGCAACTCATCCATATCGCATCTTTCCTCAAGCAGCAAAGTCAGCAATCCTAACCAGCGGCTAACTATATTCAGAACACCGAATCCGCGTTACTGCTTACGACTCAAAAGCGTGTGAGGCCCAACAGGCCAGGTGACCCCAACACCGCCTCCGCAATGGCAACATCAAACGTGGAGGTGATTCCCCCCAATTCCGTCACGGGTTCAAGTGACAAAAAGGGCAGCAGCAAGCTCGGAGTACTGTACTTCGTCACCCGTGGACAGCCCACCAACTACGACATGGTACGAATGTTGCGAAGACGGTTGCAGCGGCAGGCGCCGGCTGGCTGATGGCGCGCATGGTTGATGGCAGCCGCAGGCTGGTTAATGGATTCCCCGGATGCAAGGTGGTGCTGCAACTTCAAGATCTGGACTTTGCTGGTCTAGCATGCATAGGGAGAGATGAACTTCCTAATACCTAAAGCTTAGCCTGGGCCTGAGCCTCGGCTTTCCCATGCCTGCTTCCCGCCCCTCATCCCGCTCCCACCGCAGCTGGTGTTCCGCACCCTCAATCGCGACATGGGCCTCCCAAACCATAATGACGACCACCTGGCGGAACTCCTTCGCGATGAGCTGATGCCGGTGCGAAGCTGGGTGTTGAAACACCTGCCCTTCAGCAAGATCCAGCTCAAGGTATGTGTCCGGAGGGAAGGGAACATCGGTCAAGGTTCACAGCCATGCATGCATGGGTGCATGGGTGCACGGCGGGTGCACGGCGGGTGCATGTGCGTGTAAGAGTGTACGTGGGCAAGGAAACGGGAAGGGAGGAAAGCCATGCGCTGCAGGCATGCGCGGCTGGCAGGCGGGAGCCAGCTGCACGACACTTTGAGCCACCGCGGACATCAAGTGCGAGCACTATCCCGTGTGCGCCCACCCGCAGCGCACACTGGACAACCCGCTTTGGGGCGTCCCCGGCGCCGTCAACTTCATCGATGCGCGGACCAAGTGGTTTGACACCGCCGTAAGAGAAGCGCTGGCATCAGGCATTAAGCAGGTGGGGAGGTCGAGTCGGGGTTAGCAAACGGAAAACAGGGGCCACGCCCATCCGAACGGCCCGACGATGGAATTTACCGGGATCTTTGCGGGGTGGGGTCCGGCAAGGCATAATTGGCTGCCCAGTGCTCGTAGGGCTGGCGGATAGGGGTTGGGAAGTACTGGAAGAAAGCGCGACGGAGGGGTACGGGACGACATCCCTGCGGGGTTGTGGTGTTGCGCGTGTTGTGTGGCGGTGGGAACTGGCTGGCGATGTTTGGCGACATGGTTGGGCGAGAAGCCCAGTTTTTGCACGTGTGCGTGATGGCGGGGCAATGCACCTCAACACAGCTCTGTCCCATTATGCAATCTGCGGCATACAATCTGCGGCGTTCCTATCGGCGTCTCCCACCCGCCCTGATTCGTTGCTGCTGCTGCTGCTGCTGCTGCTGCTGCTGCTGCTGCTGCAGCTGCTGCTGTGGGGTTTGATAGTGTAATGCCTCCTTTTGATTCGTTGCTGCTGTTTTCCTCTACATAATCTCTGCCCCATTGGTGTCGTACTGTCGTCTCGTCCTAGGTGGTATTGCTAGCCGCCGGGTATGACACTCGGGCCTATCGACTTGGACGAGGCGGCGTCAAGTTTTTCGAAGTGAGTGCGGTCGTGTGTTCCTCGGGACGTGTGGTTCTGCGTGGCATTTAATTGGTAATGCTGGGAAAGGGCTTATGGCTGAGACAAGATGGAGTGCTCACAGGGCCGGGGTGTCGAGTATGCGCTTTTGCTTATTAAGCGACTGAACCACGCGCACACACCCAGAGACCATTCCCCTAGCACCCATGTAGTCGCTGTCATGCTTCCTTTTGTTTTATTTTGCTGTTTCTGATGTGCGTGTATGTGCGTGTGCGTGTATGTGGGAAGGGTCGTGGCAAGAGGCTTCACCCCAGCACCGCGGCCACCAAAGACAGCGGCCGTACGGTGCTGCCACCGCTGCCACCGCTACAGCTTACATGCCGCGGCAGCCGCGGCATTTAAGAGGCGAAGGAGCATAGGGACTGGAACAAAATGCCGTGCGTGCGCGTGTGTGTACGTGTACGTGTGTATATGTTTGTGTGTTTTTCGGTCGGAAGGGGCCCCTCCGCAATGCTCCTCCTCCTCCCCCCCCCCTCCTCCTCCTGGGGACCAGGTGGATTTGCCGTCAGCATCCGCAACCAAGAAGGCACTGGTGGACAAGCTGGGATTCATCAGAGATCCGGTGGGTGGTTGGGTGGTTGGCGTTTAAAGGTTTGGATGGGTTGGGATTTGGATGTCGGGGCCGAGTCGGAACGTTGGGAGATGGATAGCGAGATGTAAGGCAACGCGGAAGAGGAATGATGGTCTTGCGTGTGGCATTTTAGGTTGTAGGGTTTGCGCTAAGTTGATGCAAAGTAGACGCAGGGATCCCGGGCCCCCTCTCGCCTCCATCACGCATGCTTCCCTCTGCACTTACTGTATGTAGTACCCTGGGAATATCACGGGATCTGCATCCGCCGATCGGCACTTTTCCCAAGTCGTGGTATAACACTGTACCAGCTCAATGCACTCGTGCGTCCCCGCCGGCCCATCCATTCCATTCGCAGGCCCAATCCGTTCCCCATACCCTTTTCTTCCTCCTCCATGCAAAAAGTAATGCACCAAGATCATTCACCATTCCATTAACACACTCCCCACGTACCCCAATTTGTTGATCCCCGAATTGGACACAGACCCAACGCCCCGTGTACGTGGCCGCGGACCTGTCCCGCGTACCCCTTGCGGATGCGCTATCCGGCACCGGGTTCAACCCCGACCGGCCGACGTTGTTCACTGTGGAGGGCCTTATCTATTACCTGCCAGCCGACGCATGTGCCGCGCTGTTCCGCTCCCTGTCCGGTCTGTCAGCGCCTGGAAGTCGCATTTTCTTTGACTTCATGGCAGCAGCAGCCCTGGAGGGTCGAGGCAAGTTCCCTGGCTTCAAAGTTACGCGCAAGGTATGTGTATATGCAAGTATGTCTGTCTGTACGCCTATGGTGTGTGTTGTTCTGCTTGCCTTGGGTGGGCCGGTACTTGTGTATGCAGTGGTGACTCACAGCTGCACGGGTGAGGCTGCATGCATGAACTAGAATCCAGCACCAGCAACACCCTTTAAATGAAACTCTCTCAGCACGATTCAAGTCCCAACCCCGACGGCGAAATCCATTCGACTAGCGCAGAAGTAGATTCAGCCAAACACTATGCGTCGCATTTCTGCCTCGCCGCATTCCGCCCTAAAACGTTGGGCGTTTGCTATCCGAATTTTAAGCTCTGTAAATATCACAACCCTGCAAACGTTCATACGTGTACCTCTAAATGAACCAGTCGGTGGCCAACAAGGGCGAGCCTTTCCTGTCGGGCATCGAATCTACCCGGGAGGGTGTGGCGACGTTCCTGTCGCAATTCGGACTGCGTCTCCTGGACTTCCTGACGCCCAAGGACATGGTGGGGCGCCACCTGCCCCACCTGCCCTGGAACGAGCGAGTGCCGCCCATCGCAAGCTTCTACAGCTACGCCGCGGCGGAGAAGCCGCGTTAGGGTTGGGGATAATGTGATTAGGAAACTGGATGATGCCCCCCATGCCCAGCTTCCTTTTTAGCTTGGGAGCTAAACGAGGCCGTACGCACGTGCTTAGTCGAAAAGCTACAGTTATACAACGCGACAGGCGATCGGGCGGGGAGAGCCTAAAGGTGTTCAGTGGCGAAAAGGAAATTGTGGGCGTGGGAGTTTTTTGAGGGGAAGTTCTTTTAATATGAATAAAATACCGGAACCTTTTCCTTGACCTGGGAATAGCGGTGCATGATGTTGGCCTCGTTTGGCTGTATGTGTCATCCCTTTTGGAGATGGAGGACGGGCCGGAGAAATTGACAATGCAGTGAGGGGACCGGGCAAGGACGGGGACGAGAAGGCAGAAGAGGATGGGGTTGCTGCCATGCTAATACAAAACAAACATACTTACTTTTTTTGACCCATCTACGGTTGTGTGTGTGTATGTATATTGAGACGGCTGTTTCGCACACGTGGGACACATACAATGGCTGCGAGGTCCCCACTGTAAAGAGTAATTACGCCTGACGTGTTGTCAAGCGGCCGTCGCGAATGTGTGGAAGCGGAGAGAAGGGATTTGCATAGAGGAATTTAGAAACTGTATTACCTATGTTGTTGTTTTTGTTGTTACAGGGTGGTACAGTTTCACCAGTGGCCTCCTTCCCGAGGCAATTCCCTGCTCTCACCTGCTCGAGGGGCACCCTAATCCATTCACCCCATCCGACTTCAGAATGTACTCTTTGGGTTCGGCTACTCAGCACCAGCATCCAACCAAATCTAACGGATCAACGGCGCCACAACTTAGTTCCTGGTCAGCTCGCGAGCTGTATTGATTAATTCCTACACCGTCCATAAGATGGGGGGCCACAGCCCATTCCACCAGCCCTCACACATCGAGGGGAGGGTAGGTGGATATGAACCCGGTACCTCCGGGTTCAGAAGTCAGACCTTAACCTCTGCCAGCCACCTACCTACCTATGTATGCCGACAGCCGGAGGAGCTTCTCACCTTGCATGTATGGCCTCTCGAATACATTCATAATAACTTCAGCTGCCCGATTGATGGAGGCACGGACTTGTCTCCATCTGGGCCATAAGACGCTTTCCCCTGTATCCTTGTGTGTTACACAGTTCCGAGCTTACGGATGCTAACGGATGCTAACACGTCAACACAACGTTCGTTTTTGCATAATCCTGTTTTGTTCACTTTTTCTCTTTGGCGCTGTCAAAGCGGTTCATGAGCCTCCGGGTTCGCCTGAGCTCGCTGAAGCTTGTAACACCCAATATCCAAGAACAAAACTCAAGTGGCTTATCGCTCCCTAAAGACTACGTGCTACGTGGTGCTGCGATCCGTAGCTCTTACCCCAACATCCAAACACACGTAGGTGGTGCGTCTTGTGTCTGTGCGTGGAAAAGGAAAACGCATCGTGCCTATTTGAATCGAAGCGTGAAGAAGTCGAAGTGTGTGTGTGTGTGTGTGTGTGTGTGTATCGGACTAGTGTGTATGGGTCTGGCGACCTTTGAGTTTAAACTCTCAAGCTCAGCCCCTAACCTATTAGCGGTTAGGGGCAGGATAGAAACCTACCTGGAGTGAGCTTTAGAACCACCTAGATGTTATAGATGTCGAACAATACGGCGCACATTGTCTATCAATAAACGCCCATTTAAATGTCTCCACACAAAGCCCACTGTGCAGTTATCACTAATCCTCCTAATGTACCGCGACATGAAAAGCACATTAGGGTGATGCTCCACAAGCTACGGCACACGGAAGAGCACCACAACCGATAACAACCGACCAGTTAATCACCTATACACCCGAACCAGCTTGCTAATCTACCAGACAGGCTGCAGATCGGCGCAAGCAGCGTGTTCCCTGCGAGCATGATGGCTCTGTGATCACATGCATGTCGTACATGTATGTGATCATAATGTTCGTGGCGTTTGTGCTGCAGTGCGTGGTATGTGTAACGAACGAGTTACACAAGCATGTGGCTCGTGTTCACCTGCCCCATACGATGCTTTTTCGCGCCTTGCGTAGCCTTGTAGACGTGTTGCATGTTATATGTGTCCCATGTGCTGTATTGTCCTCTTTCCCATGACGCGCCTCCCTTGGCCACGATGGCTGGGTAATGAGGCGTGTCAACCCGCAGGATGCCAGGGGCATCTCCAAGGGAACTGGGCCCTGCATGCTTTGCAATTTGGAGGTAAGTGCGTAGATGGGGTTAGATTGGGGATTAGATGGTGGGTAGGTAGGTTGGGGGATGGGTTTGGAAGGGGCTGGGTGTTGGGCCATTCATGCGAGTGTGTGCGCATTGAGCGATCATAGTTGGCAAGCGGCAGGCAGCAGAGCAGTAGCAGCAACAGCAGCAGCAGCAGCAGCAACGACTTTCGGAAAGGTCTCTAGCGTGCAGCAAATCCAGGTCACAGCTGCCGGCCGCCTGCCAAGCATGATATGGACAAGGAACAGTGGAAACGGCACTATGGTAGCGTCTGATGAGCGGCTGGGAATTGCTCTGTTGTGGTATGTGTTCGTATATACCTGGGCCATACTTGCTTGTCATGGGCGCTTTTGGTTCGCAATCCGTGACCATAATCCTGTCCCCTTGTTTCCCCCTTTTGCATACGGGCTAAGTACGATGGTGATCTCGCCTTTAAGGGGCGCAGCATGCGCACCATTATGACTGAGGCGCCACCCCTGGCATTGGCCAGGTACCTCTCGGAAATTTGGGAGGCCAGGCACGTCGCGCTGAGGCGATTCGCCCTTAGCGGACGAGGGAGGATGATAATGACCTCCCACGTACCCGCATCAATACCAATACAACGTCCATGGCCCCCCCGGCTTTTACGGACACACCCGCACTTGTGTGCAGAACTTGTACCTAATAACGTTTGCCTTCAGGATACTGCGGCCATGCATGAGAGGAAGTACCTCATGTAAGTGTACGGCATTAGGGCTTCAGCCCCGTGGGTCGTTGATGTGCCGCTTGTTGTACTGTGCACGTCTGCCGTACTGTGTCGTACCGTCGGGGTAAAACTGTGCGCTTGGTATGCTATAATCCGGTAATTGGTGCATCAGGCGCTCACTTGTCCACACACACCGCCCTCTCCGCTTGTTTCTCTGTCCGCATGAACCTGGGCCTGCAATCAACATGAGGAAACATCGTGGTTCTGCCGCTGTGGCGGCAGCGCTATTACTACTACTGCCGGAGGTGAGTACCTTCGAGAGCTGCGTTTACTAGCACGTGGCTAAGGTAAATCTCTTGCAAAGGTGTGTTCGGCAAGGAACAGAGGTGCGGTTGAGGCGGAGGTGAAGCCAGTGCAGCGGAGGTGGTCGCGGAAATTGTGACGGTGAATGACGTGTTGGCATGGATAGGATTGTTTATGTTCGATTCGCCCCCTGGAGGCTATTTCCAGGTGGGTTTGGACCCCACCGCGATTGCGGGTACCGTGTAACCGCGCACCTCAGGGCAGCTCTCGTATGTTTCACTTCCCGGGCTCTGTGTGCTCTGTCGATGCGACGGTTATTGCTTAGACGCCACGGCGTATATGCCACGGCGGCATAAATGCAGTCGCTCTTGTTCCGTCGTGCTCCGGTCTTCCTTTTCCGTCGACTGGCCATCGTAGCTAATGCCATTAGGGCTGGATATAACGACGCCGCATCAGGCATCCCTGATATTCATCACTTAAAGCCGCGACCAGGGATGCATCATCCCCCTTGTTCCAGTTTCAGCATTCCTCCACCTGCTTTCGTTGTGGATATGCCCACTAATGCTGGGCTAAGTACGTACAAACGCTTTTGCCTCAGAGCTTCCATTCATTCATGGCGGGCGTGCTGCATGTCATTTATTCTATGTCTCTTCATTGCGCCCAGTGCGCCGGCGTTCAATCGGGTCCTTCAGGCGCACTCCAGCCGTGCCTTTGAAGGAAGAATCTGATTGAACCATTGATAAATTGTGTGAGTTGTACGATGTGGAACAGGATCCAAGTTTCTTTCCCCGTACGCCACCAGCAGGCGTATGTAGAGGCCTGCAGGCGCCCATCAGCTCCTTTATGCATACACAAATTAGTCATAGGTCGATTACGAACACATATTATGCTTGTAGGACGTTGGTTCATGTCTGAAAGAACATACTCTCAACGGGCCTTCCACAAATGGCTTGTTTTCCATAACTACTTGAGGTGGAGATCTTATAGGCGCGACCTGGATACTCTTCGTCAGGTCAAGTTCCTTCGGCACGACAGTTCGGCAAGTGATGTCGCCAGGTGACCTCCCTGCTGGCAACCAGCCGTGAGGACCCATCGATAAGCTCCTGGTGAAACGAGAGTTATGAGGCATTTGACTTTCTTGGTGGGTCAGCCTCAACTAGAGCGCAGCCGGAAGGCTTACTTCCATCATTACTTACATCATCGAACAGCAGCTTTGCCGTTAACGTCTTGGAAAAGACGATTCGTCTGGAATAGAAGCTCTATATATTTCCTTTACTTGTGTGCAAGTAGAGGCTGCGACTTGCTCTCTGGTGCTCTGCGGCGAGAACATTTGTTCACTACTTCTTATGGTCGACGGTGACCACTATCTACGTATGCCAGGGCGAACAGCAGCACATACCAAAAGGTATGATGAGCTGTATGGTCAGGGCTTGGACTAAAGGACGTCTAGACGCCTTCGACGGTGAAGCCTGAGGACAGCTTTGCTAGAAGTTTGCTGTCTCTTAGCCTCAACAACATGTATAAAGTAAGAACTGTTTTATCTTCTGCTTGCATTAAATCAGACAGTTGGATAGCAGTATCAAGAAGACTACAATTCCATGGTGGTCCTCACTTTTGGGCGACAATCGCTTCTATTTGCCCACCTACAGGCAGAAACTGGATGCTCTGCGTGACGAACGCTGTGAGCGGGACGACAATGACATTTCTAATGTACCTTTCAGCGTGCCTTGTTCCTTGTCTTGTCCCAACGCCATGTCAGGGCTCGGTGACATGGATCGACTGAGAGATGACATGCTGGGCCTCGGGGTTTGAATCAATCAGAGGAAGTGGACATTGATGAATCCGATAACCTTTAGTGTGTTGCTGTGATGGGTTACGTGGGCTTTGCGTCCAGTGTCGTTGTGTGCTGTACTGCACTTCGCCGTGCAGTTCGTCGTACGTTGTACAGCGCGTGGTGTATTGTCCCGTGACATGTCGGGCGTTTCTGTGCTGTCGTGTTTAGCTGGCAGTGGCAGTAGCAGCAGCAGCAGTAACAAAACAGTGACCGCAGCAAAGCGATGCAAAGCCTACTTAGGAACGATGGCCAGCCCTAAACCCACAATAGGTCAGCGCTGCCGGCTTTCAGCCACACGGTTGCTTTGTCGTGGTGTGTGCTTTGGTGCGTGAGGCGGGAGCCTGTCCTATCGTGCGCGAGCTGTTTTCTATGCATGTCTTTTTGTTCGTGAATCTGACCAAGACAGCCTCATCCACTCGTATCGTAACTTGCTGAATATTCTTTCCCTTTTGCCTCCTCCTTCCCCGTCCTCCCGCCTGCCTCTGGTGCGTCCTTGTGGCTGCATGGCGGCCGAACATCAACACCCACGCCGAGGGAGCAACGACCTGGCGCTACACGAGCTGCGGTCCTTGCATGTGAGTCATCCGTCCAAGGTTTTCAAAATACCTCGCACTTTGCGGTTGGTCGTGCTGCTTAGGGTTTTCTGTTCCGCGTTTTGTTGGGAGTGTGCATTCATGCCTGGCTGGGGGTCTGCAGCGACAGCAGCAGTAGCAGCAGCAGTAGCACAGCAAATGTCTATAGGAAAGTCCTAGGCAGCAAAACACACAATTCCAACGAAGTCAAGTCAGCACTGCAGGCCGTCAGCCAAGCACGATTGTGCATAGTGTGTGTATGTGTGTTCGAAATAGAGGACGTTACAATGGAGCGGGCGGAAACTCGAACTGAACATACAAGTTACAAGTCACAAGTGCCGCACGAGTGGGGGGGTTTCCGTCAAAGCCGGGAGGCCATTGACTATATTATATATCCGTAGAGACAGATCAGCCATCACCACCACCTCAGCATGCGAAACTTAGTTCATCAACTAGACCTCATCTCCACACCTAAGCAGCGATTTGTAAACCAAATTCTCCTGATTATATTCGGGGGCCTGCCCAGGAATGAGAGCAGGTCATTCGTATCAAAAAACCAGCAAAACTGAGCAGGAGAAAGCACATCGTGGGATGCACAACCAGTGGCTAGTAACCGGCGCTTAAGCGCAGCCTGTCATTAATGACAGCACCCTTAGGCCAACTTGGCGCCATTAGTATTTCCCCCTCCATTTTAATGCACACATGGAGAACAATCAAGAGGACAAGGACTGGAGAACACCACCAGGTTGCGTCCTCAGATAACTTGGACTGGAACGAGAAGTAGGAATGGCCAAGAAAAGAACTTGGACTGACCAGGAATAATAGGCCGCATAATATGGGCCTCTTAAATAACGTCCAATGCCGTACAACTGCCAAATAAAGGGGCCCTGCAGGGCCTTGGACCGTGCTCCAAAGACTAGCCCCTGCTACCACAATACACGGGTCGCTCTTTAGTTGACGAGCTGTCCCGTCTAAGTCGCGAGTAGCTAATTCATGGGGATAATAACACCTGAACAACTCAGATCGCTATCGATGGCGCCAGGTGCCAGACGGTCCGATATCTGCTCTCCAGGAGTCATGAGCAGGCATACTTACTAGTAGGTTCACTGCGGTGCAAGAAGGTATATATAAGATAGCGCAATACAGAAAGGCAAATCCACCATGTACTGCATGTAATTAAGGACATGGCCCTTAACAGTAGTGCGTGATTCTTACCATTGTACAGTGACTTCATCTCGGCATTCGACACCATTAACCGGAGCAGTCAAGTTGCATGGCATCAGCACCGGACAAGGAATCAAGAGAGGAGGCAACACCATAGGGTAAAACAACCATAACGAAATAGACCAGCCAACAGCGCCGCACCATCATCAAAACACTGATTCACGTATGATTGCGTACAGCCCCTCCACAGTGGCCAACACCGCTAAGTGTCACCAGGATATCAGGACCACATATCCACGAAGGTTTAGACTGCACAAAGTCGGTGTACGGGGACCAGAAAGTTCAGGGCCAGGGACCCTGCAGATTTTGAGTGAGGAGCGAGGCTGATGGCGGAATGGAAGCTACTCACCAGGCTGGAAATGGTGCGTGGCTGTGATGTGAGGCGCCATGGGTAAAGTCGGTGCCCCTGTCTGCGGGGATGGGAGGTTTGCTCTGGTCACCACCCCGACGCCAGTCATCCCCACGGCGGCAGTGCAAGGATCTTGCATCAGGGTGCGACCAGTCGCTTGAATTGCAGCCCCCGATCCGCCGTTCACACATTGATCCTTCTACATGGCAACCCTGCTTTCTGGGCTGCTGCCGCTACAGCCGTGGCGGCCACCACTGCATGAGTGGGGCGGATGGGTTGCCACTGTGTGGACGTCTGGACCACAAGCTACTACTGTATGGGCTTGTAGTAGCTGGTACACAGTACGGCACCTCGAACAACTACAAGTACGAGCTAAGCGCTTCACCAGCATCTCGAGAGGCCTTTCAGCGGCCAGCTACTACAGGGCTGTACTGGTGCTCTGGTCTGGTGGCGCCTTTGTGTATATGAAGGTACCGGGTTCGAATCCTGGTCAGACCCCCGACATTGTTCGGCTTTGACGGACCCCCCCGCACTCGTGCGGCACTTGTAACTACTAACTTGTACAGGGCTGTACGGACCGTGCCCATGCACACCAACAGTGCCCAAACCAGCACTACCGCCCATACTGAGACAACAGGAGCCGGCCCCCATACATTCTTGCATCAGCACGTGTCAGCACAGCAAGTGTTTGGACCCACTATCGCAAAGAACCCCAAGGAGCCGATGTAGTCACACACCGGGACGGGTGACTACCAGCAGTGGGGCAGCCACGACCTCTCCACAAAGATGTATATCTACTTGAATCCTGCATGCATGCATGCATGCCCATGATTCTTCAACCAGTTAGTTGTTGTTTCCCCTGACTGTATATTAGCACCATGACGCCTCGATAATGTGCAGATGCCCAGTGACATGCATATGCTGTCAGGAATCCACAGCCAAACCCATCATCACATCCTCATCAATTAGCAGACTGATGACTTAGAAATTTTAATATTGGCGACTTGGGTGATAAAGCTCTTCACAGGCGCCAGCCAATCCGGGCTGGGATGTGCGGCTCGAATACAGCCAGTCCCCATGCATAGTACTCACCTAGTACTCACCTAGCTGGTCCACACACAACTACTGCTGCATACTCCTGAGGTCGAAGAGAACTGGACCAGGCCCACATCAGCCATATTCATTCCACCCGCCATTTATTTGTTTGTTTGTGAAGTAAATAATACGTAAATAACAACATCTAGCACGATGGCCATCCGGGTTCCTGCTGCTGCGCAGAGGGCTCCGCCTATCCCTTGGCCCCAGCCCTAACCACTCTATCTGCTCCTCCTCTGTACTTTTGGAGCGAGGGCTCTCCATTCCGTCCCGAAGGCTAGGGCTGCTACGATAGCGGCCTGCCTGCTGGATGGGACCGGCTTGCTCTCCCAATATTTAGCCGGGGCTTGTCTCTAATATGATACCTCCATCCATCCATCCATCCGCCAAGCGATTGCACGACAGGTAAGTGCCATCACCGACTTGCGGTATTCCTCTCTTCCGCACTTCTCTCTTTATCTTCTCACACATACATATGCACGCACACACAATCACGCACACACTCACACAGACATAACACTTATGCACATATACACGATGGTCCACCACGCGACCGCACTAAAAACGATTTACCGTCCATGGGCCTCCCGGCTGTTATGGACACCCACTTGTGCGTAACTTGTAACTTGTACACACATAGGTACACATACATATATGTAGGAGCACATTCAAACAGATACAAGCACACACTACAGGTAGTTGGCCCTTGCCACTCAACATCCAGCAGTAGTCCATCGGCTACTTACTACTAACAGGCTGTTTCGAGTACTGGCTCTGGCCACCATCATCATCGCAGGTTCAGCACAGTGGCCAACCACTACATTCCGGGACTATTTTCGATTAATTGAAAATGAAACTTTGGCCATCCTCAGCACTTCCCCTTGCAGCTCAGCGGTTCGTTGCACACGTATTAGCACAGTTGCACAGTACATACTACACTGTCCTCCCCCTCTCTTTCGGGAGCTCTAAGCTTTCGTGCACGCCAGGTCGTTCGCAATCCCCCCTTTGCTCCTACTGCAGTTGCTGCACACAAGCAAACAGCCAGGTCTTTTGATACAGAAGATGTTAGGAAGGCCGTAGAACAGAAAAAGGACCGACGGACAAAGAAGACAACGACAGTTAGGCCTAGGCATACATGTATGTACATACATGGATTAAGTTAGGCATGTATATACATCGTGCCTTTGCTGGAAAGCCCCGTGAGCAGAGGATCTGCAAGTTGTGCGCGCTGCACAAGTTGGAAGATGAGCGCCATGGTCTCCTAGAATGCCCACCTTATTCTGCATGCCGTGAGTGCTCGGACGTGCCCTTACCCACGCTTCTGATATGAAGTCGATCATGATGCACAGCGAGTAAAACAAACTGGCCTACCTGGTACCTAGCAGTTGGCTTGCACACTCGTCTCTACGCAGGCGGTCGTAGCTGACTAGTGCCAAAATGATTCGGTACCAGAACTTTTGCGTTTTACTATGTCTTTTACCTAACTTGTGACTCTTAGGCTCTTGGGGCTCTGGCTCGTATGGGCTCGTTACACCTCCCAGGGTAACGCAACCGAGGTGTAGCACGCACATGCATACAATCATACAATGATATAACCATACATGTATACGTACAACACGGGGCGAGAGATTGAGAGACATGTATATATATATATATACATGCCGTAAAGTGAATGTAGGTACGATTACATCACCTAGCTGTCTAGGTGTTGTTAGCTGCTGCTGCTGCAGTTGCGGCAGTTGCCGTTGGACCTCAGCAGGTCATATCCTCCCACCCATCGATTTATAACCTCATCATTCCCCACTAATAACTAATAACCAACAACTAACAACCAACCTCAACCAACTGTTCATCCTTACCCCCCCCGCTCACCTCCAGCACCAGGGTCAGCTCCTTGGCCACCTCCGCCGCCGCAGGTCGTCTGGCGGGGTCGGACTCCCAGCAGGCCTTCAGCAGCCGGGAGAGTTTGGCAGGACAGCGGCTTGAGGGCAGATCGTCCAGCGACAACCTCAAGCCTTTGTACGTCACCTGTACAATAGTGCAAAGAGAGAGCGCTTTGGTGGATTGATGGTAGATCATGTAGATGGAAAACGTTGCATGTGACGGTGTCTTAGTGGCCTCAGATAATCCATACATCTCATACCACCTCACACGTCAGTCTCTCATCTCGCACTTCAGCACTGCTGGGAACTGTTAGTGTTCCGCCATGGTGGTGTCCACCCTGCTTGCTGTTCATGTCAAGACATGTTCCTGTCAGACATGCTGTGGTCCTAGCTAAGCCAATGCTCCTACGTCCTTCTTTCCTAGTGTGCTGTGGTCGTAGAGTAAAAGCTTCTTCATGCTGGCACCTAGCTAGGCACACAGACGTCTGGCACCGCCTGTAGTAGCTGGCCGCTGGAAAGGTCTTTCGAGGTACTGGCAAAACGCCTCAGCGCGTACTTGTAGACGTCATGTGTGCCGAACTGTGTACCAGCTACTACACCGCTTATGGAATGAATACTTCATCCGTCAGAAACCACGCTAATAACCAGGCATACATGCGCACGCACGCACCATGAACGCGATGGCCACATTGCCCACTCCCTCCCACGGCCGCTTGCCGGCCAGCATCTCCCAGATCAGCACACCCAGAGAGTAGATGTCCTGCGAAGGAAGCAACCAACGGCCATACGCATATCTGTGTTGGACTGATGTACATCTGTACATCAGATACCCACTAGTCGTACCACATGTACACATACAAACAGAACAACATGTGCGCGGATATGGATGTGGGTTATGCAAGGAGTATACTGGCCGCTACCGAGTGACCACCAACATGTGTAGGTATGTATGTATGTTCGTAGGTCAAGCAGCTGCAGATTATCCGGGACAGAGCTAAGGGAGTTTAGCCGGCAAGGAATACACGGTATGTGCCGAACCTAGCTAGCAGATATATTCTTTCGAACCCCTGGGAGGTATTCTCCAAAGGCAATGGGCGCGCGAGGCCTCGCCTTAACAACGGAGGATTGATCCTCACACCTTCCTCACACCCTCCTTACACATCGTCACGTTCCCACACGTTCTCACACACCTCACTAATCCTGGGATAATGCTAAGTACATACTCAGCAAGCCCGTTTGTTACGCACAGACACACACCCAGCCCTACCACTTGATGGGTAACGTGCTTGCTCAAGACGTCGAAGCACTCCTGTGGTGGCAGCAGACACAACCAGACAGACTGATCAGCCCGCAAGCAGTAGGTGGTGCCGTTTGGTATAGGCGTATAACACGTCGCCCCAAGTACATCAGATTGCCAACAGAACCTCCTGCTTTGCGCGGAAAAAGGCAGGAGGGGACTGCTGTCGGAAACCAAGGCGCCTCATGCCGTACGCGCCACCTCCCTTGTTGGGCCCCGTGTGTCTTTTGGCGGTCTTTCCGTTAGGAAAGCTGCCCATCCTTGGCCACGCAGCGCCAGTGCCAGCATTACGTACTTCGACCCACGCGGTAGGTAGTGTCCCAAATTCAGCTCCAGCTCATCACGGGGGCGCTGATTGCACATTATGGGGCTTCCACATTATCCATATGAGAATCATATGAATGATGTACACTACACTATGCTAAAGTGTAAGCGAGAGAAGGATTGCATACATGGCGTGCACATACAGGTCCGTATTAGGTTCCTAACCATTGCCCATGGGCCCCCTCCCCCCCGCTTTTACAGACAACCCCGCACGTGTGTGTAGGACTCGTAACTTGTAACTGGTCACTAGTACTTACCGGCGGCATGTACGGGGGCTGCGCCATATGTGCATGGACGGAGGAGGGAAGGCGCAAGACAGACAAGGGAGTCGTCAAGCATACATGCAGCAGCCGCCAGCACGCCCGCAGTCGACATACATGTGGTCACATATGTGGTTAGGTTCCCGATACGTCATTTGCACGACAGCGACGTGTGGATTGTTTACATGCTGATGACGAATGCAACAAGGAACAACACGTGTACAAATGAATACACATGTAACTTGTTTTGTGGATGCGGATGCCCGTATTCCAATGGCGCACAATGCCATTTATGGGGATGCTATACAGTTGTCACTAACACAAGATCGCGATGTCGATCGCGTGCATTGATTATTTAATGCCTTGCCGTCTTGCCGGGACAATATCCACCAGCAAGACATATTACTACAGGATGCAGTCTCACCTGTAACATTTTACGGTCTTTAGACCGGTCCCTGGTACAATAGGTAGGGATCGTCCACAGGGCCCATAGGACATTTTACAGACACTACGGATAAGCCTGCACCAAACTCAGCCTATTTGCCCTTTTGTCCGTTAGCCTTCCTGTCTGTCTTCCTGTCCTGCCTGCCTGTGCCTGCACGCCTGTCTGCCTGCATGTCTGTCTGTTTGCTCATTTGTCTGTTTGCGGTGCCCGTTAACCTCCCCTATGTCTCACCGTGCCAGCATCAGGTGCTTTGGTAGATTTAACCGTAACTCGAAGCCGCGACAACCCAAAGTCCTGAGGACAAACAGCCGAATCAAGCAGACGCGGAGAAAGGGAAAAGTGGGGTGTCAATGGATAGGCACACATGCGCATACATGAGGGGTAATATCTGTCATGAGGTTTACTGCCGCGAAGCACAAAAGCTTACGTCCATGCATTTGTAGATATTACGACAATCGTTTCGGCAAGCATCACCGTAGTGGCCTGTCGACCCATCATTAGCCTAGCCTGCTTATCGTTACAAGCTCCTTTGCATCATTCGTGCTTTGCATTCCGACATACATACATGTGCCGCCTAATGAATTGCACATGTACATTAATGTCAGCATCAGCATGTACATGTACATTAATGGTTGTCAGCATCAGCATGTACATTTGGTATTGGTTCATCGCGCTAGGCCTTAGCCCTGAGAAAGAGCCGGGCTTCTCGGGGGCCCCCATGTACGACATGACATTGGCGTAAGACACCTATAATAGCAGCGGATGAGATACAGATAGATATCGTGGGCAAGGGAAATGGTCGGTCATGGCAGTTACCACTAGTGGATACCCTCACCGAGAGTTTGACGACGGGCCAGTCGCATGACGGGTTGTTCATGAGCACATTGGCTGGCTACATATGCACATGAAAGGGGAAAGGGCAGAGTAAAATAATAATAATCATGATAATAATAATAATAATAATGATGGTAATAACAATAATAATAATAATGATGGTAATAATAATAATAGTAATAATAGTAATAATAATAATATAATATAATAATAATAATAATAATAATAATAATAATAATAATAATAATAATAATATAATGAGGCCATCAGGTTATCCAACAGTGGCCCACGGATTGGCCGTGGTTGAGGGTCAGTGAAAGGTACGGATAAAGACATACATACATACCAAACCATGGGAATTTCTATTCATTACTGTTTAAGGAGCCACTAACAAGGATTTTCCATCATTACGACCAAGACGCACCCTCCCTAAATGGAGTAAACCCAAGTTGCCCGCAGGCTGTCCTGTTTCCTAGCCGTGGGGCCTAGTATGATGTTACAGGGTGGTATAGCTTCACTAGCGGCCCACTTTCCCGAGGCAGTTCCCTGCTCTCCCCTGCGAGAGGGGCACCCTAATCCATTCATCCCACTCGATTTTAAAATATATTCGTTGGGTTCAGCAACTCACCACCAGCATCCAACCAAATCTAGCGGATCTACGGCGCCACAACTAAGTCCCTGGTCTGCTCGCACGTTGATATAATCACGTGCTACAACTCCCACAAGATAGGAGGCCACCTCCCAATTCAGCACTCCGCACACACCGAGAGGTCGGCAGGCAGACTTGAACCCGTAACCTCCGGGTGCAGAAGTCAGGCCTTTACTTCTGCCACCCACCGGCCTAGTATATAACATTTTTTTCGGTACCACATGTCGATGCACGCTGTCCCAGCTATCGATACATAGCCGAGGACGCGTCGACGGTTGCACGTCATCTATTTGCCACCGCGCGGACCACTGCCGTGGACACCTGGTTGCGTATGTATGTATGCACGTCTGTACCTATTCACATGCGCATGCACATGCACAGCCACATGCACAGCCACATGCACAGCCACATGCACAGCCACATGCACAGCCACATGCACAGGCACAGCCACATGCACAGCCACATGCACAACCACAGCCACATGCACAGGCGGCTGCCGGCCTGCCGTGAAACCGGAGACAGGGCAGCAGGTGCAACCTAGCTACCAACGAACGGACCCACGACATTGATGACTGGTGGGTTTGTACATTGCCACCGAGCGCATCAGCAGCACGCCGCGTCGTGAGCTCTGAATGGCGAAACACGTACATCGTGGGCATCCACATCTTCGGAGCAGCCACTTAACATTATCAGAGCTATCCTGTGCGGTTTCTGATGATGTATAGCTGTACTCACTCACATGCATACAGACTGACAATTATCCGTTCACACCGCGCATGCAGTCCATCTGTGTACACATGTACGTGCCCCATGTATCGTGCAGAATACATTTACATACTTGCGTGCATGTTGCTTGGCGTGCATGTTGCTTGTTGTCATTACGTACCTTCAAGTCTCGGTGCACGACGGTGGGGTGCAAATAAGCCAGCGCATTGGCTACATTGATACTGATGTATAGCACCTGGGAAAGCAAAGTGCATGCAAGAAAGCACGGGTGTACGAGCATGGTTGTACATTTAATAACAAGAGGTATCGGTGGAAGCGCCGTTCCCTAAGTTCCCTGAACAAGTCGGGTGTCGGCTTCCTCGAAGCCGGAAAAAGGGCGGGCCCCCCCTGCATCCGTACAGGCCGGTAGCTAGCGCGGCACGTGTGACAATTGACGGGTAGTGTCAACGCGGTGGGAGATGTGCTTTGTTGCAGCAGTGCTGATGGTGTGAGAGCTAAGCTTGCACCGGCGGAATCGTCAGCACCGCCTGCGGGCTCCACGCGAATCGCATCCATCCCGGGTGCATGCCGCATGGACAGTGCGGCAGACCGCAAGTCGGAATGCCCGTGCGGGCAAATGGTAACGAAAGCTGGGTGAATTTCAGTGCTGTCTGTGATGTTTATCCCCGAAGCGCCAGCGGCCTCAGCAATCCGCCCCACAGCCGCAGGCTTCATCGGGGCACACCGCAAGTCTCCGGAGGCCCCGAGCATTGGCTAAAGTAAATGTACTGAGCAGCTTGTGTATTTCATATAGAAATGAAAGCAAATTTGTTGGCCTGCTGGTGGCAAGTCGGATTGCCCATGCCGGCAAATGGTAACGCAAGGTGGGTGTTCGAGTTATCATACGCCGTCATCTCAGAATTCCATTATGAGATGCGCGGCAGCTTTCGGGATGAAATTTAGCGCGAGAGGCGTTGATGTGACTTTTGAGGTCGGTGAATGGAGGCAGCTAAACTTGTTTGTGCTCATACGGTCTTTGTTAGCTACATGCGAGATACCTTGCAACAGAGAATGCTATATAGAACCGATAACGCGTTTCAGCCGGGTGAAATATTATGTTTGGTCTGTTACACACACACGTACACACACATACACACGCACACACGGACATGGGCAATCCTACAGGTCGGGGGCCCCCTGGGCGCTTCGCGCTGGGGCCCCGCCCAAAAAGAGAATTTGTAATCGCAAGGTGGTCGCAGGTTCATTTTTGGGTCGGGGACATAAATGGATTACTAGGAAGTGTAGTGTTAGAAGTCCAGTTTCCTAGGTTGTCTAAACCCTCAAAAAGGTCCACGTTCGCCCCTGTCTGGTTAGTGATCATGCACCACGGTTCAATGTGCAGCTACAGGCTGTGTTTGTTCTCGGGCGGTCGACATGAGTTCGCACAGCGGCAATCACTCCCTTACAAATGTGTTTGTGTGGCATGCAGCAGGGAACTAGGCTGTGAGGAGCTCAGGGTCAAGGCATGGGCGGATGCTGACATACAAATCAGGCAGGAAAGGCAGGCGAAGTGGACAGACAAAAAGCTGGGGTAAAGCAGGCGGGCAAGCAAGCAGGCAGGCAAGGGAGGGCAAGGCTTGTAACGTATGAAGCCTTTTGCACCACGTTCTTTTCGTGCGCCTGAAGAAAATAAACATTGATTTCGGAGGCAACAAAGTTAGCCAGGAAATGCAGCATTCAAGCGCTTGCACATGCAATCACATGACCACGCACCTTTGCCAGCGGCATGAGGGTTTCTGCCTTACTGCCGTACATCAGGCGCTCCAGGGAAGTCTCCATAAGCTCCATCACAAGGCAAAGTCGGGGAGGGGTCACACACGCCGCCAGCAGCTGTACGACATTAGGATGCTGGCAGCGGCTCAGGACCTGCACATAACATGCTCACTTAGTAAAACGGTTTGCACAGTTTGGAGTGAGCACGTCCACGAAACATTTATACAGTAGCCGGCCATAATTGACGGGTGCCAGCAGGCGATGTGCAAGGCAACACACGCCCTCTGTGGCGAGGAGAGCAGCTCGTGGGTGGTTCTGCTGCCAGTGATAAAGACATGCTGGTGTGCACCCCCGCCAGCCACGCACTGTCGGTCTGTAAACTTGCAACAACACACCAGCCCATCCACCTAACAATAGCCCGACCGCCAACCCGAAATGCGCCCAACCGCCAACCCGAATCCCCCCATGTACGTACGTAGCTATGCAGCTATACATGCCTGCATCTCCTGCTCGAAGCTTTTGAGGAAGTTATTTGGCATGCTGTCCGCTTTTTGCTGCTGCAATACTTCGAAAGGCACATCACTGGCGAGAAGTTTGACCGCCACGCGGCGACCACCGTACAGCCCCTCCACCACACGACCGAAACCGCCTTTGCCGAGTACAACCGGCAGTAGCTCCACAGTTGGGGGCTCCGTGCCGCTACTGCCGTCCTCAACAGCATCACCTGTACCGCCGATGCAGCGGCCGCTTGAATCACTGCTTTGGCCTCGGTCTTTGACGTCGCCATTGCTGTTGCTGCTGCTGTCAGCCCTCCTTTCAGCCGCGGAGTCATCTACAGTAATGGCAACGAATTTCTCTAGTTTAAGTTAGCAGCTCCTTTCCTATGCCGGCTTGGCTTACTTGCCAGTAAAATTACACACTGAGCGATACCCACTACGCACTGAGCAAGTATCACACTACATAACATGCGGCGCATGTGCACCTGTATATTCCTAGGCACCCATCTTCGTCCCACTTTTCCCTTTCCCCATGGCTGTACGTGTTCGGAGGCATGACGCAAAAATAAATAACGTTCAGCAGGCAACGCAAATGCTGCCTTTCTTAACATTGTCATTGCCAACGACAACCCTTATCACAACCTACCGACATGAGCAGCAGGCGCTAAGGCTACCCGCACATCCAGCACAACCCCCGGGTGTGGCGGGGTGAGTGGCGTCAGGGGCTTCTCGTACAAGGCAAGCACAGCGGCCGCTTTGACGGGCAGCACACGCCGCTGTCCACGCACCCCTGCATTCATCACGGCTTTCTCGGCTACGTATTGATCCGAAGTAAGATGCACAGGTTGGTTAGGGAACTGGGTAATGACGGTTACCTCATTGGTTGGATGACGGGGTAGGCCATGTGCGAAGGGTAGGTTCGCAACTTTTCAGTGTATAACGTCTGCTGCAAAGTTTTCACCGTCTACAAATCATGCTCTGGTAAACTAGGGACTGTCCCTATCTATCACACCAGGACATGATGACAGACGGTAAAAGTTCTAAAGACGAAGCCGCCACCGCCCCTACCGGAATCCCATGTGTACTTGCAAGATATGCTGCGGCACATACGAACAGGTGAGGTGCATTAGCGAATAATCCGCTTCCATCCGTTCCAGTGAGTGTTGGAGTAGTTGGCCCTCCAAACCTTTAAGTGCTCGTGTGGCCAGTGATAGGGTTATTGTTAAGCTATCCAGACGCCTGCGGGAATCCGTTTTATCTTTTTGGCGGTCCGTGCCCTCGCGGTTAGCTTGCATGCGTGCGGACTGCTGCTGAATAGCTGTAGCAGCAGCAGGCTGTAGTAGGCTGTAGCGAGTAGCGCGCTGGAGACCAAGAGGAATGTCTACATACAGGACCTGGCTTCCCATTGAAGTGCGTAGAGAATGGCTTTAATTCGGGAACGGAGGTCAGAATCTCCTTTTGAATTGCATTCGATCTCCATTTTGCTCCACAAGGACGGAGTGCAGTGCTGCAGCGCAAAATCTTATTGCGATACTGGGTGTATCTTGGACCCATACCTCCTGCCTCTAGGCTCGCCAGCCGACGAGGACACCTCAAATCAACAATGCCATAGGTGTGTAGCGAAGTAAAACGGCTAGCCATGTGGCGAACTCCTCACCAGGCCCCGTTCCCCTATCCCAAGCCAGGCTTCAGGACTGCAGACCTATGTGTTCAATGTACATAATCATGCATCCTCTCGCTGCGTCTCGCTGACATCCTAATTATAATAAGATAATTATTTATCTAATTATTTTATATAAAGATAATTATCCATCTACGCATGCTAGTTAGCGACGGTGCTAATGATAACTAGCAAGCTTCGAAGCTCACCGTTCTTGGGCGCTATGGTCTTCAACTCCTCCGTTGCTTCATCATCTGCCACCGCCGCCAGGAGCTGCGAGGGCTCCTTCTTGCCAGGGGCATCTTTGGGGGTGCCGCCGCCGTCCAAAGACCTGCATAGATGAATTCCATATGTGCATCACCGCTAATAATTGTCATGCGATGTGGACAACTGCCGCTGATCACGTTTGTTGGTATGTACATGATGTGTGGAACACGGGGGGTGACATACAAACACGCAGCACACAATTCCCCAGACGACAGATGGAAGCTTGCAAGACACACACCCAGCGACACCCACTTTTCTCGAGCTGGGAGATCGGCGCCCTTCCCTGCGTTAAGGCCAGCGGCAGCTGGGGCTGATAGCTTCTGCTCATGCCGAACAGCGTGCAGTTCGTGGTCCTCGCCGAAGGTGACACCAGTCTGTTCATCCCTTTTTATGACCGGAGCTGCTGCTTTCTGGGGCTCCACATTCTTCGTGTCATCATCACCACGGCAAGGGATTGCGCCGCAACGAGCGCCCTCACCATCGCTGTCTTCATATACTTTGCCCCGTCGTTGCTGTCTGCACCGTCGCCACCCTGCTACTGCCAGCAGCCCCGCAACCACAAGTAGCAACGTGCCTGCGGTGTTTTCAAAAGCATGGCGTGATTAAGTAAGTAAGGGATACAGTGGACGATGACCAGACTTAGGGGGGGCATGTGAAACACAGCAGCAGGCGGTATGTGGGGCAACAGGCCTGTGGTGGTGTCTGCGCATGTGCTGCTTGTGCACACGCTACGTGCTTTAACAGCATCATGATGATATTATGATATTATGATATAATGTGATTTCAGTGTGCGTGCGTGTGTGCGGTCTGTACAATACACAGCAATACGGCAGCACTGTTTCATCACATGACATGCAGCTGGGCATGTATATATGTGTTATTATTAGCATTTCCGTGCAATTTCCGTACACTGGTTTTCATCTTCAACGCATGCAAACCCACGGTGCACATGTCTAGGCCTGCTTGATTTGGCCTTCCATGCTGCGTACGTGCGTGCATGCGCGCGTCTGTTCTTTTTATACAAGGTCACGCAATACTGGTATAGCAAGTACTAATGCCCCCGGAGGTTCCGGGATCGAGACCTGTCAGGGTCGAAAAATCCTTCCTATGGTGGAGGGTTAGAGTGCTCCTAGTCGATAGACGGTGGTGACCTGGGTTAAAGTTGACCTGCGAGCTGACCAGGAATAGAGTTGAGCCGCCGTTGATCCGGCAGATTCCGCTGATCCACTCAGAAGTTGGCTAAGGTGACTGGATGACGGTGCCCCGAAATACCGGGGAAGGCAGGGTCTGCCGGGTAGCGGCTGCTGTGTGAAGATATGAACCCCCTGTCCCACACATCATACATGTACGTCGGCGTCCGGGTTTCTCGCCTGTGCGTGCGATGTCTGTATGTATATGTGAACATGCTTATGTTGGCTTGCCTGCGATGGTGGTGGTGCAGATCACCGCCAATCTGCCTGCACCCGTCAGGTCCCCATCTCCGTGCTGCTGCTGCTGCTGCTGCTGCTGCTGGGAGCCCCCACGGAGTGCCAAGTATTTTTTCCGCGCTTCCAAGTAGCAAACGAGGGGCTCTCCTTTCTTCAGACATTTGGGGTCCACCACCGCATCACAGAAAAGAGTAAGATTCATCAGATGGATCATCAAACCGTTGGGAGTGTTCATATCCCTTGTGATGTCGTAGTCGGCGCCCTCGGCAGCAAGGTCTACAACCCTTGTTTTCTGGGGCCAGCACTGTCTCATGGGCGGCACGGAGGTGTCATTGGTGCACCCTTCCTGCTTGTGCAGCAGCAGGTGGCGAAGATAAAAAAGGGCGTTAATGACCGCGTAGGCCCGGTGGTGAGATGAGATGAGACACAGAGCTTCTGGAGCTGGAGTTGCTTGTGCACTTACTGAAGAAGGGAAACATCAAGGGGCAGACTTGCCTATGTGTTGCTGACATCAGCTGGCACTTTCAGACATCCAAACGCGTGTAGGGACATCTGGATAGATATGCTAAGATGAGCCAGCCTGAGAACAGGAGACATTACAAGGAGAAGCGTTTCCTTAAGGACAAAGACTACTTCTAGCTAGCAGAAGGACAGGAGACACTACTAAGGGATGGATGCAACCAAAAAATGAGTTATAAAAATGGAATAATATTACTGCGTGGGAATAATTTGCAAATTCCTTGGCAAATTGGCAAATCGGCATAGAGGATGGCGGTGAGGGCGCGTGAGGTCGTCGCATTATTAGCTCTCATGGTTAAGGTGATCACCCTCATGAGGGTGATGAAGGTTGGAGGTTACATGTGGCAAGGACTGGCCATCAATGAAAACCCGTGCGCATCCATTATTAACAGCAGCAGTGGTAGTAATAACGAGCACTTATTACAACTGGTGCATAACAGCAGCAGCACATACGTTTATCATCAACGAACCGTTGATAGTCACACCAACCGTTGACAGTACGGATAACCCCTAACCACCAACATATGTCAACAGGAAGTCGCGACGTATCGTACCTGCGATTCATTATACCGAATCTCATTTCTACCCGGGAACATGCTTGGGCGCCCCATCTGCTCCAGAAGTCCAAAATCGAGTATTTGAAAGTCATTTGGGAAGCACAAGCCTGCGGCGCCGTACATACACAGAGCCAAGGAATGATTACACTACTCATGGATAGGTATACATGGATGGTATATAAGGGGATCGAGGGACATTCGGTCCGTTTCCAGTATTTTAGGGAATACAGCCTCATTTATTAGCTTATTCCTTCACCAGGCGGCGGTAGACGGCCACCGATGTTGGCCCAGCTACCTCCCACGCCGCTCATAATTAACGCTATGTCATTTTAACCCCTATTTTCTATTGCAAAGCATGTCTACATCCGCGCCTGAACTTTGCTTGGATGTGTGTGGCCTAGTGTGACAGGAGCGGTCGTCCCTATCTAACACACATTGCCAGGGCACGATTACCAAAGACGAATGCATGAAGCAAATGTACAGCAGCATACACGACCCGATTATGATACATCTGACAAGTTTGTATACATCCCTAAACACACTGCAAAAGAGACGCTTGGGATCGCGGCTTGCAAGCATTCAGAAATTCCAAGCAAACGACTCGGAGTAAATGACTGACTAACCCCCGATATCCCCCGATACTCCCGATGAGAGGAAGGGCCCTGCAACCCATCTCGCCCGGCAGTGCCGGCCTTCCTGAAAGCAGTACCCATAAGGCACCGTTGAGCACCCTAGATATAGTCAGCTTACTGATGTTGCCTGCTGCCGGCCCAACCAGCAAGTAGGCGATTTCTCCTTGAAGGGTAGGTAACAGGAAGTCTAGGCCTGTGCGTTGGGGGTGACAGAGACGGAATTAATCAAAGGACAAGATCGGTAAGGTATGGGTGGCACGCTGCTTCAGCGGATATTAATGATGACACGCATGGCATCCTAGCTCGTTAACTGCAGTAGCTAAAGGCAAGGAAATACGATACAGCCACACGCCATCAGGTATATGCATACGTAGATCAGGTTAGGCACTACTGGTAAGGCGTGAACCATTGCCCCCGGCAGATTCCCGGATCGAGATCTATCAGAGTCGATAAAACTTCCGATAGTGGACGATGGCGACCTGGGATATAGCTGACTCGCTGGTCGATCAGAAATGTAGTTGGGCCGCCCTCGATCCGACGGATTCCGTTGGATTCTGGTGGTGGTTGCGGAACCAAAGCGATCCACTGAGAAGTTGGCTAGGGTGACTGGATGAGGGTGCCCCGAAATACCGGGGAAGGCAGGGTTTCGCCGGGAAACGGCCACGGGTGAGGATATGCCCGCCTGTCCCACACATCATAGATCAGGCACTTATGGTAAAGCACATACTTATGCCTCCGGAGGTTCTGGGACAGGGTTCTTCACCCCGATTCGGGCCCGAACTTTTTTGAGATATTTCCGTTATGACCGAAAGGACAAGATTGGGTGTCGGCTTCAAGGAAGCCGGAAAAAGGGCGGGGCCCCTCTGCATCCGTACAGGCCGGTAGCAAGGGTGGCAAGTGTGACAATTGATGGGTAATGTCAACATGGTGGGAGGTAGTGTTTGTGTAACGAATGTATTTTCGAGCGATTTCGGGACTATTCCGTGGCACACCCATCGGTTGCTGACCTGTATGTGGTCTACATGCGGCTACAGGAAGCACTCTACTGCCACAAGCTTCATCACGGCACGCTGCAACTCTTCGGAGGCCCCGTGCATTGGCCAAAGTAAATGTACACACAGGTTAATACAATTTTGGATTCTAAGTGTGGTGAATGGCGCATTCACAGTGCAGTTGTTTTTTGGCGCGTCGGCAAGAGATATCAATTTCTGACTACGCACGTGTTTGTGTTTGTGTTTGTGTTTGTGTCAGAATGTATATATTTCGAGCGATTTCGGGACTATTCCGTCGCACAGGCACCGGCAGATTCGGAGCATCGCCTGCGTCCATCCCGGGTGCATGCCACATCGACATCCGGGTGCATGCCGCATGGACAGCACGGCAGACCGCAAACGGAGCCGTTGCTTAACATATGAAGTTCGGTGCTGTCTGTGATGTTTTGGTCTTGAAGCACCAGCGGCTACAGGAAATCGACATCCGGGTGCATGCCACATCGACATCCGGGTGCATGCCGCATGGACAGTACGGCAGACCGCAAACGGAGCCGTTGCTTAACATATGAAGTTCGGTGCTGTCTGTGATGTTTTGGTCTTGAAGCACCAGCGGCTACAGGAAATCGACATCCGGGTGCATGCCACATCGACATCCGGGTGCATGCCGCATGGACAGTACGGCAGACCGCAAACGGAGCCGTTGCTTAACATATGAAGTTCGGTGCTGTCTGTGATGTTTAGGTCTTGAAGCACCAGCGGCTACAGGAAAGCACCCCACTGCCGCATGGCTTTGTAATAATTAAACAGATAAGTAAGAGCGGCACGCTGCAACTCTTCGGAGGCCCCGTGCATTGGCCAAAGTAAATGTACAAACAAGGAGCTTGTGTATTTCATAGAGAAATGAAAGCAAATTATGTTGGCCTGCTGGTGGCAAGTCGGATTGCCCATGCCGGCAAATGGTAACACAAGCTGGGTGTTCGAGTTATCATACGCCGTCATCTCAGAATTCCATTGTGAGATACGCGGCAGCTTTTGGGATGAAATTTAGCGCGAGAGGCGTTGATGTGGCTTTTGAGGTCGGTGAATGGAGGCAGCTAAACTTGTTTGTGCTCATACGGTCTTTGTTAGCTACATGCGAGATACCTTGCAATAGAGAATGCTGTATAGTACCGATAACGCGTTACAGCCGGGTGAAATATTCTGTTTGGTCCGTTACACACTCAAGGCCTGGGAGTTCGAGTTATCATACGCCGTCATCTAAGAATTCAAATATGAGATACGCGGTACCTTTTGAGATGAAATTTAGCGCGAGAGGCGTTGATGTGACTTTGGCCTCGGTCAATTGAGGCAGCCAAACTTGTTTGTGCTCATACGATTTTTGTTGGCTACATGCGAGATACCTTGCAATAGAGAATGCTGTATAGTACCTATAACGCGTTTCAGCCGGGCGAGATATTATGTTTGGTCCGTTACACACACACACACACACACACACACACACACACACACGGACATGGGCAATCCTACAGGTCGGGGCCCCCCTGGGCGCTTCGCGCTGGGGCCCCGCCCAAAAATTAGTGCGCCCCGGAGCATTCCGAACGGATTTTGGGCCTTTTGGACCATTTTTTCGGGGGCCCCACCGAAGCATTTTGGAGGCATTTTCGGAAAAAACCGAACGATATTTCAGCGTAAATTTGCATGTTTTCGGATACAGACAGGGCCTGGAAACCGGGCTTGCCGTATAAGGCCCGCTTGGTCACCAGTCAAACAACAATTTGCCTCGGGAAGGAGGCCACTGGTGAAGCTTAACCACCCTGTAACAACATCAACATCAACATCAACAAGTATAAATGTCCATTGCGGCTGTTTCGCACCTGTACCGCAGACATTTTCATACATCTAAGCATATAACGATAGAATCCACAGCTAATTTCTACCCCGAAGACTGCTTCAGACAGTTTCGGGGTACCCGAAAACACGGTCAGGCTGACAGGAAAATTTTCGGGGAGGGCACCGAAAGGTTATTCAGAGGATTTCGGACACAGCCGAAATTTTGGGTACCCTGGTGAAGAACGCTGTTCTGGGATCGAAACCGGTGGTGGGTGTAGAACTTTAGCGATCTACTAAGAAGTCGGCTAGGATGACTGGTTAAGGGTGCCCCCAAAACACTGGGAAAGGCAGGGTCTGAGGGGTAGCGGCCGCAGAGTGTAGATATGACCCCCCTGTCCCACACATAACACACTCACCTGGTGCGCGGGTTGGGTTGTCGCGAAAACCCGATGCAAAGACATGCCGTACAGTCATGGTGACGTTATGAGCCATTCGAACCTGTAGCCGAAAGTCGAAAGACGAGCGGACAAAATGTCAACATTGCCAGGACAAATACAGTCATCCCGGTGCACTAGCTAATGTATCCGACTGGGTAGGCATGCGTGCTATAGAACCATGGGAGTGCATATCATGCATGCCGACTTCAGCTGCTGCTGCTGCTGCTGCTGCTGGAGTAGGGTGGGAGGTGAGACCTCGGAGGAGCCCCCCTCGCTGGTGACCGACCGGCGGACCGTTCGCAGTCGTTGCGGGCACTCACCACTCCCGGCGCGTCTCTGAGGTTGATCGTTGGCCAGTATGGCATCTCCGGGTTGCCCTCTATAACAATGTCGCGCTTCAGGACGAGTGGAGGCTTGAAATCGCCGGAACCCCAGTCAGAGAAGAGAACGTTAACTTCCGGGGAAGAAATGCGGAGATACCGGACGGACGGGTTCGCAAATGCAGCAACGAACTCAGGCCCGTTTTTCACGTTTGATACGTCAGAAGGGAGCTGAGTTTCCGGGCCTCCTGGAGGGCTTGTGCCAGCAGTAAAGGCTTGGGCACTCTGCCAGCAGCCCAGAGTGAATACAAGCATTATTATTGCAGCAGTCATGATCACTAATATCCAAATGTTTTAGTATGCGCGTGCTTTTCACGCATCTATGTACAAGACAAGCAGCTGTACGGATTATCTTATGCTAAAAGGCTTAACAGTCATGCTTAAATTACCAGAGGATAAGAGGTTTGGCGTCTTTAAACCTTTCTTTGCCCTGCTCCTGAATGAAGTGAAACGAGGTCGGAAAGCGACAAACGTAAAATGCGCGCATACGTCCTCTGTACAAAAACGAGCTGGAACAAAGCTATCCAGGCCTTTTTTCCATTTGGATTTATCTTATAGCTGCTCTCAATTTTTATGATACTGGCGCCACAGGTTTCGTACAGGCATTACTGACTACTACATTGGCTACGGTATTATCGTTGGAGGCCGCGATTGCTGTGATCACAAACGCACAGAATCTAACTGTAAGTTCTCGTTATTTTTGTCGCTGTTTCACTACTAACCGATAGGCTGTCACAGGGGTGCGCATACGGACACAAACGGCGTTATCTGGAAAAACAGGTAAGCTGCTAACACTCGTATGAATTACGATATGGAGTCGTAAGTTCAAATTTAGCCAAAACGAACAGGGAAGGTATCTACATCTACATGTATATACATGCTAGGTTGGATACAATTTGAGGCGGGGGTTACTTTCCGCCTGCAAATGAGAAGTGCCAAATCAAGATGTCTCCACGTAATAGCTTGCAACTTTGAGCACGTGATTTAAAGACTTTCTAGCAGTGGATGACAATGAGCTGTGATCGTAGCAGACGTATACTACGGCACACACCAAGCAGTGGGTACGCGTAAATAAAGGCAGCATCTCGGAAGAATTATCGCCGGCGGTCAGCTTTTACAACGCTCTAGAGGCTGTTTGACTACCCTTCCGCCTTGCATATACATAGCTAACCAGGCACCAGGCACCAGGCAGCAGCAGCAGCAGCAGGGACCGATGGCCACGACGATCACGTACGGTAAATAATGGCAGTTTTGGTGCCAGAGGACAGGAGGACGAACACTATTGATTAGATGTCCAGCACGTTTTGCACACTATTCCTTGCACTGCACGCCTGATGGCGTTTGTGTGTGTAACAACACTTTGAGTTGTGCGACCCGCTACATGTTACCCATCCGCCGTCCATTACTACGGCCTGATCCCCTTGGGAAAACCCGACAGAAACGTGCACGAGCTATACACACAGGCCTGTTTATAATTATGGTTCTTATCCTCAACAGTGAGCGGTCAGCTTACAGCTCGCTCGCGTTCTGATTCACTTCGGGATGAGGTCCGGAAGATAACAGGCTAGGGGCTATTACTGAGCATCCAACAAGAGATGCCGAGCATTAGCAGCTGGCACCCCGCGAGGGCACTTCGGCCCTCGCTTGGTGGGTAGATTTGGGGCCCGGTTGCGGTTGGGGTAGCCTCTGATTGGTGTTTGAGCTTAGTGGGTCCTTTATTTGGGCTGATAAGTTTGATTGTGGACAATACACGCAAGGATTGATGCATATAAGCATATGTACGGCTCTTGGTGTCCCTGTAGCGCTGTGAGCAATTCTTTGTCAGTCTGGTTGCTCAGTCTGCAGTAGGTATTCGTATCATGTATGAGCCAGGTCCCGCGTGCCCTGCCAAGCCTTCGAGAGCAGTGCGGCCATGCACGGGCCATGGGTGGCGCTTGGCGCGGGATGTGCACATGGTTTAAAGGAATGCCCGTACCCGCGTACTTGGCTACCATCCCTAGGATTTTTGTCCATCCGGCATCCCAATCTCGAGTTTTGCCTGCGGTCGTGCTTGGGCATTTAATCCTGACAGCAGAGGGCTGACCCCGTTCCACCGCTCTGCTGTCCGGGTCGTGGTGCCGGGGGCTTGGCAACCCTACCCCGTTAGCTGTGCCTTTTTACATATGGTGCATACGGCCACTTTCAGTTTAAACCCAGCAGCGCCCAGCTATAACAGCCTAAAACCGACGTGCATTAGCCCGGCCCTGCTGGCCTTCCTGGCCTTCTTGTATATTTCTAACCTGGCATTGCTGCTGCAAGGCGTCTTACGGGGTTTATTTCCTGTGTATTGTAACATTCGCTACTACCGTATAGTATATCCTCCACACGTCCTACTGTAGGACTCCTACAGCACCTGCATGCATATGCCTGTCTGCCTGCCTGCCTGCCTGTTCGTATTCTGCTCGGTTCTGCTAGATGAGGCCCTTGTCCTGGACGGTGCACTACCTACGTTGTTGCTTGCTTGGGTTGCCTATCATATGGCTGCTGCGGTACATCTCCCGGACCTGCCTGCTGCCTGCTGCCTGCTGCCTGCTGCCTGCTGCCTGCTGCCGATATGTGTCCGTTTATTATTTTATTAATTTACTTGGCGCGTCGCCCTCTCCAAGCCTACGTATCTCCGCACGGCGGCTGACGCTCCATCGCCCGCATGCTAATAACAATCCACCTGCAGCCCGCACTGCACCACTACATACTTCAGGGGCTGGTATTGCTGTTTCGATCCCAACGTAGCGTTACGTACGTAGCGGGAGGTTGGTCCAGGGAACCCAGCACCTACCTACCATCATGAAGGTCCGAACTGATTTTGAATCCTTTATCTAGGTCGTGATGGAGGAGGGAGAGGAGGGAGAGGAGGGAGAGGAGGGAGAGGAGGGAGAGGAGGGAGAGGAGGGAGAGGAGGGAGAGGAGGACGTTTATGTTGCGTGTATTGCTGTGTTAGCCTTTTCGGACCACAAGGCTCGGGCTTTTCTGAACGCATCACAGAACACATCCCAGGCAAACCAAGCAGCCTTTCGGCCACCTAGGCACAAACCAGGTACAAGACGAAGAATGGTTTTGTAGTATGGAGTTTGTTACACGAGCACAAATAAACGGTGAGCTTTGCTCCTTGTAAGCTTTCCATAGGTAGCATACGCCCCCGGACTGGGGACGAGCGTACTGCAGGGTCCGGTAACATGCGCTCCGCCGGACCGCCAACCGAACGCCAACCGAACGCGCCACGAGGAGGTTTAACATATATATTCTACATTATATTATATTTACGATTATGATTGTGTCTCCTTATGGATTTTGTCTTGTGTCATGAGCCGGACGCCTTGCCGAATTCCTCGGCCCGACCCCTTGCACGTCCTCTGAAATCTGAAAGATAACGCATTGAAATATCTGCGTTGAAAGAAGTGTTAAGGTAAAAGTTAAAAAGTTAAAAAGTGGTCAAGTAACCGCCTCAAGCCGAAAGCCGTAAGCCAGCCAGTCAGCTTTGATAAATAGAAACTAATAACACTACTGATGGGCGACGGGGCCGGTCGATGAGGCCTTCGAAGGCCGCGTTGTCGCGATGCAGTCTCTTGGGGTACAGCGGCCGTCGCCCGTCTGGACAGCCGGCCGGGGAGATGGCCTAACCTTTATCTGACACGCTGACACGCCTAGCGCGGGGCACGGGGACGCGGGGCACGGGGCGCTCCCCCTACTGGGGGGGTAGGCACCTCCCAGTAGGTGCCCCTGGGCGTCCGTATCCCCGATTTCTCGCCAGCCCCTGCTTTCCCCCATGAGCCGCGCCTACCTACAGCTGCGTAATGATTATATGCATGCATGGGCTGCGGCGAATCGGCGCGCGAAGCCCCGGCGGGACCGAAATGGGACCTTACGTGTTCCTGACCCGCCTAGCCTCCTGCCGCCTGCGTGTCCGTATCCCCGATTTCTCGCCAGCCCCTGCTTTCCCCCATGAGCCGCGCCTACCTACAGATGCGTAATGATTATATGCATGCATGGGCTGCGGCGAATCGGCGCGCGAAGCCCCGGCGGGACCGAAATGGGACCTTACGTGTTCCTGACCCGCCTAGCCTCCTGCCGCCTGCGTGTCCGTATCCCCGATTTCTCGCCAGCCCCTGCTTTCCCCCATGAGCCGCGCCTACCTACAGATGCGTAATGATTATATGCATGCATGGGCTGCGGCGAATCGGCGCGCGAAGCCCCGGCGGGACCGAAATGGGACCTTACGTGTTCCTGACCCGCCTAGCCTCCTGCCGGCTGCGTGTCCGTATCCCCGATTTCTCGCCAGCCCCTGCTTTCCCCCATGAGCCGCGCCTACCTACAGCTGCGTAATGATTATATGCATGTATTGGCTGCGGCGACTCGGCGCGCGAAGCCCCGGCGGGACCGAAATGGGACCCCTGGGACAGCCAAGAGCGTATCTGCATCACCAAGGCCACATTGCCGGATGGTTGCAAAGACTCGCCTCTGTGCTTCAAGAGCGTCATTTGTTTCCCGCTCCAAGGCTCTGTTTCCTGCTGCTAACATTCAAAGGCGAGGTCCCCGACGGCCGCAAAACACTCTAAATCAATTATACCATCAAAATCTTTACTGCGTCCTCATTGTAAAAATTAGCTGGATCATAGCAAACAGGGCGTCTTCAGGGGTTGACAGTGGACATCTTTTGGCGTAATCGCACCTCATTTGACTCATCTTGTTCGACTTCATCTCTTATTAATGATGGTGTAATAATTGAGTCTTTATTAGGATTCCAGTCAAAGAGTACTATTAAAATAGAATGTCATGTTAAAAATGTTCAATGCTGTAGGGCATGCGCTCGTTGGAACGGAGGTTGCTTGGTATCTGAGCTGAAAAAATGCAGCAGGCTAGATAATTCGAACAGGTGACTGTGCCTAACGTTGGCTGGGAGAACGGTTCGGACTCTGACCGATATAACGCACCTCCAATGCTTCGGCGGTCGTTCCCGTCCGGGTACGGTTAGGTGCTCCTGGCCAGCGTCAGGCCCGGATCGATATGTAACACAACGCACACACACACACACACACAAACAAGCGCCCTCTATATAAAATGAGGAAATCCGCTGAAGGAGTAACGAACGTAACACCACCACCACCACAGTTCAAGGGCGTAGAAGACCCAGAAGCCCGAAGTAACACATAAGAGACACACAAATATACAGACAGACAGACTGTCCCCCACAGATATCATGTCAACGGGACAATTAACCCCACAACTTAATGCCAACATCGTCAACACAACTGTGCATGCTATAATACGTGCCGGAGGGGGAGTGGGGGCCTTATAAACCCCTTCCACCTGTCTCCTCTTCCCCCCGCTTCTCGGCCTCCGTACCAATCCGTCCTCCTCAGGACCGCTGCCTCTCGGGGCTCTAGATGATCCCCGCTACCACCCTCCCCCGCACCGCCACCGCCACCCCCACCCGCCCGCCCAAACCTCACAGCCAAACCCCGCCGACCCGACAATGCCGTCCTCCCTTCCGCTCCTCCCATTCCCCCTACAGATTGGCCATGCCGCCGCTGCTGCTGCTGTCGTTGCGCCGCCTGGAACCTCTTACGCTGCACAACTCGCTCCAGCTCCGCCGTACAGTTCCGGATCTGGTCCTGGAGCTCGTCCAGCTCTGGAACCATTGTTTCGCTCAGCACCCTCAGTGTCTGACTAAGCTCCTCAACTTGGTGCTGTTTGGCTCGCAAGTCGTTGAAGGCGGATTCCAGCTGGGGCAGGAGGGACTGAAGTTGGGCCTTATGGTACTGAAGATGGCGAAGACGGAGCTGGGTGTACGGCAAGAGGGTGGAAGGGGGAAGCACGGAAACATAATACGCATGGGGTCAACGTCCAGACCTCTGACAAGCCGGCACTACAGCACTCCTACAGCACCCTACACCCCCTGCTACGTCCTTCACCTGCACCAGCTGCCCCCGGGCGTCCTGCAGCGCTACACGGATATCCGCAAGGTGGGGGGCCAGGTGCACCAGGTTGACGGTGAACCCGATAAAGCCACTCAACATCCAGCAGTGCTCCATCGGCTACTTACTTCTTGCAGGCTGTTCGACGACTGGCTCTAGCCACCATCATCATCGCAGGTTCAGCACAGTGGTCAACCACTACATTCCGGGACTACTTCTTTCGATTAAGTGGAAGTGAAACTTGGGCCATCCTCAGCACTTCCCCTTCCAGCTCAGCAGTTCGTTGCACACGTGTAACACACAGCACGGTCCTCCCCCACCCTCTCTTTCGGGAGCTCTAAGCTCTCGTGCACGCCAGGTCGTTCGCAATCCCCCCTTTGCTCCTACTGCAGTTGCTGCACACAAGCAAACAGCCAGGTCATTTGATACAGAAGATGTTAGGAAGGCCGTAAAACAGAAAAAGGACCGACGGACAAAAAAGATAACGAAAGTTAGGTGTACATGTATGTAGGCATGTATATACATCGTGCCTTTGCTAGTCAGCCCCGTGCGCAGAGGAACTGCAAGTTGTGCGCGCTGCACAAGTCGCCATGGTCTCCTAGAATGCCCAGCTTACTCTGCATGCCGTGAGTGCTCGGACGTGCCCTTACCCACGCTTCTGATATGAAGTCGATCATGATGCACAGCGAGCATAACAAACTGGCCTACCTGGTACCTAGCAGTTGGCTTACACGCTCGTCTCTACGCAGGCGGTCGTAGTTGACTAGTGCCCGTGTTTCTCTTGTGTAGATTGCTTAGGTACTATGATTTTCGTGTTATACTATGTCCTTTACCTACCTTGTGGCTCTAAGGCTCTATGGCCCCTAGCTCGCATGGCCTCGTTACACCTCTCTGGGTAACGCAAGCAAGGTGTTACACGCGCGCACATATATGTATATATATACATGCCATAAAGTGAATGTAGGTACGATTACACCACCTAGCTGTCTAGATGCTGTTAGCTGCTGGTGCTGCTGCAGTTGCGGCAGTTGCCGTTGGACCTCAGCAGGTCATATCCTCCCACCCACCGATTAATAACCTCATCATCCCCCACTAATAACTAATAACTAACAACCAACCTCAACCAACTGTCCACCCTCACCCGTCGCCGCTCACCTCCAGCACCAGGGTCAGCTCCTTGGCCACCTCCGCCGCCGCAGGTCGTCTGGCGGGGTCGGACTCCCAGCAGGCCTTCAGCAGCCGGCAGAGCTTGGCAGGACAGCGGCTTGAGGGCAGGTCGTCCAGCGACAACCTCAAGCCTTTGTACGTCACCTGTACAATAGTGCAAAGCGAGAGCGCTTTGGTGGATTGATGGTAGATCATGTAGATGAAATACTTTGCGGGTAAGGGTGTCTTAATAGCTTCAGATGATCCATACATCTCATACCACCAAGCATGCAACGTGTGCCACATACACCCATGCATACGGGGGAATAAGCACAGGCCCGCGTTTTACATGTCGCGTGCAGATATGCGCCCAACATTCAAGAGAAGGTACGTAGCAAATGCATACAGAAACTGCTGTGGCCCATGTTCACACGTCAGTCTCTCATCTCGCACTTCAGCACTGCTGGGAACTGTTAGTGTTCCGCCATGGTGGTGTTCACCCTGCTTGCTGTTCATGTCAAGACATGTTCATGTCAGACATGCTGTGGTCGTAGCTAAGCTAATGCTCCTACGTCCTTCTTTCCTAGTGTGCTGTGGTCGTAGAGTAAAAGCTTCTTCATGCTGGCACCTAGCTAGGCACACAGACGTCTGGCACCGCCTGTAGTAGCTGGCCGCTGGAAAGGTCTTTCGAGGTACTGGCAAAACGCCTCAGCGCGTACTTGTAGACGTCATGTGTGCCGAACTGTGTACCAGCTACTACACCGCTTATGGAATGAATACTTCATCCGTCAGAAACCACGCTAATAACCAGGCATACATGCGCACGCACGCACCATGAACGCGATGGCCACATTGCCCACTCCCTCCCACGGCCGCTTGCCGGCCAGCATCTCCCAGATCAGCACACCCAGAGAGTAGATGTCCTGCGAAGGAAGCAACCAACGGCCATACCGCGAAGGACATGTACGTGCGGCCGATGTACAGATACCCGCTATCTAGTACTATATTCGTACCACATCTACAAATACAAACAGAACAAACCTAGCTCACGGTATGTGCCAAACCTAGCTAGCAGATATATTCTTTCGAACCCCTGGAAGGTATTCTCCAAAGGCGACGGGCGCGCGAGGCCTCGCCTAAACAACGGAGGATTGATCCTCACACCTTCCTCACACCCTCCTTACACATCGTCACGTTCCCACACGTTCTCACACACCTCATTAATCCTGGGATAATGCTAAGTACATACTCAGAAAGCCCGTTTGTTACGCACAGACACACACCCAGCCCTACCACTTGATGGGTAACGTGCTTGCTCAAGATGTCGAAGCACTCCTGTGGTGGCAGCAGACACAACCAGACAGACTGATCAGCCCCCAAGCAGTAGGTGGTGCCGTTTGGTACAGGCTTACACGTATGACCCCCTTCGCCCCAAGTAAATCCGATAGCCAGCAGAACCTCCTGCTTTGCGCGGAAAAAGGCAGCTGCTGTCGGAAACCAAGGCGCCTCATGCCGTACGCGCCACCTCCCTTGTTGGGCCCCGTGTGTCTTTTGGCGGTCTTTCCGTTAAGGCAGTCAGGAAAGCTGCCCATCCTTGGCCACGCAGCGCCAGTGCCAGCATTACGTACATTTGCATGTTTCTGTCCCACATGGTGGTGTCCCAAATTCAGCTCCAGCTCATCATGTGGGCGCTGATTGCATCCATATGAGAATCATATGAATGATGTACACTACACTATGCTAAAGTGTAAGCGAGAGAAGGATTGCATACATGGGGTGCACATACAGGTTCGTATTAGGTTCCTAATCATTGCCCATGGGCCCCCTCCCCCCCGCTCTTACAGACAACCCCGCACGTGTGTGTAGGACTCGTAACTTGTAACTGGTCACTAGTACTTACCGGCGGCATGTACGGGGGCTGCGCCATATGTGCATGGACAGAGGAGGGAAGGCGCAAGACAGACAAGGGAGTCGTCAAGCATACATGCAGCAGCCGCCAGCACGCCCGCAGTCGACATACATGTGGTCACATATGTGGTTAGGTTCCCGATACGTCATTTGCACGACAGCGACGTGTGGATTGTTTACATGCTGATGACGAATGCAACAAGAAACAACACGTGTACGAATGAATACACATGTAACTTGTTTTGTGGATGCGGATGCCCGTATTCCAATGGCGCACAATGCCATTTATGGGGATGCTATACAGTTGTCACTAACACAAGATCGCGATGTCGATCGCGTGCATTGATTATTTAATGCCTTGCCGTCTTGCCGGGACAATATCCACCAGCAAGACATATTACTACAGGATGCAGTCTCACCTGTAACATTTTACGGTCTTTAGACCGGTCCCTGGTACAATAGGTAGGGATCGTCCACAGGGCCCATAGGACATTTTACAGACACTACGGATAAGCCTGCACCAAACTCAGCCTATTTGCCCTTTTGTCCGTTAGCCTTCCTGTCTGTCTTCCTGTCCTGCCTGCCTGTGCCTGCACGCCTGTCTGCCTGCATGTCTGTCTGTTTGCCCATTTGTCTGTTTGCGGTGCCCGTTAACCTCCCCTATGTCTCACTCACCGTGCCAGCATCAGGTGCTTTGGTGGATTTAACCGTAACTCGAAGCCGCGACAACCCAAAGTCCTGAGGACAAACAGCCGAATCAAGCAGACGCGGAGAAAGGGAAAAGAGGGGTGTCAATGAACAGGCTACCATCCCCATACGTAGAAGGTGTTACATTGTCATGAGGTTTACTATCGCGAAGCACAAAAGCTTACGTCCATGCATTTGTAGATATTACGACAATCGCATCGACAAGAATTGCTTTGTGCAAATCCGTAGTGGCCTGTCGACCCATCATTAGCCTAGCCTGCTTATCGTTACAAGCTCCTTTGCATCATTCGTGCTTTGCATTCCGACATACATTCATGGCAGGCGGCTGGCAGAGGTTAAGGCCTGACTTCTGCTCCCGGCCGACCCGGGTTCAGATCCGCCTGCCGATTCCTCGGGTGTTTGAGGAGTGTTGTAGTGGGAGGTGGTCCCCCATCATATGGACGATGTAGGACGTGATAATATCAACTTGCAAGCTGACCAGAAATTGATGCGCCTTTGATCCGCTAGATTTGGTTGGATGCTGGTGGAGAGTTGCCGAACCCAACGAATACATTCTGAAGTCGGATGGGGTGACGGATTAGGGTGCCCCTCTAGCAGGGGAGAACAGGGACTGCCCCGGGAAAGGGGGCCGCTGGCGAAGTTAACCACCCTGTAACAACATACATACATACATGGATGCCGGTGGTGGGTGCTGAACCTGAGCGATCCACACTAATACTACATGTACATATCATTTATCACCTTAAAGCACCATCCACCACTACCACACTGTACTTCGCCATACGAACTGTAAGTCCAAGGCGGCGGATCCAGCCTTCAGGGACCCCTCCTCATCCATTCACCCGAACACCCGAAGAGACGGAGGGTTCGGCAATCGCCACCAATCCAGCGTGCGAATCTGATCCATCAACTGTGACCTCAACTCCACATCTCAGCAGCTAGCCATAATCTCGCGCTCCCGACTAATTCGGGGGTACATATGGTATTGCGTCATCACGCTAGGCCTCAGCCCTGAGCGAGAGCCGGGCTTCTCAGGGGCCCCCAAGGGGCTATGTACGACATGCCATCGGCATATAGTAGCAGCGGACGAGATACAGATAGATATCGTGGGCAAGGGAGATGGTCGGTCATGGCAGTTACCACTGGTGGATACCCTCACCGAGAGTTTGACGACAGGCCGGTCACATGCTGGGTTGTTCATGAGCACATTGGCGGGCTACATATGCACATACAAGTGGAAAGGGCAGAGGGGGGTGAATAAGTAATAATAACAATAATAGGGCCATCAGGACAGTGTGGCCCACGCATTGGTGAGGGTCAGTGAACGACAAGGATAAAGACGTGAGATAAAGACGTGAGTACATAACCGTGAGGATTTCGGTTCATTACTGGTTAAGGAGCCGCTAACATTGACTTTCCATCATTACGGCCAAGACGAACCTAAATGGACCGAACCCTAGAAGCCCGCTTGTTTCTCAGCCTGGGCCCTAGTATATAACATTTTTTCGGTACCACATGTCGATGCACGCGGTCCCAGCTATAGATACATAGCCGAGGACACGTCGACGGTTGCACGTCATCTATTTGCCACCGCGCGGACCACTGCCGTGGACACCTGGTTGCGTATGTATGTATGCACGTCTGTACCTATTCACATGCACAGCCACATGCACAGCCACATGCACAGCCACATGCACAGCCACATGCACAGCCACATGCACAGCCACATGCACAGCCACATGCACAGCCACATGCACAGCCACATGCACATGCACAGCCACATGCACAGCCACATGCACAGGCGGCTGCCGGCCTGCCGTGAAACGGGAGACAGGGCAGCAGGTGCAACCTAGCTACCAACGAACGGACCCACGACATTGATGACTGGTGGGTTTGTACATTGCCACCGAGCGCATCAGCAGCACGCCGCGTCGTGAGCTCTGAATGGCGAAACACGTACATCGTGAGCATCCATACCTTCAGCTCTGAGAGCAGCCACTAACGCTATCATGTGTACTCACTCGCTCACATGCATACAGACCGACAATTACCCGTTCACACCGCCGCATGTACGCCATCTGTGTACGCATATACATACCCCATGTATCATGCAATACCAGGTTTCGTTACTCGCGTGCATGTTGCTTGTTGTTCCTACGTACCTTCAAGTCTCGGTGCACGACGGTGGGGTGCAAATAAGCAAGCGCATTGGCTACATTGATACTGATGTGTAGCACCTGGGAAAGCAAAGTGCATGCAAGCAAGCACGGGTGTACGAGCATGGTTGTACATTTAATAACAAGAGGTATCGCCGGAAGCGCCGTTCCCTAAGTTCCCTAAAAAAAGGATTTGTAATTGCAAGGTGCTCGCAGGTTCATTTTTGGGTCGGGGACATAAATGGATTACCAGGAAGTGTAGTGTTAGAAGTCCAGTTTCCTAGGTTGTCTAAACCCTCAAAAAGGTCCACGTTCGCCCCTGCCTGGTTAGTGATCATGCACCACGGTTCAATGTGCAGCTACAGGCTGTGTTTGTTCTCGGGCGGTCGACATGAGTTCGCACAGCGGCAATCACTCCCTTACAAATGTGTTTGTGTGGCATGCAGCAGGGAACTAGGCTGTGAGGAGCTCAGGGTCAAGGCATGGGCAAGTAAAGGCATGGGCGGATGCTGACATACAAATCAGGCAGGAAAGGCAGGCGAAGTGGACAGACAAAAAGCTGGGGTAAGCAGGCGGGCGGCAGGCAAGAAAGGGCAAGGCTTGTAACGTATGAAGCCTTTTGCACCACGTTCTTTTCGTGTGCCTGAAGAAAATAAACATTGATTTCGGAGGCAACAAAGTTAGCCAGGAAATGCAGCATTCAAGCGCTTGCACATGCAATCACATGACCACGCACCTTTGCCAGCGGCATGAGGGTTTCTGCCGTACTGCCGTACATCAGGCGCTCCAGGGAAGCCTCCATAAGCTCCATCACCAGGCAAAGTCGGGGAGGGGTCACACACGCCGCCAGCAGCTGTACGACATTAGGATGCTGGCAGCGGCTCAGGACCTGCACATAACATGCTCACTTAGTAAATGGTTTGCGCAGTTTGGAGTGAGCACTTCCACGAAACATTTATACAGTAGCCGGCCATAATTGACGGGTGCCAGCAGGCGATGTGCAAGGCAACACACGCCCTCTGTGGCGAGGAGAGCAGCTCGTGGGCTGTTCTGCTGCCAGTGATAAAGGCATGCTGGTGTGCACCCCCGCCAGCCACGCACTGTCGGTCTGTAAACTTGCAACAACACACCAGCGTGAGCTACCAACCACCTACCAACATGCCCAACCGCCAACCCGAATCCCCCCATGTACGTACGTAGCTATGTAGCTATACATGCCTGCATCTCCTGCTCGAAGCTTTTGAGGAAGTTATTTGGCATGCTGTCCGCTTTTTGCTGCTGCAAGACTTCAAAATGCACATCACTGGCGAGAAGTTTGACCGCCACGCGGCGACCGCTGTACAGCCCCTCCACCACACGACCGAAACCGCCTTTGCCGAGTACAACCGGCAGTAGCTCCACAGTTGGGGGCTCCGTGCCGCTACTGCCGTCGACGACAGCATCACCTGTACCGCCGATGCAGCGGCCGCTTGAATCACTGCTTTGGCCTCGGTCTTCGACGTCGCCATTGCTGTTGCTGCTGCTGTCAGCCCTCCTTTCAGCCGCGGAGTCATCTACAGTAATGGCAACGAATTTCTCTAGTTTAAGTTAGCAGCTCCTTTCCTATGCCGGCTTGGCTTACTTGCCAGTAAAATTACACACTGAGCGATACCCACTACGCACTGAGCAAGTATCACACTACATAACATGCGGCGCATGTGCACCTGTATATTCCTAGGCACCCATCTTCGTCCCACTTTTCCCTTTCCCCATGGCTGTACGTGTTCGGAGGCATGACGCAAAAATAAATAACGTTCAGCAGGCAACGCAAATGCTGCCTTTCTTAACATTGTCATTGCCAACGACATCCCTTATCACAACCTACCGACATGAGCAGCAGGCGCTAAGGCTACCCGCACATCCAGCACAACCCCCGGGTGTGGCGGGGTGAGTGGCGTCAGGGGCTTGTCGTACAAGGCAAGCACAGCGGCCGCTTTGACGGGCAGCACACGCCGCTGTCCACGCACCCCTGCATTCATCACGGCTTTCTCGGCTACGTATTGATCCGAAGTAAGATGCACAGGTTGGTTAGGGAGGTAGGTAATGACGGTTACTTCATTGGTTGGATGACGGGGTAGGCCATGTGCGAAGGGTAGGTTCGCAACTTTTCAGTGTATAACGTCTGCTGCAAAGTTTTCACCATCTACAAATCATGCTCTGGTAAACTAGGGACTGTCCCTATCTATCACACCAGGACATGATTTACAGACGGTAAAAGTTCTAAAGCCGCCACCGCCCCTACCGGAATCCCATGTGTACTTGCAAGATATGGTGCGGCGCATACGAACAGGTGAGGTGCATTAGCGAATAATCCGCTTCCATCCGTTCCAGTGAGTGTTGGAGTAGTTGGCCCTCCAAACCTTTAAGTGCTCGTGTGGCCAATCATAGGGTTATTGTTAAGCTATCCAGACGCCTGCGTGAATTCGTTTTATCTTTTTGGCGGTCCGTGCCCTCGTGGTTAGCTTGCATTCGTGCGGACTGCTGCTGAATAGCTGTAGCAGCAGCAGGCTGTAGTAGGCTGTAGCGGGTAGCGCGCTGGAGACCAAGAGGAATGTCTACATACAGGGCCTGGCTTCCCATTGAAGTGCGTAGAGAATGGCTTTAATTCGGGAACGGAGGTCAGAATCTCCTTTTGAATTGCATTCGATCTCCATTTTGCTCCACAAGGACGGAGTGCAGTGCTGCAGCGCATAATCTTATTATCTTGTATCTTGGACCCATACCTCCTGCCTACAGGCTCACCAGCCGACGAGGACAGCTCAAATCAACAATGCCATAGGCAGTGTTTTTTTAAGTAATATATTCCTTATAAGGAATAAAGAGGCCATTTTGGCCTTTGGAAAAAGGGAATGAATTGAGGCCGATCCGTACATTTTCATTCCTCCAACCAAAAACGTCCATTGCTGCCAGATTGCTCCGTAGTGTGCAGAACTTAGTAATGTCGATCATAGAATAGATATGAGGGGCCGTAAGAAGGTCAAGTCCGTGAGTCAACGCGGCATAGCAGAATGTATGACCGGTCCTTACATAGCCAAACACGCAAAAGGCAACGACTTGAACGCCGAACAAACACCAAAACAGCAAGATAAGCCTGAAAATTTTCCTGATAAAGGCGTTTGGGACGGCGGTGCTGTTGTCGGTAATGCATCGGCAATGGTGTTGCTGCCAGCGGCGACCGATGACACGGGCGCCATTACCCCTGCCTTCCATGGCGGTTGTGATCAGCATAAGCGCAGGCTGTCACCCAATCAGCTCGACAACAACGAATCGGTCGGTGGAGGATGAGCGGCGGTTCTCGGCCATGGGGTACTTGCAGGACCCCACCCGCAACCGCCTGGACGAGCACCTAGCATTGTGTGTGCGGATGCGCCCCACACTTACGGAATACATTACGGCGACCCTAGCAACTTTGTTACTTAGGTCGGAATAAATTGAGAACCCCCCTAAATGAAAAGAAAATCACTGGCCATAGGTGTGTAGCGAAGTACAACAGCTAGCCATGTGGCGAACTCCTCACCAGGCCCCGTTCCCCTATCCCAAGCCAGGCTTCAGGACTGCAGACCTATGTGTTCAATGTACATAATCATGCATCCTCTTGCTGACATCCTAGTTAGCGAGGTGCTAATGATAACTTGCAAGCGCTGCTGAAGTTGCGAAGCTCACCGCTCTTGGGCGCTTTGATCTTCATCAACTCCTCCGTTGCTTCGTCATCTGTCATCGCCGCCAGGAGCTGCGAGGGCTCCTTCTTGCCAGGGGCATCTTTGGGGGTGCCGCCGCCGTCCAAAGACCTGCATAGATGAATTCCATAAGTGCATCACCGCCAATAATTGTCATGCGGTGTGGACAACGGCTGGTGATCATGTTTGTTGGTATGTACATGATGTGTAGAACGTGGGCCCCTCGTACGGCAAGGTGCACGACGGAAGACACACGAAATGCACCAAAATATGATAAAACACACCCATAACCCGTACCAGTTCGCGCAGAAGGCGTTATAAACATAAGGAAAATGTACACACCTCACGCACATGTGCACACTCGCACTCACACTCACGCACATACCGTACAAACACGCAGCACACGATTCCCCAGACGACAGATGGAAGCTTGCAAGACACACACCCAGCGACACCTACTTTTCTCGAGCTGGGAGATCGGCGCCCTTCCCAGCTTTAAGGCCAGCGGCAGCTGGGGCTGATAGCTTCTGCTGATGCCGAACAGCGTGCAGTTCGTGGTCCTCGCCGAAGGTGACACCAGTCTGTTCATCCCTTTTTATGACCGGAGCTGCTGCCTTCCGGGGCTCCACATCCTTCGTGTCATCATCACCACGGCAAGGGATTGCGCCGCAACGAGCGCCCTCACCATCGCTGTCTTCATATACTTTGCCCCGTCGTTGCTGTCTGCACCGTCGCCACCCTGCTACTGCCAGCAGCCCCGCAACCACAAGTAGCAACGTGCCTGCGGTGTTTTCAAAAGCATGGCGTGATTAAGGAAGTATGGGATACAGTGGACGATGACCAGACTTAGGGGGGTCATGTGAAACACAACAGCAGGCGGTATGTGGGGCAACAGGCCTGTGGTGGTGCCTGCGCATGTGCTGCTTGTGCACACGCTACGTGCTTCAACAACATCATGATGATGCTTGGTATAATGTGATTTCAGTGTGCGTGCGTGTGTGCGGTCTGTACAATACACAGCAATACGGCAGCACTGTTCCATCACATGACATGCACATTCAGTTGGAAATGTATACATATGTTATTGTCAGCATTTCTATGCAATTCCCGTACACTGGATTTCATCTTCAATGCATGCATACCAGCCGCCATTTTGTTGCACAGAACGTTGTACATACATACCAACATACATCCGTGCGTGTTCATGAGCAAGGGGCTAGGTGGATCCACGGTGGATCCACACATGTACGTCGGCGTCCGGGTTTCTCGCCTGTGCGTGCGATGTCTGTATGTATATGTGAACATGCTTCTGTTTGCTTGCCTGCGATGGTGGTGGTGCAGATCACCGCCAATCTGCCTGCACCCGTCAGGTCCCCATCTCCGTGCTGCTGCTGCTGCTGCTGCTGCTGGGAGCCCCCACGGAGTGCCAAATATTTTTTCCGCGCTTCCAAGTAGCAAACGAGGGGCTCTCCTTCCTTCAGACATTTGGGGTCCACCACCGCATCACAGAAAAGAGTAAGATTCATCAGATGGAACATCAACCCGTTGGGAGTGTTCATGTCCCTTGTAATGTCGTAGTCGGCGCCCTCGGCAGCAAGGTCTACAATCCTTGTTTTCTGGGGCCAGCACTGTCTCATGGGCGGCACGGAGGTGTCATTGATGCACCCTTCCTGCTTGTGCAGCAGCAGGTGGCGAAGATAAAAAAGGGCGTTAGACATTACAAAGGAGAAGCTTTCAGGACTACTTCTAGAAGGAATGGATGCTATGGGCGCAGGAGAAGGGTTAATTAGCTGGACTAGGCTTCTTTTATCCGATACAGCGTCGAAAGCGGTAGTAAATGTTTTTTTTTCCCGTGAAGTTGCTCTTGCAGCGGGTGTGCGACAGGGATGTCCATTGGCACCGTTGCTATACTTGTTTGCCGCGCAGGCGTTTCTATGTTGGTTACAGTACAACCGAGTGGGGATTCATTTACCCCAGAATAATTCAGAAATGCTTACAGCGGTACAATTTGCTGATGATACGGAAGTTGTTTTAGAAGGAATCGAGGCAATTCCGGCTTTTCTTGGTTGTATGAGGGTGTACGCACAGGCTTCTGGACAGCAACTTAACCTGGATAAGGTTGAGCTTTTACCTCTCGGCACCCACCCACACCATGTCACAATAAATCATGACGTGAAGGTGGTACACATGGCAACGGCACTCAATCTGCCTTTTACGGATGTGGGAGACACCACAGTCATGGACTGGGACGTGCAATTAGACAAAGTCTGGGCTCGGTTTCAACGCATTTCTGTGTTACACCTTTCCATTTTTGGGCGTGCACAGGCAGCGGCTGCCTATGGGCTGCATCGTTTACGTGGCATATGGAACACGGGGGGTTTCCCCCAGAAGCATAACTGATTAATATTGAGGCTAAAGCTGCCAAGCTTACTGATAGGAACCTCGGCCCGGTCGCACATGACAGACGACTCACTGGGGTTCCTAAATATTTGTTATATGACCACCCAACTTTGGGCGGTTTTGGGGCATTAGCAGTTCGAGAACACGTACAAGCGCGATGGGGCGTGTTGGGCAGTGCGTTTTGTGAGAGCGATAGTCCAACCAGTCTTAGTACGTCCGCCATGGGTGTTGGTCATGCACTCTTTCTTGCATACCCTTTACCCGAATTACAATCCTATGTGTCTATTTACGCGTCCCAGGTGGGAGTGCCTTGGTTTGGATTAATCGTTTTACCGCCAGATGTTCAGCGCATTGTGACAGCGTTGGCATACCTCCCCCCAGTTGAAGATGTTGATGTTCATCCGTTAGTTCCTAATGCGTGGTGTTGGAATTTGCCTCTATGGGAAAACCCTGTTCTTCCAGAAAAGAGGTTGAATGTCCCGTCAGATCCGCCTGGGACGGGAATTTCGACACCAAGCACTCTTGGGCTGTAAAGCATTAAATACGTTCTTCGTGCGCGCGATGCTTTGGATGGAGTTATGCATGCAACGGACCAGGCAGGCCTAGCAATACGCAAGGCTTGGCATCAAATAGTGGACCAGTACCTCCAACCGCGGGCCCCACTAGCTAAATCCCTGTGCACCTATCGTAAATGGCAGGAATGTATGGATGCCATTGTCGCTCTCTTAGCTGATATCCCGGCGCATTGGCGACAGGCGGCTAGTCTTTTGTTGCCTCTGAGTGTAGAATTTAGGGAAGCGATGGTGCCCTCCATGGAGTCGGTTACCCAAACCCTGGTGTCGAGGCTTGGTTGGAGATGGGGTGTAGGGCCTCCAATCAGATTTCAAGATTTATCCGTTAAATTAGCGACAAATATGCAACTTTCACCATTTTCTATGGCTCGCCGTGTGACCCACACCCTCTTCATCAAAGAGGCGACGGGCTCACGGTTGATGGGGTGCCTGTGTTAGGAAGTTCCCATCTCAGGATGTCGCGGCCAACAGTATGTGGTTGTGGAGGTGATCCAGTACATTCCCTGGGAGGTGTATCCCCTCGCTGTCATCACTTCTGGGCCTGTCCGGTGGCACAGGCAGTAGCAGATCAACTCACTCTTTCAATAGGATTGCCAGTCTCAAGGGAGCAACTTTGGCTTGTCCAAGCCCCACAAACAGTGCAACAATGTGTTTGGGATGTTGTGGCTCTTGCTGCGGTGTCAGCGATGGAGCATGGGAGACGATATATGGTTGCAAACATGAAAACCAACCCGGCACTGTTACCTGGCCCTTCCCTTACGGAAGGAGCCATTTGTAGAGTTATTGTTGACTTTTGGGGCCGCCTTCAGGGTTTCGCAGCTCTGGGAATTCCACGGAAAGGTTGGGATTCTGTTGGCGCACATCACCCCTTCTTGAGAATTATATCAGGCAAATTGCTATGCTCACGGGAGCGGTCAATGATGGACGGTTAGTTATCTGGGTGATTGTCTCATTTGTATATTAGTCTCTAGTGCAGTGCACGGCCAGCTGGCCCGATGGCTCTACTCTTCGGGAGTCTGGAGCCCACTGTAACAACCACACCATCTAGAAGGACAGGAGACACCACTAAGGGATGGATGCAGCCAAAAAATGAGTTATATAAATGGAATAATATTACTGCGTGGGAATAATTTGCAAATTCCTTGGCAAATTGGCAAATCGGCATAGAGGATGGCGGTGAGGGCGCGCGAGGTCGTCGCATTATTAGCTCTCATGGTTAAGGTGATCACCCTCATGAGGGTGATGAAGGTTGGAGGTTACATGTGGCAAGGACTGGCCATCAATGAAAACCCGTGCGCATCCATTATTAACAGCAGCAGTGGTAGTAATGACGAGCACTTATTACAACTGGTGCATAACAGCAGCAGCACATACGTTTATCATCAACGAACCGTTGATAGTCACACCAACCGTTGACAGTACGGATAACCCCTAACCACCAACATATGTCAACAGGAAGTCGTACGTACCTGCGATTCATTATACCGAATCTCATTTTTACCGGGGAACATACTTGGGCGCTTCATAAGACTAAAGTCGAGCATCTGATAGTCATTGGGAAAGCACAAGCCTGCGGCGCCGTATATACACAGAGCAAAGGAATTATTACACTACGCGTGGATGTATTCATGGGGATCGAGGGACATTCGATCCGTTTCCAGTATTTTAGGGAACACAGCCTCATTTATTAGCTTATTCCTATTATGTGGTTTTTTCACCATGCGGCAGTAGACGGCCACCGGTGTTGGCCCAGCTACCTACCACGCCGCTCATAATTAATGCTAGGTTATTTCAACCCCTGCTTTTGGGCGAGGCGAGGCCCCGGGCGCGAAGCGCCATTCGGGGGGCCGAGCCCCCTAGGTTCACTGCTGTCAGTCAGTCCGTCAGTCCGTCCGTCAGTCATGGTGTAACATTTCATCATATTTCGCCCCGATTAAAATTGCATCTGAAAGCTATTTTGATTCTCTATAAATGGACCAATGGAATTAATTCAGGCAAAATTGTGGGCGAAGTTAGCTTCCTAACATATTAACTTTCATATCTCGCCCCGCTTTACATTGCGTCTGAAAGCTATTCTAAATCTCTATTGATAGACCAAGGGAATGTATTCAGATATATCTGTCGGCAAAGATAGCTCTCCAGGGTGAGATCAACTTACATATCTCACTCCGCTAAAGATTGCATGTAAAAGCTACATCAATTCGTTACCGATTGGCCAATGGAGAACATTCAGATACATCGGAGCGCGAAGATAGCTTTCCATGGCTTCGAGTTTGACTTTCCCTCACGCCGCAGCCCTTGCCTATGACGTCGTTGCATATCCCTTACATTATAGATTCATAAGCAAACGGCATGGTCCTTTATGGGGTGGTTCCGTCATGCTCGGCAACTTTAGACCGACCCATGGCAACACTCTAAGCACCTCCCTCCTGGCGTCTCGCTCGTGCCTGTTTGATTGTTGTCCTTCTTATTCTCTTCTTCATTCATTCAATCCAAGTTCAAACGACGTGTGCCTTTGCGACACACCCTCAGCTTTGCCGCTGCATTCCGACTTCAAAACGTGCAATTGGAACGATCCCCGAATTCTTTCTGGCTGGGAGCGGACAACAATTGGTCCATGAAGCTCGGGCACTTTGGCGCGCCTTGAACTGCCAGCCAGCAGACCGAAGGGCCGGCGTCGAACATGGATGCAACGGTAGTACCACCTACGTATCGGGCAGTCCCGACTCATGGATTTGGCGCAGCAGCGGCAACACACGTTGCCGCAATGACACTCCTGCTTTGCGTGTATGTCATTCTACGGATTGCCGCATCACAAGGAGGCTAACTCTTCAGTCAATAATGATTATGCTATGGCTAAAAAAGCCTAAAAACCCTAAAACGATCCAGACAGGTCTACACCGCCGTAGCAAGTCTGCCGACCTTTATTGTTTGAGGATTTCAATAACAAGTGTGTACTCCAAACCTGGCGGAGTTCTTGTGCTTGCACTCCTATGCTGTACGGACTTCCCTTCACTCCTATGCTGTACGGACTTCCCTGCGACGTCCCTGCTGTACGGACTTCCCTTTTTCGGCTTTGAAAAGCCGCCCCCCTAGTCAATCCGGGCCTGGACTTTGTTTGGACGGGCACCGGCAATAATAATCAGCAGGCCATGTGCCTTTCCAATTTTTTTATTTAAATAAGCATTTTTATTATCATGCAACAAACCCGGCCCTGTCAAAACCCCAAGGCCAAGAGGTGGCTTATGGTTTCACATGCTCCCAACAAAGCGAACTGATTGCCTGTTTGCCGACCTGCCTGTCTGTCTGTCTGTCTTGCTTCTATCCGTTAGGGTGTCCGTCGACCCCTTGGAAGATACATGCGCGCATGGTGGGGGGAAGTGGTACATGTGTTTTGGGGGTGTTCGTGTGCCCGCCTTCAGGGCTAGACGGCGGTGGCCCATCCAGGCCTAACTTGGCATCCCAACCTAGGGAGACGAGCATTTTCACCCGCGACAGTTACCATCCGTCCGGCTTGGGTTGAAAAATCTGTTGAAGCATGTGCAGTCCACATGTCGTGGCTTTGTGTGACAGGAGCGGTCGTCCCTGTAAGAAGGGTTCAGCTCCCTCGCCATTTCCCTGAGAACTCTTTGCCTGGTGTGCTAATTTTTTTAGAAGTTTGAATGGAGAGTGGGTTCCCCGCTCGTATCCCGCCACCGGCAGCATGCTGGGAAACCGGCGCACTGGCCGCCGCCGGCCGCCGGCCACAGTCCGCAAGAGCAGACGATTGGGCAAAGTCGAAGTCCGACTTTCTTCCCCCGGAGAAGTGCGCAAGGCCGTAGCCCCCCCCTAGCCGACCCCCTAAGGCTAGGCCAAGTGGCGTTGTCATTAGGCACGGCCTGAATCCTAACCAACTAGGGGGGCGGCTTTTCAAAGCCGAAAAGGGGCTCGGCCCCGGTGCAGCCACTTGACCCCAGTTCGCAGGACAGTCCGTACGGCTGGGAGTGCAAGCACAAGAACGCCGTGACGTTTGAAGTACACACTTCTTATTGAGATTCTCAAGCAAGAAAGGTCGGCAGACTTGCTACGGCGGTGTAGACCTATCTGGATCGTCGCAAGCACGCAGCCGCCATAGCATAATCATTATTGACTGAACAGTCAGCCTTCTCGTGATGCGGCTATCCGTAAAAAGACATACACACAAAGCAGGAGTGTCATTGCGGCAACGTGTGTTGCCGCTGTTGCGCCAAATCCATGAGTCGGGACTGCCCGATGCGTAGGTGGTACTACCGTTGCATCCATGTTCGACGCCGGCCCTTCGGTCTGCTGGCTGGCAGTTCAAGGCGCGCCAAAGTGCCCGAGCTTCATGGACCAATTGTTGTCGGCTCCCATCCAGAAAGAATTCGGGGATCGTTCCAATTGCACATTTTGAAGTCGGAATGCAGCGGCAAAGCTGAGGGTGTGTCGCAAAGGCACACTTCGTTTGAATGGCGCTTCGAATGGCGCTTCACGCCCGGGGCCTCGCCCGAAGAAACGGCGCCCCGAGCTCCGAGCTCCGAGCTCCGAGCTCTGAGGGCCCCCAGGCCCATGGGGGCCGCCCCGGAGGGCCCGCCCACACAGCCCACCCAGGGGGACCACCCAATGATGCTGCCCAAGGAGGCCGCCCACTGGGGCTTCCCAGGCCAACACCGCACGGCAGCCACCCAGGGAGGCAGGCCAAGGGAATCACTATACCTATCACACAGGATCGCCCACACTGGGCCCGGAAGGGGGCCGCCCCGGGGAGGCCGATGCTGTCCCGGTGCTGCTGCCGGTGGGCGGTGGCCGCCCAGGGAGGCCGGCCAGCGAGGATGGCCAGGGCAACCACCCACCACAAACGCCCAGGGGGGCCACCCACACAGGCCACCCAGTGGGGACGCCCAAGGAGGCCGCCCTGGGAGGCCGGCCATAGAGGCCGCCGACCGCCCAAGGGAACCGCCCAGCAGGACTGGCCAGGGGGACTGCCCAGCCGGACAAGGACCGCCCAGGCAGGCTGCCGCTGCCAGCCACCGGCCGGCCACCCTACAGGACTGTCGGGGGCCCACCCACTCACGCGACCCAGGGGGACCACCCAAGGAGCCTACCCAGCGAGGCCGCCCACTGAGGCTTCCCAGGGCTCCTCGCGCCCACGGAACTGCCCAACGGGCGGCACAGGGAAACCGCCCAGGGGGACCACCCAGAGGGGCCGCCCAAGGAGGCCACCCAATGAGACCGCCCAGGCCCAAGGAACCGCCCAGGCCCCGGAAACTGCCCACATCCGCAAGACGGCCCACACTGGGCTCACAAGGTGGCGCCCCAAGGACCGACCAGGTTGCCATTCCGCCCCGCGCCCTGCCCGGACCGCTGCCCCCCCCCGCAAGAAGTATAGCCCCTACACATGGCTAAACACTCAGCAAAAGAGTCGCTTGGGATTGCGGCTTGCAAGCATTCAGAAATTCCAACCAAACGACTCGGAGTAAATGACTGACTATCCCCCGATATCCCCCGATACGCCCGATGAGAGGAAGGGCCCTGCAACCCATCTCGCCCGGCAGTGCCGGCCTTCCTGAAAGCAGTACCCATAAGGCACCGTTGAGCACCCTAGATATAGTCAGCTTACTGATGTTGCCTGCTGCCGGCCCAACCAGCAAGTAGGCGATTTCTCCTTGAAGGGTAGGTAACAGGAAGTCTAGGCCTGTGCGTTGGGGGTGACAGAGACGGAATTAATCAAAGGACAAGATCGGTAAGGTACGGGTGGAACGCTGCTTCAGCGGATATTAATGATGACCACGCATGGCATGCTAGCTCGTTCATTGCAGTAGCTAAAGGCAAGGAAATGCGATACTGCCACACGCCACATACGTACACAGATCAGGCACTTATGGTAAAGCACATACTTATGCCTCCGGAGGTTCTGGGATTGAAACCGGTGGTGGGTGTAGAACCTTAGCGATCTACTAAGAAGTCGGCTAGGGTGCCTGGTTAAGGGTGCCCCCAAAATACTGCGGAAGGCAGGGTCTGAGGGGTAGCTGCCGCAGATTGCAGATATGACCCCCCTGTCCCACACATCACACACTCACCTGGTGCGCGAGTTGGGTTGTCGCGAATACCCGTTGCAAAGACATGCCGTATAGTCATGGTGACGTTATGAGCCATTCGAACCTGTAGCCGAAAGACGAAAGACAAACGGACAAATTAGGGACGTCGAAAAACCTTGTTTGTTTGCAAGCAGGTTACACATTGTTGCAGGCATACAGGCATACAGGCATACACACACACATACACACAAAACACACATACACACACATACACATACACATACACATACACATACACATACACATACACATACACATACACATACACATACACATACACATACACACACATACACACACATACACACACATACACACACATACACACACATACACACACATACACACACATACACACACAGTGTCGAAAAGGAGAGTACTGGTATATATATGTGGCTTTCGATTCCCTCCCAATGATTGAGTAACATTTCCAATAGGGGTAGTCAGGCCCCTTGTGATGATGAGATGTTAAGACACATGCACACACAAGTGTAATCAACGTGTACGTCTGTCTGTCGCCCAAGTGTGAGTCCGCCACATTCACCTTGCCAGGAGAAATACAGTCATCACGGTACTAGCTAATGTATCCGACTGGGTAGGCATGCGTGCTATAGAACCATGGGAGTGCATATCATGCATGCCGACTTCAGCTGCTGCTGCTGCTGCTGGAGTAGGGAGGTGAGACCTCGGAGGTGCCCCCCTCGCTGGTGACCGACCGGCGGACCGTTCGCAGCCGTTGCGGGCACTCACCACTCCCGGCGCACCTCCGAAGTTGATGGTTGGCCAGTATGGCATCTCCGGGTTGCGCTCTATAATAATGTCGCGCTTCAGGACGAGTGGAGGCTTGAAATCGCCGGAACTCCAGTCAGAGAAGAGAACGTTAACTTCCGGGGAAGAAATGCGGAGATACCGGACGGACGGGTCCGCAAATGCAGCAACGAACTCAGGCCCGGTTTTCACGTTTGATACGTCAGAAGGGAGCTGAGTTTCCGGGCCTCCTGGAGGGCTTGTGCCAGCAGTAAAGGCTCGGGCACTCTGCCAGCAGCCCAGAGTGAATACGAGCATTATTACCGCAACATTCATGGTCACAAATATCCAAATGTTTTCGTATGCGCGTGCTTTTCACACATCTATGAACAAGACAAGCAGCTGTACGGATTACCTTAAGCCGAAAGGCTTAACAATCATGCTTAAACTACCGGGGGATAAGAGGTTTAGAGTCCTTAAGCTTTTCTTTGCCTTGCTCCTGAACGCTGTGAAATGAAGTCGGACAGCGACAACCGTAAAGTACATTATTAAGTTGGAGAAAAGCCATCCAGGTCTCTTTGCAGGCTGATAGCAGCAGTAAGCCAATGTCAAAAGTTGCCATCAAATTATTTATTTTCAAACGCCCTGATAAAGATGCAGCGCAGCTCCTGTTGCAGTTTCAACCTGACGGGCCGTAATCCGTAATTGCTCGACAGATTTCAAACCTAAACCGCATTCTTTCTTTCCCTTTAAAGCTGTAACAATTATAATGGTTTTTTTCAAATAGTACAACTTAAAAGAGGAAGGAAAAATGTGGTTTCGGTTTGAAATATGTCGAGCAGTTACGGGTTACGGCCCGTCAGATTGAAGCTGCAACAAGAGCTGCGCTGCATTAGCAGGTCAAACAAAACTTTGACTAAAATAATCTAATTACTACTATCAGCCTATTCCTATTTAGCGACCGTTATTTTAGCTAGAGTTGACTTGTAACAGGGTATTTCCACTAGGCCGCACACTAACATTAAGTTCATAAAATCTCACACCTGGCTCAGCAAATCATGCAAGCGATAAGAAACTAGTTAAATACATTAATAGAAAGTAAAAGTTCTTTAAAAAAATCGCGTAAAGGGGCTCCGTACGCGAAAAGCCGAAGGGCCCAGTGGAAACGCCTCGGACACTAAGTCCGGCACACTGGCACACTAGTTATCAGGGCCTCAGACCTGCTGATAACTTTCGATTACATTAACATTAACTTCCGAGCGGGAAAATTCATAGTCAGCCATTTTCCTTCTTCATGGCCCTACGTTGGCTTTTGTATTTTCCTTTATCCACAGCCGCAAATAGCCCGCTAACCAGTGGAATTCACAGCAGGACCGGTCGAATTGCCCACATTCCAGCAATTCGCCGACCAAACTGTAATGATTTGCGCATTAAATTACACCCACTCTTACTATAACAATGGTTTGGTGCCTTTATAGCAACCTGTCGTATGGTTCCGGGGCGCTTAGTGGAAACACCTGTCCACTAGCCACACACTAAGTCCACGGTAAAGATAATGTCCAAAAGTTAGTGTGCGGCCTAGTGGAAATACCCTGTTAGGGTGCATTTCCAGTGCGGATTAACCCTCTGCCCTCCATCGATACTTGCTCAAACGGCTAAGTTCTTGGCAAACTTATCTCGCTTTTCCAACCTTTGGTTTCCTTATGGAACGAAACAATGTGGTAAGCTCGTACCAAGGAGTTCCATGCCCTAATCCCTGGCCTTAATCCGCACTGGAAACTTAGAGGAGATTTAGAGGTGCGGTAGAGGTCGTGGTGTTTCCAGTAGTCTCCCAAACCGAGACTTGGGGCCAAATAAAAACATTTAGCAGCATATAGAATGTGGACGTGCAATCCCAACGGTGCAGGCGGCTTGGACAGCGTTGATGTTCTTGGCCATTAGGCGGGCGTCGGAGGTGAAGGTCGTGACGCAAGATCATCAAGCATACGTCAACCGCCGGTTGTAAGCAGTAAGGAATAAAAGAGCAATGCAAGTCCCGTGCTCGGATTTCAAAAAGGATCATGAAAAATGTTGTTGTAGTTGGAGGTGGCTCTCAAGTTATGGGTTGGTCGGGACCAGAATGCCTTATGTTACAGTGGATCCCGAACGGGTCAAGTGCAGCATCCCAAGAAACGCCTGCCGCACTACACTGTGGGCCTTATTCAAAAAGAACTCGGCCAGGCCGTACTAACTTCATAAGACACAAAACTTCAGTTAGTACGCTCATACAAAAAAGATGAGGCTCAGACGTGAGCCCTCAGACCTCATCATTGTACACCGGTAGACGGCAAACAACCTTGTTTGCGCCGTTGACACACAAGAAAGGGTGCTTGTGAGGCACGTGTTTCCAACGTTTTGGCAGGTTATCCCCTGCCGCAAAAGCAGTTAAACGGACCCAAAAGTCAGAGATTTCTTCTTAAGTAATGCGATTACGTGTTGACATAGACAGGCCCACGTTGGCCCGAAGACCCTCCCTAAACAACAAACGGCGACCGAGGCGAAGTGAGCTGATGGCCGCGAGGCACACTGAAAGGAACTGCCAGGTCTGCAGAGCCCGACTTCCGACGCTGGCTGATAGACAAGGAAGAGAAGAATGCTAAGCTTACAAATGGTGTTGTAGGAATGCCTTAAATAGTCTGACGAAGCCATGCACGACACAGAGTCGTACCAAACCATACCTACTCGGTAACGAATACAAATCCCTTACAAACACAACCTCCAACACACATCCATAAACCGGGACCAGGCCAGGTCGACTAGAGATATCTTAGTGGTAGGACCGTTTCCGATAAGGCCTGACGATCGTCCTCCTTCCACGTACAATCACATTCCTGAATTGTAAAATATCCATTTGTAATGTTTTGCAGTTCGTTAGCGCGCGCTTCTGAGACCATGTCGTAACTTCGGAGCTAGTGGAGCTTGAACTTGTGTGTACGATGTGTGAGGTTGTGGCGCGCTAACATGACTATTTAAGCGGACCAAATTATGAACATTGTAAGTCTGAGTTGAGATTGAAACTCCGATCCTCTGTGCATACGCAAGTATATCGGCCAGTAAAGTCAGCTTAAGCTTCCCAGTTGTTCGGCGCGGCCTGGTTCTCTTTCAATTGGTATCGAGACACGTGTTCTGTGGACTGTCGGACGCGATCGCCAACTTTGAAGGTGATGGAGCGGCGATGCCGGTTAGCTGCGGCAGTGTAGCGGGTTTTGGCGGCTTGGATTTCGCGGTTGATGGTGGCATGGATGTCGCTCATACGCTGCTGTAGCTCGGTAGCCTGTGGGTGTGAGGAAGGTGAAGCGGCTTGGGGGCCGTGGAGGGAGATGGGAGTGCGCGGGTGGTAGCCGTGATTGGCGTAGAATGGTGTCATGCCGGTGCTTGCGTGGGTGGCGTTGTTGTATGCTGCTTCTGCGATCGGAAGGTATGATGCCCAGTTGTCCTGCATAGGTTGGATGTAAGCACGGAGGATCTGTTCAATAGTGCGATGTGTTCTCTCGGTTTGACCGTCAGTGTGTGGGCGGTAGGCGGAGGAGATGTTAAGGGACGTGCCAAGGTGCTCCCAGAAGGTGCGCCAGACGCCGGACATGAAGCGGGAATCTCGGTCTGAGACGAGGGTTGTTGGAAGACCGTGTAGACGGTAGACGTGGGTGAGGAAGAGTAGGGCGGTGTCATGGGCGGTGGTGGTTTTGTTAGCGAGTGCGAAGTGGGCTTGCTTGGTGAACATATCGACGAAGGTGAGGATTGCAGTGTAGGTGCGGCCGTCCAAACCTTTCGAGGGCGGCAGGTCGGTGATGAAGTCCAGAGACACGTGTGTCCAGGGTTGGGTGGGTGTAGGTAGCGGGTGGAGGAGGCCAGGTGGAGGCTGGGTGGATGGCTTGGTGCGTTGACAGATAGGGCAGGACTTGACGTAGGCTTTGACGGTGCGGGCCATGTAAGGCCACCAGTAGCGGGTGGATATCGCCGCGAGGGTGCGGCAGAAACCAGGGTGACCAGAGTAGGCAGCAGTAGGCGTGGAATTCGTGAAGTAGGCGGCGGCGTAAGGATGGGACGTTGGGGATGGCGATGCGGTTGGCGAAGTAGAAGAAACTGTCTGGGGAACGTTGGAGGTAAGGCTTGGTGGTTGTTGGATTGGAGTACATGGGGTCGGCGGTGTATCCGAAACGGATGTCGTCTGCAAGGCTGGGGTCTGGCACGACATGGGCTGCGATGGTAAAACAGGCATGATGAAGGGCATGGTTGGCTGCAACGTCGACGGGTGGTGAAGTGGAGGGCCAAAGCGGGGGAAGCGATGGAGTTGTAATGGAGGTTAGGGTTTCTGCTGATGTAGTGGGTAGTGAGGGACTGGGGTCAGAGGGCTCTGGGTTAGGGGCTGGGCTGACCGGAAAGCGGGAGAGGGCGTCAGCCATGTTTTCCTCTGCTATCATTGTCCTACCCGATCGTCCACAAGCCCCTTGGGCCCCCCTCATCCGCCACATGACCATTGTCCACCGCTTCCCTGCTGGCGCACAGATCGTCTGCCGCCCCACCACTTCAGACCCGTCCAGGTATGGAGAACCGGGTCCCAGCCCTTGGCCTCTAGTAGTCCTCCACGATCCACCATCGTCAGCCCCCTTGATGGATATGATGCCATCCTTGGGAAACCCTGGCTTACTACCAACAACCCCCATATTGACTGGCGTACCAACACCGTCACCATCAGCAACACCGTCATCCCGCATTCCTCGTATTGCCCATCCGCCTTACGGATTGAATTCGTCTCCATCGCCCGCATGCAGAAATGCATTCGCCAAGCTGCCACCCGACCGCCACCACCCAACACCACCAACCCTCGCAAGCGAGCTCCGTTCAACCCATCACCACCTGTTTACATGGGTGTCATCCGTCCCATTGAAGATCCCGAAATCGACCCCGAAGCCCCCCCTCAACCCACCTCCTCACCGTCAGTACCACCAGCCCTTCAGTCGGTTCTCCAGCGCTACGCGACCATCTTCGAAGAACCATCTGGTCTACCACCATCACACCCATGCGACCACCATGTCGAGTTGGTCCCCGACGCCCAGCCTCCTAAGCAGCGCGAGTATCGCATGTCCCCAGCGGAACTTCAAGAGCTGGACCAGCAGCTCAAGAACTACCTTGACCGTGGCTGGATTCGCCTGTCGACGTCACCCTTTGGTGCCCCGATTCTGTTCGCCCGTAAACCTGGTGGCAACAGTCTACACCTCTGTGTGGACTTTCGCGCAATCAACCAGCTCACAGTCAAGAATGTGTACCCCCTGCCGCGCGTGGACGAGCTCCTTGACCAGCTGCACGGTGCAGCCTATTTCACCAAGCTGGACCTCTGGTCAGGCTACCATCAAGTCCGTGTGCACGAACCCGATGTACATAAAACGGCTTTTCGGTGTAAGTATGGTCTGTACGAATGGCTTGTTCTTCCCTTCGGACTTACAGGAGCCCCCGCCACCTTCATGTCCCTCATGAACGACGTCCTTCGACCCTTCCGCAACAAGTGTGCGGTTGTGTACCTCGACGACGTCCTCATTTACTCCCGCACCTTCGAAGAACATTGCCGCGACGTGGAAGCCGTACTATGCACACTCCAAGACCACCACCTCCACGTCCGCCTTTCCAAGTGCTCTTTCGCACAACCATCCATCAAGTTCTGCGGATTCATCATCTCCCGCGACGGCATCACGACAGACCCTGACAAGCTCACCGCCCTTGCCAATTTCCCCATTCCCTCCTCACCAAAACAACCCAGCCCTTCCCCAAGACCCTACCGCCGTCGCCGCCTTCCATGCCCTCCGCGACGCCCTAATGTCAGCCCCAGCCCTCATCATCCCAGACACCGGCACCAACGCCACCTTCACCCTTTATACCGACGCCTCCATCCTCGGCATTGGCGCTGTGCTCCTTCAAGAACGCAACGGCGCCCTACATCCCGTGGCGTTCGAATCCCGCAAGCTCAGCCGTCACGAAGCCAACTACCCCATCCACGAGCTGGAGTTGCTTGCTGTCGTACACGCAGTGCGTAAGTTTCGGTGCTACCTCGAAGGCTGCCCCTTCACGCTCTGCACAGACCTTGCAACGCTTCTTCACACAAAAGGACCTGTCTCGTCGTCAAGCCCGTTGGGCTCAGCTCCTCGCCCCATTCCAAGGCTACATCACAATCACCTATCGCCCCGGCCCTCAAAACATGGCTGACGCCCTCTCCCGCTTTCCGGTCAGCCCAGCCCCTAACCCAGAGCCCTCTGACCCCAGACCCACTACATCAGCAGAAACCCTAACCTCCATTACAACTCCATCACCTCCCCCGCTTTGGCCCTCCACTTCACCACCCGTCGACGTTGCAGCCAACCATGCCCTTCATCATGCCTGTTTTACCATCGCAGCCCATGTCGTGCCAGACCCCAGCCTCGCAGACGACATCCGTTTCGGATACACCGCCGACCCCATGTACTCCAATCCAACAACCACCAAGCCTTACCTCCAACGTTCCCCAGACGGTTTCTTCTACTTCGCCAACCGCATCGCCATCCCCAACGTCCCATCCTTACGCCGCCGCCTACTTCACGAATTCCACGCCTACTGCTGCCTACTCTGGTCACCCTGGTTTCCGCCGCACCCTCGCGGCGATATCCACCCGCTACTGGTGGCCTTACATGGCCCGCACCGTCAAAGCCTACGTCAAGTCCTGCCCTATCTGTCAACGCACCAAGCCATCCACCCAGCCTCCACCTGGCCTCCTCCACCCGCTACCTACACCCACCCAACCCTGGACACACGTGTCTCTGGACTTCATCACCGACCTGCCGCCCTCGAAAGGTTTGGACGGCCGCACCTACACTGCAATCCTCACCTTCGTCGATATGTTCACCAAGCAAGCCCACTTCGCACTCGCTAACAAAACCACCACCGCCCATGACACCGCCCTACTCTTCCTCACCCACGTCTACCGTCTACACGGTCTTCAAACAACCCTCAAAGGCAGGCGGCTGGCAGAGGTTAAGGGCTGGCTTCTGCTCCCGGTGCGTCCCGGCGCGTCCGGTTTCAAATCCGCCTGCCGACCTCTCGGGGTGTTTGAGAGGTGATGAAATGGGAGGTGGCCCCCCATCTTGTGGACGGTGTAGGACGTGATAAAATCAACTCGCGAGCTGACCAGGAACTAAGTTGACGCGCCGTTGATCCGCTAGATTTGGTTGGATGCTGGTGGTGAGTTGCCAAACTCAAAGAGTACACTCTGAAGTCGGATGGGGTGAATGGCCTAGGGTGCCCCTCTAGCAGGGGAGAGCAGGGAAGTGCCTCGGGAAGGAGGCCACTGGTGAAGCTTAACCACCCTGTAACAACATCAACCCTCGTCTCAGACCGAGATTCCCGCTTCATGTCTGGCGTCTGGCGCACCTTCTGGGAGCACCTTGGCACGTCCCTTAACATCTCCTCCGCCTACCACCCACAAACTGACGGTCAAACCGAGAGAACACATCGCACTATTGAACAGATCCTCCGCGCTTACATCCAACCTATGCAGGACAACTGGGCATCATACCTTCCGATCGCAGAAGCAGCATACAACAACGCCACCCACGCAAGCACCGGCATGACACCATTCTACGCCAATCACGGCTACCACCCGCGCACTCCCATCTCCCTCCACGGCCCCCAAGCCGCTTCACCTTCCTCACACCCACAGGCTACCGAGCTACAGCAGCGTATGAGCGACATCCATGCCACCATCAACCGCGAAATCCAAGCCGCCAAAACCCGCTACACTACCGCAGCTAACCAGCATCGCCGCTCCATCACCTTCAAAGTTGGCGATCGCGTCCGACAGTCCACAGAACACCTCAACCTGCCGACCTACCCCTCCCCAAAACTCCGCCCTCGCTACCTCGGCCCTTTCCTCATCTCCTCCGTCATTTCTCCAGTTGCATACCGCCTTCACCTTCCAGCCTCCCTCGGCCGCTTGCATCCAGTATTCCACATCAGCCGCCTTCTCCCCTGCACGGACAACGATCCAGCGCTCTTTCCACCACCTCCACCTGCAGCCCCTACTGCACTAGAATCCCCATATGACAGTGCAGATACCGTTGTTACAGCTGTTCGTCATGTTTCTCGTGCAGTGGTCCACAAGTAGTAAACGGGACCCCTCGTGGGAACCATATGACGACGTGCACAACCTGCCAGCGCTTCGAGCCTTCCTGAGGAGCCCAAGCTGGACCGCGTTCAGGCTATCAGATCGCTATGCGTGGTTCAGAACCAAGTTCCCGGAGCATGCCCCAAGGATCGTACAGTTCTTAGCAGGATAGAGCTGCGGCTGGATGTGTGTGTGTGTGTGTCATCATGTGTATTCGGTATGTCTGTGCGTCTTCGTTCTGTTCCTGCCGGTAGATTACACCAGTCAGTTCAACGTCAGTGTGGTATTGCATTTAACGTGTTTGTTCGCGTATGGGTATTTGGATTCCGTGTAGTCAGATTATAGTCGTTTTCGTAGCAGCTTGTGTGTGTCTCCGGATTCTTAAGCCGGATATGGTAGGAGTCGTGCGCCACTTTTTAGGCCGGTATCCAGTGCGGGGAAGGTTTTGCCTTGACTCCGGTTCCCTTTTGCATTCCCCTCGTTAGCCTGGTACCGATTTCGTTAAGGGAATCGGAGAGGCGCACGACTATGGCCGCTTAATGACGGTTTCGCACCGAGGACGGTGCTTGTTTTTAAGGAGGGGAGGGTGTAATGTTTTGCAGTTCGTTAGCGCGCGCTTCTGAGACCATGTCGTAACTTCGGAGCTAGTGGAGCTTGAACTCAGGGAACGAGCCGATACGGAAACCTGCGGAAACGGAAACCTGCGGAAATAGGTTTCGTCACGCTTTCCGCAGCGAAGCCCAGATTGATTGGCGGAAATGCGGAAAGAGAATCCGCATTTCCGCGTTTGCTGTACGGCGGAAAGTCAAAAACAGATTCCAGGCATGCGTTTGCCATTTAAAGACTGCGTTTTACACTATGGAGTTATTAGATTAAGTCAAATGTCAGCAACCACTGGCCCCGACCTGGGGGCTGCCGAAGTCATAGAGATTTACTGTGTTTCTGCTCAGAAGAAGGGTGGAAGGCCCGTTGATGACGTTTGGAAACATTTTGATAGAGGTCCTTACGACAAGAGCAAGAACTGCTATGCAACCTGCAAGGGCTGCCGTCGCCACTGGAAACGTCACACGCTACGCGTAAGGTAGGGCTTGCCCAGAAATTACCAAAGTCTGTAATGGGTGTGGTGTAATTAGTGTGGTGCATTGATGGATGGAAGGTAGTTTGATGCATTTCAATGCCGTACCGTACTGATACGATTCTTTGGTGACACGCAATTGGTATGGCGTCCCCAAATGCATAGCAGTGGAAAAAGGTCTTAGGCAAAATTTTATGGGCATCACCAAACTGGCTGTCACAAATGTGTCGTACACCGTGTTAACGGTATCGACCAACAGTTAAAGCCCTCCAGAAGAGTGTTGTGCGGGAGGCGCTCCTATGGGCGTTGCACTCGACCCGTTCGGGGTCCACTGTAACAATCGCATCTCCAGAAGACGCTGTTGGCTTGTAGTTATCTTCGTCTTTTACCCCTAAGTTGATCGGACAAGAACTTTAGCTTACAGGCCCACCCTCAGAAAGCGCGCTCAGAATGGCGCCTAAACAGCTTAAGCTTACTAGCCTTTTACCCAAGCTCGACACCAATGCTCCCATTGAGCTCAGGGCAGGCATTACCAGCGTTCGAGTGGCGCCGGAGGTTGAGGCTGCAAGGACTGAGCGCGAGAAGGCACATGCCGATGAGAGGATTGCAAAGCTTGCTGAAGCGGACGCTGAGGCCGGCAAGGCCATCATTGAGCAGGCCACGGCTCCTGGACACCAGCCAGTTGGCAGGCCCAGCAATGCCAAGCCTTCCCTCGCGTCGCTGCTGCGCTGATTGACCGGCGAACCGCTTCCCGTCCCCGAGCCCGCGCCGACTCCG